GATCAAAGTATACGTTTCTGGGATTTAGTACACCCGGATGCATCACTAGTGGTGAGTAGCCCAGATCTCGTCACAGACGGAATTCAGATGCGGCCGAGATATGATACCACTCACCCAACCACTGCCTTGACAATAACATCTGAATGGATCCCCAGTGCTGGCTCAGCACCAACCAGGCAAGGTCCAACTTCCAACAAGAAGTCAAATTCGACGAGCGCTGGGAACAGTATGCGACCTCCGCGGAGTACCGTCATCAGTTTACAGCAGCAGCACTTGTTAAGAAACCACCTTGATTCTATACTTGATATCGCAATTCTGCAGTCTCCATATGCCATGACTGTAAGTGTTGACCGGGCCGGCATGGTATATGTATTTCAATAATGTAGGATATCCATATGTTTGGTTCTTTACAATCTTCCATAGCGCGGAATTAGTACCGCAATTCTATATTTATTCATTTCATATAATTTATTATATTAGGGGGTGGAACGATAAGTACCACCATGATTAGTATTATGCAGCTATTTGTAGAACCAAATAATTTCAATTCACCTCCTATATCTGGTCTTAAGTGGCATAAAAATATAAATGTAAATAACACATTCAGGGAGTAGTTAAGGTGAACCGCCATGTGCCCGATAATACAAGAAGCGGAAAGTTATTAAACCTCCTAGGTAGTAAACCAGGATAAAGATGAATGATAGAAGATAGCTGCAACAATGTTATTGATTCGCTGGCAAACGCCATCCACCCAACTGATGAGTACTGGAATAAAAGACGAGCACAGATGGAACAAAAGGAGTGGGTATCTCAATGCTAGGGAGAGAAAAATCATAAGGAGAGACTCGGAATTTTACGAAAAAGGTCACAGATAAAAGTGTAACAAAATGCGGAGACAAAAATGAAAGTGGCTTGCGAGGGCAATCCTCTAGTATTGTTATGCAGGGGTTGGTTGAGGTATATGGGAAGGACCTAAAGATGCACCCATTGCTTCGATTGCGGCGGAGCGCCTAGTGAGTACATCTTCCCTTTTAACGACGTTCCGCAATGCTTCACTAGCCTGAATAAGGCCGTCGATACTAATTGCATGATTCGTCATTTGGTGGTTGAGGTATGAATAAACAGAAGCTGGCGTTGAGCAAGTAGTCAGGAGTTGTTGCTCGTTGAGTTTGAGAAGCGCCAAGGCAACTTGGAAGAAGAATGTGCTTCCACCTCCATCGCTGTTCGTACTGGTAACGTCTCCGTCGACTGTCGAAATAGATGAGGCGGCGGCCTTTGAGGTAGTAGAGCTACCTGTACCAGTTTCGACGGGTTCCTGGGCCGACGTTGAAGCCATAGACGAAAAGGTAGTAGGGGCGTTTAGACAGAAGACAACATCCCATACACGATAGAGGGCTTCTGCTGATAGGCAATCAGTGAAGATCGAAAGGAACCACTGGAAAGTTAAAGCTTCGAGCTCGATACCTAGGTTTTCGAAATGCGCCCATAGATTTGGTAGCAGCTCGGAGACGTACTGGCACAGAACTTGCTGATCCGCCCGTGACGCCACAAGACCATGATCATAGTAGTGAGGAGGAAGGATATTTTCAATAATCGACGCCAGGACCCAGAATGCATCTTCTGCGGTGGGAAGAATTAAAAGAAGCGAACCAGCAATGAGATTCATGCCCTGACAGTATCCGACTGCTGGATTGCGGCGGGAGTAAGCTAGAAGGACTTCATTCAACCTTGCGACTCCCGGCCCCTTGCGGAAGAATATATTATCTGTCAGGGTGCGGTGAATGTCCATGGCAATTTGGGCAGTTGCTCCGGGATCAGCTTGAGTAGTTATGTGCCCGTTAACAAGATCGTCATAATATCCTGGAACTCGGAGGGTTGAGGCACCACTGCACTCAGACCAAATCTTAGCACGGTATGCAACCGGGATACCACCTAGGACAAGGTTTCTAAACTCTCTCCATTTAGCGCGACCAATTTTTCCCTTGTTCCCTAGACCGGCAATTCCGATGACCTCGCCATCTGCCAGCGCTACCTCAGGCATATCACGAGAAGTCTTGGATCGATCAGGTGGGGTCAATGCAGCAGTGGCTTCGCCTTCCTTTCGTCTTTCAGCACGCACTTTTCGCATAAATTCGTTCCATTTCACGGTTCGTTCTTGCTGTGATGCATCATGCAATTCTGTCAAACGTTGCAGAAGCAGTTTTACAGGTTGCTGTTCAGATATGGAGGTTTCACGGGGTCGAGCCTCTGCCCCCGCAAACTCAGCACGGTTTGAGATGACCGCAGATGTGGATGCTGATGGTTGTGCAGAGCTACTGGACACAGGCACCGGGCCGCTCTTTCCAACTGCAACAGAAGATACGCGTGGTTTGGACTGGGTAATTTGTTCCACTGAGACGACAGGTCCAGCTGCAGGAGTATGTGACAAAAGTTCTGTGGGCCTTGTAGCCGTCTTCAGATAGTCTTGCCATCTTCCAACTCCAGAACCACTACCGTCTTCACCTGAGTTATCTATCTCTGCAGAACAGCCTGAGCTGGGAAGCTCCTCAGAAGGCCGGTTCTCGTTTGCCTCTCTTTGGCGGCGATTTCTTCGTTGATCGTAGATGAAGCCAAACCGATCAGTGAGCAGATCGCCTGGATTGTACTCTCCATGGATATAGGCAAGCGTAGGAGGGCGAGATTCCATTGGTAGAATTGCATCCATCTCAACAGGACCCAGGTTAGTTGCCTCACTGTCTGGGTGAGCACTTCCGGGAGTTCCTGCACCAGAAGTGCTTTGAACCCTCAGCCGACGCGGCTTTGTGGCGTTGTTAATATTCGAACTACGCATAGTCGACGAGGCAGACGACCGAGCAGACAATTGTTGTACGCCAGTGGCACCGTTTATCCTGGCTAATGCAGCCAAAGCAGATCCGGCAGGAGTGGATGCCCGAGGCGCAGTGGACGGGTTGCTTTGCCTAGACTCAGGATTTCTTGACGATGCTCGGCTTCGAGCTGGATCTTGATTATCTTTTCCCTTCCCTGCAAAAAGTTTGACAGTCCAGGAAGCTACCGAGTAATTAGAGCGCTGAGAGATGATGCTTCGATCGTCACCGTCACCATTTTTATATGCTGATGTCCCGTCGGTAGCAAGGCTAGTAGTGTCTGCGGCAGTACCCGGGGGTTGGAAAAGCTGGCCATCAAGTGCTTTGCGTCGGTTTGATGTCGATGCTGGGATACGAAGGCCATCACCAGCCTCACTCCCAACACTATTTGCTCTGCTTTGTCTCCGGCTGGCGGTTGACGTGCCCCAAATATAATCCTGCCAACCCCGTCCGGTAGTATTCGTAGGCTTCTTAGACGATCCTGCACTTGAGTTACCAGACTTAGGTTCACTGTCAGTGCGATGGGGTCTGATGGTGGCCTCTAGGTCATCTCGGTGGGACCCTACGCCTTCCAACATTGCCTGATTCATCATATTATCAATAGAGGATGTCAAGCTTCTCTGCCCTGAAGATGGATCTGTAGAGTTGGTTTTTGAGGTATCTATGGAACCATCCGGTGCGTTCTCGAGCAGATAGAGTCGACGTTCAATATCATGATTCGACACTTCAACTTCACGTAACATCTTCTTCAACTCTCGTTCCCGGTCATCGGCACGCAGCCGTAACGCTGATACTTCCGCATCGCGCAACGCAAGGTCTCTTGCGAACTGCCGTATCAACCTCACGGCTCCGGTCCGAGCTATTAGTCGTTCGATGTGGTCATCGCTAGCCAGGTGAAGTGCTCCGGGGACATCCTGCGTGGGTGCTGAGTCACTGAACAAAGCGGCTCTACCGGAGAGTTGTGGTAAGGTTGTGGTGAGTCCTTCCAGAGTTGCCTTCCTCCCACGCTCAACGTCCGGTTCTCTATCATTATTCCCAACAAGCAACGCCCGGCTTAGAGCATGGTTCAACGCGGGCTCACCAAAGAATCCTTCCGGTGACCTATCCGGAGACAGAGATGGGAACGAGGTAAGATCCGTGGCCGTATGCGTCGACGAACATGTACTCAGACGTTTGATAGGTTTCGAACGGACTGTTTTGCCTCTCTGGCTGCGTATTGACGAGGTAGATGCTTGTGAAGAGGATCGTTTCTGGGCTTGTGCTTGGGCTTGGGCTCGAGCTCGCTCGTGGGGTTCTATACCTTCTCCCATTCTTCCTTCTTTCTTTCATGGAGCCAAAATGCTGATAATGATAGAGGTTCGATATGGATATGTCCCCCACTGTCCAAAGACGACATGGAACGAGGGGAAGCAGAAGAGTCACGCAGCGGGGAGAGAAGAAGAAGGTCAAGATCGGCTAACAGAAGAGTAATCAACCTGTTGACTGGCGGACGAAGGTTCGAGTTTCGTAGGTAAGTATACGATCATAGGCAAGGATATGCGGGCGGATGTATTCTTTTTTTTTCTTTAACGCGGTCTGGCCATCACAGGTATAAAACTACTTGGAAAAAAAACATGAAAACTGGGAAAACAAGGCACTTTTCCAGGCGGCAAACAAGCACACTGCGAATACAGTCAGGAAAAAGCTGTAATATCCAGCCCCTCTGCTGCTGTAAATCTGAGGATTTTGGTGAGATGGAAGAGGTGACGTTGGAAAAAGAATAATTAGAAATAAAAATAAAATAAACGAAAATAAGGTCGTGGCTGACCGCCTTCCCAAAATGGATCGCCTACTTATGACGTGCGGGACTCTCGGAGTTAAGTTTATCCACCGGCTTATATAAGCATTTATGTATTTGCATCCCGAGGCTTACTGGATCCATAGAAGCTTCCTTTACGTATAACGCTGACGTTCCCAGGAGGGATTGCCAGTTTCTTTCACTACATTACGCTATTACCGGGTCAGAAGAGGGTACACTAGTTGAATCAGAATGTATTGTGGTCTAGGTAGCTATGCTACCACGTATATACAAAGTTAAAGCCAGTAAGACACGGCTAAACTAGAAGAAGATCATTAGAAAGGCGCGCAAAATATACTCTAGTTGCGGAACTTGTTCACTTTGCACTCAGCGGTAGCGAACTTCGAAGGGTCCGCCTCTGAGGTAGCAGTGAGAGTGACCTTGGCTTTATCTTGAGCAGAGTTCTCGGCGCCGACAGCTACAGAGACAGTGACAGTCTTGCCAAACTCAGCAGTAGCCAGGGCATTTGGAACCTCGACCCTCCAGCCACGTCCCTCAACGGTGGCTTTGAGGCGGTAGACATCAGACTTGAGGTATGCAGTAACATCCTGAGGGTGCTTAGCCTTGCCAGCAGCCGGGTTGTAGGTTCCAGTGTTGTGCAGGGTGAAGGAGCAGGTCACACCCTTGTCGGTTGGCTTGGTGTTGCTGGAGGTAATCTTTGCATTCTTATCAAGCTTGACGCCGCGCTTATGGGGGTCCTTACCGCCGACATAGCGGACAGCAGTGGTGTAGGAGAGGACGCCCGCCTCGTCGCGGTGGGGTTCGATAATGTAAAATTGGAGATTGTTGGCCTTGTCGGTGTATTCGTACTGGCTACCAGAGCGAGTTCCAGCATGGAACAGGGCATCAGCCAGCTGGCGGTAGTCGCCAAGGCTGATCATGGCGGGTGTGCCGTCTGGGCGGTGGAAGTCAACTTGCTTGATGTCTTGTGGGTTGGCATCAATGGTCCACTGGTAGTTTGAGAATGCCTTGTCCCTGGTCTTGCTGAGCATGACTCCAGAGTCAGGGCAGAAGGAATCAGCGCCCATGCGGTCAATGACTTCGACGTTGTAATTCTGGTAACCATTACCATCGCAGTAAGGGTCAGTATTGACGTCGCATTTGGGAGACTTGTCCTTGTCCATGGCAACATGGATTCCGATCAAATCACCAGGCTTAGGTGCAATGACACGGGCAGTGACGCGAGCAACAATAAGACCAGAGTTAGCCAAGGCCTCACGGGAAATGTTCAGGGCGCTATCCTTGGTGGTTAATCCAAGTCTTATCTTATCATGGAAGGTATGCTGGGATCCCATGGAACCACCCTGTAGTGGAGGGACTTGCCAGCGGGTATGCGGGCCTCCAGGTCCATTGAAGGAGCCGCGAGACATCATAGACCATGGGCCAGTGTAGGAACGGCGGAGCGGTTTGCCGTAGGGGTTGTTATAGTTGTCTCCAACATTGAGCAGATGGCTGAGCTCGTGGGCAAAGGTGCCCATTCCAGAGCTTTCGGCCTGGGTAGACGAACCATCGCCAGCATTTGGCCAGATGGCAGAGGCAGAAGCCCAAGAGGTCCATTCGACATAGCGAGTTTTAGCATAGTTGGGAAGTGTCATGTTTCCTGTGCCGTTACCTGGTGGAGGACCAAAGGCAGAAGTCACATCTTCCTTGTTCTGGAACATGATCTCGCCAAACTCCTGCCAGGTAGAGGACTCATCCTGACCAGCAGACAGGATGAAGACCAGCTCAAAGGACTTGGCCTTCTCTTCGCCAATATCCTTGCGCCAGGCACCGAGGGCATCATCACGGATTTCATAGTAGCAGGTTTCTCCAATGGGGCAAGCACCAGCGTTCATTGACTCGCCAATACCGTACTGATACGACTTCAATGGCATCTTGTACACTCCGAACGTGGTCAGGTCGACACCGAAGCGTCCGTTCGAGTCCTCCATCCAATATTCATGAAGTGTATGACCGCGGTTGAGTTTTCCCGGCTTGTTAAGGAAATCGCGGTAGAAGGCGGGAACTTGACTTCGCGTTACGTTTGGTGAACCCGGCTGAGGATTCTTGAAAACGTCGGATCCCGGTGCCATTGTGATGGTAAATGGCTTATCAGGATAGTCGACATTTACCAGGGCGATGTTGAAGTTGCGGATCGAGCCCTTTCGAGAAGGGTCGTTCCATTTGGTGCCTGGAGGGGACTTAAAATCGGCCCAGGTCATATTGTCGGGATTGACCCAATTTTGGGGATCCAGCACCTCGAAGGGGTCCTTGGGGCCATGATGGGAGCCGCCGTGTGAGGGAAGGCCGTTGGGGGCAGCAAGGGCGGGCTGGATGAGCAATGCGCCGCTCAGAGCAGCAACGGCAGTGCTGGTGAACAACATCCTAATCGATAATGCTATGGACCACACTACCTGGAACTCGGCAACAGGAGGAAGAGGTGGAAAAGGGATTCGACCTAAAACGGAGGAAAGAAGTGGGAATCATTCCATGCCTTTATACCAACCTGGCTGTCCACCCCGGATCGACCCCGCAAACAAATTGAATCCATCCCCATGCTTCTCGTATGTTTTTCCCAAATCCTAGCCATCTCATGCTCTGTTAGCAACGGTTTCCAGGGCAGAAACTCGCACCATGACTGCTAAATTGCCATCTTCAACCCCTGGCGAAATTAGAGGATCGGCGTGACCAGCTACATTAGGCAAGTGCCAAGTCAGCAGCTCACAGGGGTTTTCCAGAATTCTTCTGCGCGGACCAGCAGAGTTTCTTTTCGTCAAGAAGACCATGCTAGTTTCTCTTACTCAAAGCTTTTACCATAAAAAGGGGTCAAGGGTGCCTTGATAATGCATCGGAAGCTGTGATCCAAGCTTCTTGCGATATTAAAGCCCGAGAATGGGTGCATCTCGCTTCAGAATACACGAAATTGAGATCTATTAAACATTCAGCTAAGCTCTTCTCCTCAGTGGAATAACTTACGCTCGTATTTGGGCATCTGCATTGGCTGGCCTCTTGCCATCGTTACACGGCTGCAGCAGGTAAAACACAAATATCCCCCGTCTCGCGAACATCCTTTAGCCGACATCAAGCAAGCTGCTTGTCTCTTTCTCGTGCGATATATGTATGTAAGTATGTTTATCTTTGTCTCGGTCTGCCCTTCTTTCAAGGTTGTCGTTGCAAGAACTAAAAAAGGCCGAACCTGGGGAACGGGGCGCCAAGCCTCGTGTACCTCGGCAAGGACCGGATATTGGATTACCTAATAAATATAACTTTAACTCAAAGAAGTCTATTATTGTGAGGAGTGGGTCCACGTATAGTCCCGTGACCTAAATACGATGAATGTCTTGGTTGTTTAGTAAGCAGTATAATTTTGATGCACTTCTCCATCCGTTGTTTCACTGGTAATATAAGACACCATTTCTGATGCCGGCTATGGCCTCAATATGGCGTTTAGTCTTGAGCTTGACTGCTCCGAAATTGCTAGAGCAAAAGAAACGGGGTAGAGCTTTTTGAGTCGTCCTTTTCAGAGGCGACAAGATCCTTCTGAAACCTTCGGAAGTTACGGCTTGATTTCCAAACGTCAACACTCGCCCTCGTCCGGCCCTAGTCAGATATGACGCTTTAAATCTCATTGTTAAATTTGGTTTGTCTGTAGCGATAGAAGAAGCTTTGTGCCTCCGTATGTTATCGAAAAAGCTTTCCGGAAACGTTCCAGTTCCAGAGATATACGGTTGGAAAGTTCAAGAGAGTTGTGTATTTATTTATATGGAGAAACGTTGCATGATGAGTGGGACTATCTAACAGACTAGGACAGGCCGTCTATTTGTGGCCAGCTGAAAGAAATTGTTTCAATACTTTGGCGGGTTGAACAGGACCCTACAGACCAGTTTATTGGTATTTTACGCCTTAGAATACATGCTCGTTTGCGCTGTTCTGACACTTGGTAGGGTCTATCACCCGTGGCACCCTGCGTGACTACGTTTTGCAATCAATTCCGTGGACCGGGCCTTATAAAATAGTCAAAGCTTTTAATCGCTGGTTTTCTGCATTGCCTCAACACTGGCCCCCCGAAGAAGCTAAATACTAAGACTCTTACCAAGAATATTTGCCTGATAATGGAATGATTAAATTTACATACGGTGATTTGCACCGGGTAACATTATTTTCTCCATTGTAACAAGCTCAACTATACTTGCCATAATCGATTGTGCGCATGCTGGCTGGTATTCTGACTACTGGGGGTACTGCCTATCACGGCGATTCATAAAGATGCCTGGTGCACTGTTTGGACACCAGAATTCAATGTGCTTGCAGAGTATACAATACAGATGGGAGTGGTGTGATCCAGGAAAGCGTGGTCAGAATTTACATTACAGGTTCATCAGGCTCATCGTACCGTCTAGTCCTTTTACTTAGAGAGCTGCTGAATTGGTATGAAATGTAAGCCATTAGCAGTTACATCATTGCGGTTACAGCTTGATGACAACCAAGCACTGCTGCCTATAATACGTTATGTTCACTTCCGCCCAGGATATCCTAGCACCTCTTTCCCCTACTGTAATAATCTAGATGCTGTCCCTACTGAGACCATAACCGCTTCCAAGTGGTTGCAACCCAATACCATGAGTTGCGGGATCACGCTTGGACTGTACGAGTTGAATGGCCGCCGCATCGAGATACCCAAGCTGCACAAGATGACGGGTATATTCCATCGTCCACTCCTGGCACCTTTTATTGGTAGTCTGAACATAAACCTGGTTAGCAAGCCTTGTATTTATACTTCCGGCAAATATCCCGGATTTACCTACGTCGTTAACGGGGGCTAGGAAGTTTTGGCTGATTCCCGGTGGGGGGATTTGACTAGCCGCAACCTCCACCGCGCCCTTTGGCACGGAATCTCTAATTAATGCACCACCTGCGGAATCCTCAATGTACTGAGAATCTAACTGCCCAATATCATATCTAGTATACTGTTGTTGCGTGTCTTTCAGAGAATAGTTTCTTTTAAATTCAAGTTGGTAGCCAGCCATGGGTGCGCCGACGACATGGATAAGTGTTCCAACATCCTGGTCGGTAACCGAGGGAATGAAGATTCCAAAATGTGCTCGTTGGTAGGCACTGTTACGAAATGTAACCAAGGATATAGTCCGAGAGGCCATCGAGGATGTGGGATAGTCAACGCTTAGTTGTCAACAGAATGCTTTTTGGGGGAAAGTATGAGGCTAACGACGTATCACGGTCAGTTCAGTCACTGATCCATGTAGCAGCAGCCTTTATGACAAATATCCGGTGGTTTTCGGGTTGGCTTTGGTCGTTCACGGCCGTCACCTTGGTTACGCGAACAAAAATTAAGGACTATTCTTCAGACTGATTATTAGTTATCCCTTCTGATTATTCGTCCTCTAGAGCCTAGATGATGAAGAAGTCGACGCCCTTATATATACAATTGATATACCTCGCTCTCAGCCAGGAAAGTATGACCCAATAAGATGCATCCGAACAGTTAAGTATCCTGAAGCTCTTATTGGCTAAAATATCGGAAGAGTATATATTAATAGCCAATCATAGCGGAATGTTTAAATTATTCAAAGTTCGTATTGTAATTGTTTTATTGGTTTATTTAAAGTATCACGTGAAAATACGAACCTAATTCCCTTAAGCAGATATTTGTTTCGTCTCTGGACTTCATCAACGTCAAGCCATGATGAAAATGAACAGATATTCTCGTCAAGGCCTCTCTGGGACCGACCTCCATCAAAAGGCTGTGACACACGAGCAATGCATTCTTCAAGCCCAATAGTCATGTGAACTGGATACTCCCGCCATACTCGAGATCTGCAAAGGTTCCCGTGCGGCCGATGTCAAAGTCCCTCAAGGCCGTTGGAGGTTACGGAGTACTGAGAACGAAATAATTGCAGGTCTAACTGGCTGGGCACCGTCTAAACTGGAAGGAGATATTACGGAATATGTATCTTCCAGTGTAAAAATCGGGAGGCAATTCAGCTGTGCAGAATTTGCCTTGCCAGGCGGGAACACGGAACTGCCCTCTTATACTTACGGAATACGGAGTATACACAAATGTGTTATTTTTAATCTACATTTTCCGCTTCGCACGCTCAGCTGGCCACCTAGCATATAAGGCTAAGGTGCATTCAGACTATTTGGCATCATAGGTATTGTCTGGAGAGCGCTAAGTCTAGCGAGCCCGTCAGGCACTCCTCTGGGACCCCTCCGCCCTGCCGCCCTCCTTCAACCCCATACTCGTCAATTCGGTTGGGGTGTTCGTTTATACGTGACCATAGCTCCTTGTGGCGCCTCAATACTGCCTGCTTGCTGGTTGAAAGGATCTTATCAATCTGGCAGAGGACCCAACTTGGCACGAAAGTTGGTCGCTTACTCCGGTTGTCAACTAATAAACCCACTTCCAAAATTGCCTCAGGAACACTAGCGTTCTGCCGGCCATCCCAACCAGTAGCTCGGACTCCAGCGATGCCTTACAGGGCAGATTCCCGCCGCCATGACCGTATGTTCATGCTTGATTAGCCTGGGGAATTGCACGCTCGCTTTTCCAGGAGAACACTCAAAATCGACAAACAATTGGCTCTAATAATCGCTTGGAATCGCTTGATAGCTAGGTAGCTGCCCAATTAGCCGTTCGGCACTCCGCATACTAATGCAAACTACTCCGTCTGTTCGCACCACGTGGGTGCCGACTTCAATATGACGGCTTAACCTAGGGGAACAAGGAAATTGCGGAATAACCATGGTAGCCAGCCATGCGCACAAAGAGCCATCGAACGAACCAACTATTTGCCCATAGCAAACCCAGACGAGTCCTTCACCCAAGGTAATTGTGGGTTAGCTAACTAGTGGCTACGCGATCTTGAGGGCACTGTAGGTTGTAGCCGAAGTGGGCACATTTGCTGCCACCAAATCACGATCAGCTAATAATCTCATACGAATTTTCGCTTAAGGGGCCTGTTGGTGACCTGATCACATATTTATATTATTATTGACCACCGATACTTCCCTGGTCTGCCCCAGCGGTTGTTAGCTGCTCCGCCAGGTTCCGTTTCCCCCGAGGTTCCATAATAATCTTTTTATTTTTGGCCTGAAGTCAGACACTAAAGTCGTTATTTTGGGTCAAATGTCTCGGGAGATGGTAAAGAAAGGGATCACAACATTCTCCGCATGCAGCCATCACTAGCGACAATTACTTTGCCCCTCCTCGGAATGACAGGTGCTTCAACATAATCTCGCAGCGGACACCGTTTTGAGAAGGGTAGGCGAGAGTCTTAGGGTAGGAGACGAGGCTTTACATACGAGAGGAAAAGCAAGACATCCTACGACCAAGTGGATCTTGGGCGCCAAACCTCTATTAAACAACCAGTATCCCGGAGAAGCCTTCGTTTCCCGCGGCCTGTCAATGGAAGCCAAAGCCCCCAATCTTCCTGTTCAGATCCCAACATTTAACTGCAAAGTACGGGGAGGAGGAGGGTGGAATATCCCACTCCAACTGAGTCATTTTGGTACGGAGTATTTCTGGAGTAGAATAAATGGTGTGCAACCAAGTGCGACCAAAGGGCGCGAGAAGTGGCCCCTGGAAAAGGACCTCCCTCCGCCTCGCTACTAGCTTAAGTTTTCGATGGCCAGGATATTAAGCTTTTGTGACTTCTGGGACCAGGGACTTTATTATTGAGTGCGATTCCTTTTGAAGGGACGGACGCCACAAGTCTGTTTTGTCGTCGAGAAGCTGAGATTCTCCAGGAGAACGGCTATCAACCGAGTCGTACGAAGTTCGGAGGCCCGCGTACCCCGTACACTCACGCCGGGCCTAGTGAAAAAGGAGGCAGAGGAAGAAAATCCTGGTTCTCACGTCCGTTGATCATGGTCAACGTGGACACCACTAATTATACTGAGCCAGGAGTCCAAGCTATGAATAACAGCCTCTCCCTTGCGTAAGTGAGTACGGAGTATATACGTGGGCTTATTTCCTTCTTCTGGGACTAGCTGCGACGGGTGACTGGAACATGTGAAGCTAACCAGTCAGAGCCTCCAATTCCGAGCTCTATTTTTCTTTTTCTTTTTTGTTTTTTGGACTACTGGTGCTTACTGAAACTCTGCTGCCCCTTCCCCCGTCCAGCGATAACTGCAAAAATGGGTCGAATCGCCCTCGCCTTTCGGCATGGGCGATCGGAGATACAAGCCGTTGGCTCTTCGCTAACTCAAACTCTTCACTGCTGGAGAGGCAAGCTGATCTGATTTCCGGTGTGCAGGATAATCTGCACATTGCTGCATCGCATCCACGTCAGCGCATAACCAACCCCAACCCGTCGGTGCGTGAGATGACTTAACAGTTAAATTAATTATCGGATGCATGGCTTTATCCCGTTAATGATAATTAGCCCGAGTACCAAGTACTACGGAGTACTGAGAGAAGGGGGTCACCTCAGCCCCCATCGACGCGGCTGCTTTAAATAATGCATGCAAAGCCACTCCTGCATCACTGCGAGCAGCCAATGAAAGGGCCGTGTGTGCAATCATCCCCATGCAGCCCGATCCAGCCCCGTTCAAGCTTTTCGTCAAGGTTCGACTGGCAAAGGTTAAGCTTGACTGCTCATACCAGGCTCTCACGACGCAACGCAACGCAACGCAACGCAACAGACAAAAAGCGGTGGTTGTTGGTTCTGCGAAAGCCTAGCCTGATGATGCCTCTCGACAGGGACTGCTGGCGGGTTTGTCTCCCTCAGATCACGGCGACTCTGGCCACTTACGATGGACTGATTAACATGGTGGCATATTGTGGCAGCAGTGCTCTCGCTCCGGTTCCTCCCCACTGATGAGGCCTCGCAGATTCCCACCAGTAGTTAGTGGAAGTGGATTATAGTTAAAAAAGAGAGGGAGAGAAAAAAGAAAGAAAGAAAGTCCCGTTCTTAAACCCCGTCACTAGCTCACAACACATTTTCTGGACGGGCTGTTGCACGAATTCCCATCGCTCGTTCCCGTCCAATGCTAGAGTTAGTCCACGTCACCCAAGCCCCGATTGCCCTAGCGACAAACAGTTAGTAGGAGAGGCTGTTCCTTATCTCTCTCCCTGTCTCCCAGGGAGCGTTTGCCATGGGGTAGCAGACAAGCTAACGCTATGCAAGCTTAAATAAATTCCTTGAGCCCCCTCGTCCCTAGAGAGGCGTGAAGAGTGCTCTTCTTACTAGACGGAGTACGTCCTCCGTTATCTATCTCACTCTGCGCTCTTTTTACTCCGTACACATCGAAATATTTTCTCCTCCTTCCGTCGCGGCTACGATCCTTCACCGATTGGACTCTATTAACGCTTGCTGAAGCCGCCTTTCCTTTCTTTTGTTATATTGCTCACTTTCGTTCAAATTATATCGCGAACAGTGCGAATCCGGCATCATTTGGAGTAAAGAGGTTGCCACTCGTTTGATTATCACGAACCCCTTACTCTTTCTAATTGCTTAGAAAGAATATGCCGTCTTGCAACCCGCTGTGACCAACAAGATCTGTCACCTCGATGACAAAGATGCGTGCATAAACTTGAACCTCGATACCATTGCTATTCTCTTTGTCCACTCGCATTTATTCGCTGGTCTGCCGTGGCATTCATCGTTGGCAGTTTCAAACCTCTGCCGCGGACTCACCAAGATCACATCACAGCAGCCAGGTTAGCCAGCGTTAAAAAAGCCGCAAAATGTCTTCACTGTCCACCAAAATGGTGCTGCCGGTCTCTTCTGAGACTGCGCCTGGCTCCCCCGGCTCCTCTATATATTCACCTTCACCTACTCCTTCTACAAATCTGGTTCCGCTTAGCAAACTTCCCGTGGACAAGTCGGAACCAACACAGGAACAGCGTCCTCGCAAGTCAAGAAAGAAGCTTATTATCATCATCGTCGGCGCTATGACCGTACTGTTAACGACATTAATAGTGTCGCTTGCCTTGGTATTGCACCACAGAGGCTCAAAAGCACAACCTATGAACCATGGCCCTCTCGTCGAGCTTGACTATGCAAAGTACTTGGGAACTCCAGGAGGTTACAATGTCACAAGCTGGCTTGGAATCCGTTACGCTGCACCGCCTGTAGGAGACCTGCGATTTGCCGCTCCTCAAGACCCGAAGAAGGAGGGTGGTATTCAACGCGCGAACTCTGTAAGTCTAACTCCTACTGGATGGGAATATGGTTGCATGCAAGTGGTGTCAGTGTTGGGGAGTTCCTCATGGAAAATATACATCTAATAATCTCCCCCTTTTCGTGTTTTAGCGCGGACCACATTGCATTTCCACCAACAGCAAAAGCGTGACAAGGATATCCGAGGACTGCCTGCGTTTGAATGTTTTTGCACCGTCGAATGCAAACCCTAACTCGAAGCTCCCTGTCTTTTTCTTCATCTTGGGAGGCGGATTCAATATCAACAGCGACCCCTTTCTTAACGGGACTGGGCTAATTGCTGCTTCGGGGCATAACATAATCGTCGTCACTTTCACTTACCGTGTATCCTTGTATGGATTCTTGCCTGGCAAAGAGATAGAGGAGGGCGCCAGTCTGAATAATGGTCTGAAAGATCAAATAAAGGCGCTGAAGTGGGTTAAGAAGTACATCTCAAAGGTAAGCTAGGCCCTTATCTCAAATAAAGTCTCTAGTGAGAGGCCATTTTAGCTAAACAATCTGCTAGTTTGGCGGCAACCCTGATCACGTTGTGATAGGAGGTCATAGTGCTGGTGCGGCTTCAGTCGCACATCTCCTGACTGCCTATGGAGGGCGAGATGATAACCTATTCCACGGAGCCATCGCCGGATCGCCATCATTCGGAACAACTCTTGCCAATAATCAATCCCAATATTTATATGATACCTTAGTTAAAAGAACAGGATGTGATACTCACCAGGATTCACTGGCCTGTCTTCGAAAGCTCAACGTCAACAAGCTGCAGGAGCACAACTTGGGTGTCCCGTTGCCCGACTCCAGCGGGCCTCCTCTCTTTGCATACAGCCCCGTCATTGACGGTGATTTGATTCAAGACACCTTCTACAACCTCTACAACCAAGGTAAATTTATCGATGTTCCAACCGTTATGGGGGGCGACTCAAATGAAGGAACAATTTTCGCTCCCCATAACACATCAACTCTGGAAGAATCTGACCATTGGCTCTCGCGACAATTCCCTGCTCTTCAACACCGTCATTTTGAGAAGCTTCATGAACTTTACCCAGAACCAGAAGTTCGATATCAAGGAGCCGGCGCGTATTGGACACAGTTAAGCGAGCTCTATGGTGACATGCGCTATACCTGCCCTGCTATGGCGATATGCCGGACGATGAGCAAATCGTTCAAAAGCGACAAGTGGAATTACGAGTATCATGCACAAGACCACCGCTTTACAAAGAATGGCTACGGAGCAACTCATACCGTCGAATTGAATGCCATCTTCGGTCCGGCATTCCTTGGTCGAAAAGCAGCGCCGTCATACAATAGCCCGGAGAACGGCCCGATAGTCCCCATCGTTCAGGGATACTGGACGAGTTTTATCAGAACATTGGACCCCAATAAGCACCGGGCAGAAGGCAGTCCTGAATGGAAACCAAGTGTCCAAGATGCGGATTCATCGAAGCCGTTACATAGGCTCTACTTTGAAACAAATGATACAAAGATGATAGTTGAAGATGAGCACCTGAAACGGAGATGCGATTATCTGACAAGCATTGGACCGGACCTGATGCAATGAGGATATCATGCGGCATTCTCTTTGGTGTTTGCTTTCTTTCTTTCGTTTTTTACTTTTTTTTTCTTTTGTTTTCTTTTCCCTTCTCAAGCGATACCCAGATATGCTTTTGAGTACATACATGGATGATATATTGCATAGCATAGATAAGGTGTTGGCGTCGGTAGATACTGAAGCGTACATAAGTTTACTTCAAATATATTTTTCAGTTCAGCTCCGATTATAAATAATGTAGAGTATACAAGGTGCACTAGCTCTATGCATTTATTTCCGTGACTGCTTTCTAGCCTTTTTCTCTTTCTCATATAACTTCGCTTCGCGCCCTTCTTCCCCTTGTATCTCTGCAACAAGACGACGATACTTCCTCTCATATTCGGCATCCCTCTCTTTCTTCTCACGTAAGCTCTCGCGAGCAATGAAGTTGGCATCCTTGCGCAATTCGCGCATAGCACCTTTCTTCTCGCGCTTATGTTCTGCCTTGAGCTTGCTGAGCTCTGCACGCTCGCGGTCGGGATCGTAATGTCGGTCAGGGTTGAAGGATTCCTCAAATTTGGGAATGCTGGATTTAATCGCAAGCGGTCGGTGATTATGAAGTAGTAATGGCCTTCTGTCCTTTTTACAGGAGGCGAGAAGTGCTTTAATTGTCTTGAGGGATCGACGGAGGTGAGTTGATAAAGCAGAAGGGAGAGCAGCTTTGGGGCAGGATTCGATAACATGTTGTAGAACGGAGCTTGCGGGTTCGAAAATTTCAAGGGACGATAGCTTGGTGCCCCATAACTCAGCGGCCTTATCAAGAAGAGTAACCAGGATATTAAGCAGAGAGAGCTTAAGGTTCTCCGCATCGCTACCATTCAGGCTTGTGGAGAAAATATCCCAAAATTGGAGTTTCCGAAGATCCTTAGAGCAAACTTTATCCAGTTGTAATCGCAACTGGACTTCAGGGAGTCGGACGGGGAAAAGGCCGGGGTTAGATTTGCTTTCCTTTGGTGCAAGAATGGTTAGGGAGTTGAGGATGAAATTCATGAACTCGGGTATATATCGTTTAGAGTATGTTTGATATTGAAGACAGAGACTGGCAATGTATGCCCCAGTCGCAATATCATTCAAGGAATTGACTGGCCCTTGGCCTAGGTAACGGCCCATCGTAAGGATTGAGGGCGTGACAACGGCGTGGAAATGGTCTGAAGTAGGGAATATCGTTGCAACTCCAGTAAGCAAGACAAGATCGCCAGGTAGTAGCCCCAACGGTCTATTTTCCGAGATATCGCGGAGTTGGGATCTGAATCTTGCTGCAACTTCCTCAGGATAAGTTTTGGCCATGGAATGAACATGTCGTAGCACACTCTCCACGATAGCAAATGATGGCCGCGTAGTTTTATTTGCAAGGTATACTGCATGATCAACAAGGATTTTGGAAAATTCTCCGAGCTTTGCCTTGTTATCGGGATGAAGACTAGCGTGGTGCAGTGCTCGTATCCTCTGGACAACGACAGGGGTATTTTCGATATCAACTCCCTTCAAGATCTGAAGAAAATGATCATGGGATTCGGGGCATGGATAGGTGAATGCTAGTGAAGAGTCATTCGGTGCTTTGAATGTGGTCCCGCCTGATGCTGATGGTCTGTCTTTAGGAAGTTCTAGATCACCAATGAATTCAGTATCATCGGCATCATCCTCCTCCTCTTCAGACTCAACATCACTCTCGGTGATAGAGACATCAGCAACAGATTCGTTATCCACAAGGTCGTCGTCAATGATAAAGTCATCTTCGTCCTCAACACCAAACAGGCCATTTGACGTCTCGGGCTGAGCGAGCCCAAACGCTTTGGCGTCGTCTGGCTCGGAGTCATCTTGGGGTTCTTCCTCAACAGCATTTTCGACAGGCTCCTCGTCGCTCTCCTCTTCTCCTCGCATGCGCCGTAACCGTTCGTTCTCCAGCTCTTGCAACCGCTTAGCCTCTTCCTCAATCTTCTCCTCCTCAGTCTTGGTTCGGTCTGAAGGTTTCGAACGCTTATCGAATGCCATTTGCTTTAGCCGCTGATCGTACTCGCGATCTGCTACATCCCTATCCTTTCCGCCTAGTAGGGCTGCCCGATCAGGGTCCATCTGAGGAGGTCCTGGGACTGGTGCGGGCGCGGGCTTGGGTTCCGCCGCTTTTGTACCTCTCATCATCGCAAACACATCCGGCAGGCCTTGATCCAGGATGGCTCGAAGTTCATTATCATCTTCTTTGGACTTCTGGCGCTCATATTTGTATTGTTTCGATTTCGCAATAATTTCCTTCATGACTTCGTTTTTGCTCTTCTTCCTCTCTGGCTGTTCATCTTCGTCCTCATCATCATCAGCCATTCCTTCCATATCATCAACTTCCTCTAATATGCGTTTTCTCTTTTTACCCGTTTCAGCATCACTCTCTTCCTCTAGGCCGCTAAGATCCTCGTTGAAGTCATCCTTTCCTGCGTCGACGTCAAAAAGAGATTGACCCATGTGGGTAAGTTGCATTTCCTCCTCCTCATCATCTTCAAGGTTGAACAGTCCCTCTTTTTTAGATCGCTTTTGGCTCTCTCTGGCATAACGCTCCGCTGCTCGTTGCTCCGGTGTCATGGAAGGGTCGTTTTCACCAAATCTCCGATCGAGAAGGCCACCGACCTTATTCCGGCTTTGAAGTTCCTTAAGAAGTGTTTGTTTTCTCTATAATATCTGGTAGTTAGCTTCTGAGGTAGCAAGATAAATATATAAACTAGCTACGAGTAGCTGACCCTTTCTTCTCCCAGCCCTCTTGTTACGCCGGGTCGATGGGCTGAGCCGGTCTCCGGCCTTGCAGTAGTGACCGCAAACTTCGACGGCCGCGCAGGAGCTCTGACTTCGAAAGGATTGAACTGTTCCCGTATCGCTTGAAGAGCAGCATTTCGTTTTACGCGATTTTCGGCTGCGGCGCCAGACTTCGAGTTTTTCTGTTTCTGCTTCTTGGACAGCTGAGGGCCAACAACTCCTTTTTCTCGCAAGGACGCTTTCAACTGCTTCAGCTGTGACGGCGCCATGTTCAATTGCCCTCACAGCAACGTCCTTTTCCTAGGGGCGCAAAAAGAAAATGCGGCGTTGACGTGTAGTTAAAAAGCGAACGTAAAAAAAAAAAAAAAAAAAAGTTGAAGGTTGAAATTTTGATAATCGATAAGCTCCCGCCCTCACCGCCTTTGGATTCTGCCGCGCTCTTTTTCTAACGTCAAAATCAACGACAAACAACAAACTCGCAGCAAAGACGCAGCAGACAGACGGCCGGCGGAGGAGCAAGCCATGGGGCTATCGTCTAGCTTGAAGATGAATATACGGAAGTGATGGCGTCCACTGGTAACGACCGTATTCTATGGCTTTGTCTAGGTACAGTCCTTCCACCCCCGGTCTCTCGAACATGATGAAGTTATACTAACTGGTTTCCGCCAGGGGTTACACTCTTCTTTGCTGCGCAACGCATTATCGCAGAGCTCTATCAAGTGAAAGACCTCACTGAAATAAGGAAGATTGAGAAGGAGGATCCGGTTATTGGACAGGCAACGGAAGATGGTATGCTACTCCGGTTTTCAATGTAATACTTTACTTCGCGGAGCTGACTTGTTTCTTTAGCCTTGAGATTAGAGACACTCCAGAGGCTCGCAGGAAGCTCTAGCTTTGATCTACGAGCTGCGTCAGTACTAGACTCATCTGAAACCCCCTCTGCAGATGTCTAATTTGGTTTTCTATCTTTAGGGCACTGAGAATTATATCAGAGAGGTCAACCAAGGGAACGACGAAAGAATTGCTTTTGGACGACCTTGCTGGCGATGACCCTGAACGCAGGGAGAAGGCTCTAAATGCATTGAACTTCCTTGTAACCAGCTCGGCGTGTATGTCATTACCTTGGCTAGCCGTTTGATTTATGGACTGACCTTTATGCCACTTAGTGGGTCGTTCGAGTGTTTCTATGCGCCTGAAAGATGTAGCCACCTTCAGCGCGCTTGTTGATTGCCTGTGCAACTTCCTCCACGAACATACCGAAAAGTCTAATGATATAATATCTCCCATTTGCCCGCAGACTCGACCGCCTGGAGAGAACAAGGCCTTGAAAACGCTTAGCGTGATGCTTCCTGGAAATGTTATATCTGCACTAGAAGCTGGTGTTGTTAGTCGGTGGCTGACATATTATCCCTTTCCTTGCGTCTTACGTGACAAGTCCAAAAAGCGGAGCATTGTATTCATGATGAAAACATGGTGGGCGGACGATCCGGCGATGGGGTCTATAGTAAATACTTTATCCTCGGAACCAGAAGGGCTGAAACACCTGAGAAAGTTTGGATTAATGGGAAGTAGAATGGAAGAGCATACCACAAGTCTATTTGGTGATGAGATTCACGATGATGGAGATGACCCCCTGATTTACAGGGAGGATCACCAGGCTTATGACACTACCGACTCCGGCTCGGATGCAGATAGTGACGTGTGGATGGTCGACGGTGAAGCGACAGCAGGTATTTCACCATGGCTTAATAGCCGCCCACAGGAAACCTCCGCTGAAGAGCAAGCACTTCGCAGACGCCGCAGAGAAGCCATGGTTTTCAGTGAAGGTAGCCGGCCGTTGGTTGCAGACAATATATTCCACCCTGTTAGGTCTCCCGACTCTGACTTGCCGGAGGAGGACTGGGAGCTGGGAGACGACAACCCATCCTGGGACACAGAAAATTCCACTGAACTCGATATCCAAGAGAATCCAGAACCAGAATCCACTCGGAGTCAGTGGCTTTTATGGCCTTTTTGACCCGGAACACCGTGATTTCTGTTACATGTGTGGAAATTGCTACGTCAAGAAGCAGGGCTATTCTATTTATTACAAACCCTACGAATAATTTGCATGATAACTTGTATTTTTAATAGTTGTCACACCCTATGACATCCAGGTTTCCCAACGAAGGGAACAATAGGTGTAGTAATGATAATCTGTTAAATTATATCGTACATAGCAATATCTATATTACAGTCCACACTAGGTAGATACCCTATTTTATTTCCAAGAAGTCCAAAATAAACGCCGTAACACACCCAATGGGCGTCTATGAAGTTACAAGTGAATGGAGAAAGTGGAAGATCACGCATCGTATGAAGGAGGTTCACCAAGATAAAGGTCATTCATGCCCATATGCCGCGCTGCTGCTTGTATTCTCTCTTCAATTTCGGCGGGGTCTCTCGGCATACTTCGTAAAACCAGTCGTAACAGATCACACATCAGGTCTACCTCGAACTCCATGTGGAACTCTTGATCCATATCATCTAGGTATATACCCTCTTTAGCGGCTTGCACTGTCTTCTGCTCCCGCAACTTGTTAAGCAGACCGCCGACATATTGAAGGTTTTCCTTTGCACGGGGGGTGGAGGAAATGCGTCTGTGTCGTCGTTTTGGTAAAGTTGCTTCATCGCCAGTAGGAATCAACCGTACGACAAGGAATACTAAGATTCTGACGGTATCGGCATCAGGGAAGAATCCAAATGTTTGTTTCATGGCACGAAGGGCAACAATTGTCCCTTCGGGGTCAAGAGAAAGACAGAAGCATCGAATAATATGGTCATAGAGGTCCTTCGAGAATGCATCTTGGGTATGTTTCTGAAGTTGTGATGGTAAGTTTGAATACCACTGATTCATTTCAGAGTATAAAGCGCGGGCATTAGGGAATTGTGCATTGAAACAAGAGCGTGTTCTGTCATACTGAATTTTCCCACAATCCCAGAGGCAAGCAAACGTTTCAAGATCAGGCCTGATGTTTGCCATGGTGCTCTTGTATCCAGACCAAACGCCTAATATATTCTGCTTTCTTAACTCCCTATAGAGAAGATGGTTGGCGAAGAACGTGTTTGGTCGAATTTGGGCTTTATCAAGGCACTCCACTAGATGATTTATCAGTGGACCCTTATCTCGCCGGGTATAATGCAGCAAGAGAATGGAAAACGTCTCGATGGTAGCCTCAGGAAGAGTGCGTTGTTCATACTCCGGTGTAGCTCCCTCTGGTAAAGAACCGTTGACGGATGATGTCTCTGACTGATCACCACAAATACGATCAACTCGTTTTCTGATCATAGCCCATCCAAGCTCCTCCGCTTTTTGTCTACTAGAACCACTTCCTTCACGAAGCCATGCTCCAATCAGGCCATTGAGATGTTTAGCGTCAGGTTTCACACCTCGCTCATACATAAGCTCAACAACTTTAGCCGCTGCATCAAGCTCTTTCATGCCAATGAGCTTCTTGATCCAGCTGGCATAGAAAAACTTGTTTTGAAATTTCCGAGGAAGAATTGTTAAAGATGCAAGCGATACTTTATTGACATCAGACTCGTTGATACTGTCTGAATGAAGCTTTCCAACAAGCCCTAATGATGCCTTGTAAAGAGCATCCGACTCAGTGGACGAGTTCTGACCTGTAAGCATCATATCTTTAAAGACAGCCAGAGCCATATTGACTTTTCCAGAATTGAGGAATGCAACGCTGATTGCATCGTAGTCGGACATTGTAATATCTGTTCCTAGGCTTGTCTTGAAGTGTAGGTATAATGTCCAGGCACGGACGTCGTTTTCAGGATCGCCACTCTGAGCCCAGCAATTTATAACTGGAATAAGAATCCGGGGGCCGTGTGACGGGTCCAGGGACATGTATATTAATGCGGCACCTTGAGCGTTTTTGGGGTTCATATTGGCCACAAACAAGCGAACTCCCATATTCCAGTACTCCTTTTTCTCAGAAAGCGTGTATTCATTCAAGTCTGGTTCCCTTTCTCTCCATAACGCAAGAGCCTTTTCCTGCTGCCCGTCTATGAGAAGAGCATCCATATACTCAACCCATTGCTTCGCCTCAAGAATTCGTCCACTGCTAAGTAAATCCTCGGCGAGAGTAATAAGGTGACGAGGGGGTATCTTTTCGGTTGTATTTAAGCTTGGACGCTGTGATTTCCAGAGCATATCTATCGACTCTTCTGGGGCGATATCAAGGAAGAATGGAAGGGCTTCTTTACACCGGCGATATGATTTCCAGGCAAACTGTTTCTCTGCAACACTTGGAGTGCCTTTTAATGATTTCAAAGCCTTATTGAATCTCGTGACATAGGCATGATGGCTCTCCGGAACCTTCAATTCAACCTCATAGGATTCCCTTTCCTGCTCGACGGGCTCCGTGGTTTTGGGCGAGCCAGACAGTTCCTTGGTAGGATCCCATAGCTCTTCCTCCTCTGCCTCTAGCCTCTCCAGTTCTTTATTTATCGCTTGATCAAACTCTGCCGTCATGCGATTCTTGAGCTGTTCGTCCCTCTGATCTTCCTCTTCCCAATTGTGCTCGGCGGCATATTTTGTGATGGCTTGCAGCGCCCTTTTCCTATCCTCCTCAGACAAGCTCCTCATAAACTCGCCATCTAGAGCGAAAGGGCCTTCCTTAAGGGCATCTAGTTCGGTTTCCAGCTTCTTTAGTTTCTCCCTCGCCCTGCGATGTTCTACTACATCCGGCGTATCTGGATCGACCTCAAAATATTCCTTGCTGTTGGTAATCGACTTTTCAAAGTTACGGACAGACACCTTTGGCTTTCCATCACGCAAGTAGTATGCTCGTGTAGTGGAAAAAGGTCGAGGGAGGGTGAGAGACGACGGAGCGCGACGGGGGAGGCATGTTGTGAGCGCATGCGGATGCCACCGAGTTCCCTGGAGTGTCAGCCGGCGCATGAATGCAGCAGAAGGTATTCAGCTCATTGAGATACTGGAGATGAAGCAAATAGTGTAGGCTATCGTTCAAATCCTGCGTCGAAGCTCGAGAGTCGAAATTTGAATAATGTGAAAGGTCGAGATCTTCAATTTGAAAATCGATGGAGCTTGTCCTGCCAATTGGGTCTTGGCACATGACCTGTTTATTTTGAGGTCCGTTCCTGAGACGCGACAAAAGGCATGCAGAAGGAAGAGATTCACCAACATCGATTATTAGGATACATTTAATGAAAAGACAGCTAGTGGCTGGTATCAGTCTTCTTTGGATGGCTTGGATTTGATATTTTAACCATGCAACCTGGCCATGAAGCTGCCGGCGGCCTTGCGGGCTTCGAGTATCAGGTTTGTCCCCCTTGCGTTAATTCGGATCTCATCTATCTGACTGTTAGATAGGGATCATATATTTATAAGCCTGCGAAGAAAAGCAATGATACCAATGGAACCTCGAATAAAAGACGAAAGGTCAATCATGCCTCGAGCAGCCAAAGCTCAGGGAGCCGTATATCCCCGTTTGTGCCGCTCTTGAATGGATATGAAACCAAGGAGTCCGTCAAATTACGATATGGCCTATTCCAGGACCTGTGGACTCAGAGAGAGCACACAATTCAGGTTCGTCCGGCGGGAAGTGATGGGTCATCGCAATTCTAACATGTTCCTATAGTCGATCCTCCGCGAAGTGGATTCAGAAGTGCTAAAGAATATAGCAGCTTTCATTGAGGAATCCTCGACGGTAACGTATGAAGCGCGTTGATGCAAACAGTTTGCATTTGATATTAGCGCTAACTGCTCTGCAGCTGCAATGGACGTATTCCTACCGGAATGATATCGGTAGGATCAAATATATCATCAACGGGTGGTCTTTTAGAACGCCTACGAAAGGAGCTACAGAGTTCAGGCAATGCATGTTTAGTCACTCTAGACTCTGGGGACACATCAAACATCAAGAATGCCTTGAAAACGATCATCAAACTTGCCATCACAAGTATGGAGGATATCGATAGCTACCGCGACTCTTTAACGTCGAAAACGGTAATATCTTCCCTGTCTCTTACCCAATGATACCCTCGACTAAATCATATATAGGGATTGAAACTATTGCCATATGATCTGGACTTGATGCTGGCATGTGTCAGGAGAAATGGCGTGAAGAAGGTTGTCATTGCTTTTAGGGACAGTGAAGCCTTTGATAGCAGTGTCTTGTCTGACTTGATCACGCTATTATCGTAAGGTACCCTGACTATCCGTGTATGAATGTCACTCTGACCGACTAAAGATCCTGGTTGGACCGTATACCCTTTGTCTTCCTCTTTGGAATAGCGACGTCAGTCACATACCTCGAGTCTAGACTGCCCCGTTCCACAGTAAAGCTGCTAGAAGGTCGCCTTTTTGATTTTCAAGATTTCGGGGACTCAGTGGATCGTATCTTCACGGCCCTTTTTGCCCACAATAACGAAGGCCCATGGATCGGACACAGTGTGAGCCATACTTTGATGGACAAGTCGGGGGATTGCTTTCAAAGCCCCGAAAGGTTTGGTAACACTATTAAGGTACGTGCGTGTAGCATCACATAAAAGTTCCTTATAACTTACTAATATTAATGAATAACAGTACGCCCATATGGCCCATTTTTTTGCAAATCCACTTTCAGTGTTACTTGCAGGTGAGATACAGGGGAACAAGCTTCAGCCTGAATTATGTGAAGCAATTCGGAATACGCCTTCGTTTCGGAAGTAAGAAAGCTCTTGAAGTTGATGTTAATTTGACAATGTCACTTACTCTTTTCTTAGGCATGTGCAACATCTTTTAGATATCAAGGACAGTGAATCTGCGAAAGAGATGATGAAAGACGACACTATCCTTGCCAAACAAGCCTACCTAGGCATTTCAGTTTCCCGGCAAAAAATGAGAGATATCTTTAGCTGCGTTGACTGGTTTGTAGCGTTTACTCGCAACATGAAGTCTCAAAAATCAGCGAACCATTCTGAGTGCATCATTCTTGCACTTGGCGGAGAGCTGCTTGAATCCAAAATTCTGGTTGAGACGCTTGAAGCTGCTAGGAAATTAAACTCAGAGGAGCTTGATTCTGCATTCGGGCTAATATCAAACCTGTCAGCTGAATCTGCTGCCGTACTTTACGAAATCCAAGAATTGATACGCACAAAGAAATCTAAAGGCGTACTGCGTTCTCAACATGACGCACAGTTAACGAGGCATAACACAACTGTTGTCGGCCAAAGAGTGAAGCTGACGAAAGGTAAAGCGAAGCTCTCAAATGAGGAATTGAAATACAGCGAATTGGTGGACCGACTGTGTGACTCAATACAGAAATATCTTGCTGAGAAACTGATTAACCCCAAGGATCTTTTCCTGCATGAGTGCTTGATATTCGATTTTAAGTCTCCCATTCGAAATACCTTTACTCCCAAGTGTCGGCACACAGTTGAACGAGCACTGTCTCACCCGTTTGACTACCTGGACTCGAAGGAAGATGGGGAGATAGAAGCCCTGTCGGCAGGCCAGCCACCAATATCTATTCTCTATCAGCTCTACCTTGAGTCCGGTGCTGTGGTCAACGTTTATGACTTATGGAGAGCATTCTATGCAATTGTTGGCGGAGAGGACGCGGATAGGTGTGAGGAGCGTGTGGCATTCTCAATATTTTACCAGTCCCTGGCAGAACTGAAGATGATGGGAATGGCAAGAATAAGCAGGAAGAAGACGGACCATCTGGCAAAGTCTGCTTGGACAGGCTTGTAATATTAGTTGAGGCCATGATATCCTTTGAAGCTAACCTTCTCGCCAGCAGAAAACTGACATGTGTACATTAATCGATCCTTTTTGCAAATCAAATATATAAACCTCAAAAGGGTTTCATAGTCTTTATTGTTCGTTCGAGAATAGTTATAATTCGTAATGATGTACAGGAGTAACTTCCAAAAAAAATCTTTTCTACCAGAATTAACAAAGGCATAAGGACAGTTGAATACGAAGGCATAGGGGGAATATAGTCTAAAGAAACGGGAGAAGAACGAAAGACCCAAAACGCTTATTTCTTTCCCTTCTTTTTTTTCTTTCCCCCTCCGCTCACAGAGCCAGCTGCGGAGCCAGTAGGGCTAGCCACATCCACAAGGACGGTATCCTCATCACTGCCAGGCTGTGTATTATCACCCGTAGATCCACCCTTGGTTTTGGAGCTTTCTGTTGTGCCACTCTTCTCTTGTTCGAGTTCTTTCATGAAGCCTTCTTGTATGCTTGCCCGTTTGCGATCCCACCATTCCTTTTCTTCTGTGACAGTGGCTTGGAGAGCATTTATATCAGCTCGTGCCATACCGTTCAGGAACATCTCATTTGCGGACTGGAAAATAACCTGGCCCCAGCCGGGGGTATAGGCGTTGGCCTGAGTGTTGAAATGTGCTTGTTAATATTGGCTAGGTTGGTTTTACACAATAAATATGTTTCATGCATACCTCTGATGCCACGTCTCTGAATTCCTCCTCCATTTCTTTCTCTGCTCTCGTAAACTGTTGCCATAGGTCATCACCCACGTTACCCTTCTGTAGCAATGACCCCAAAGCGGCTTTCTTTGTTCTAAGTTCAAGAAGCCGCTTAATGTCTTCTGCTGCGCGGTGTAGTAGTGCGGCCTTCAATATGGTCTCAGGTGCCTTCTTCTCCATGTGGAGAATTGAGAAGTATATGTCGCGCTGGAGGTGTGCTGGAAACCATGGCTTTAGGGAGCTAGCTTTTTCTGCAAACAGATCAGGTCAATTATTAGTATATATTGCGCAAGGAAGGTAGAAATCTGCCGAGAGGTTCTGGGGGTTCAACGTACGAATCTTGCGTTTGCGGTAGAGGGAGGAAAATGTTGCGAGCGAGCCGACCAGGACGGCGAGATAGGCCAACGGGATCGTTAGACTGAGCCAGTCTATCTTGAGAAAGTCCAACATCTTGAATTATGTTATATATGGAGTAGGTATCGGCAGAGTAGACGGTCTTCTTTTTCAGGTCGTGTGTACGGAGTACCTCACGGCGCAAAGCTCGCTGCCCGACGAAGCTGTGAAGGGGGCGCGATCACACCGCCGCGGCGGTCAAATCTGCGTGTAGAGCGAGAAGCAGTCCAGATATCTCCTGGCAAGCAAGCAATCGATCTCGAACGGCGGTGTGTCGTGGTGTTTTCGTTCTTCTCCAAGCCGCGATAGTTGTGGATGGGTTTTTGCTGCGGGAAAGCTGGAGATGCCACCTAGACCAAAGAAGGCCGCTGCGGCGTCACATGTTTCGATTAGTTACTCAACCTCCACACAAAAGTCAATCAACTAACTATACAAAGCCTCAGCAGTTAACGATAGCAAGTTTGGTAGAGGAGAAATATTGGACTACAGATACAATAAAGGAATTTTGGATGGTGTACATGCTTTCTGTGCCCAATGGGGTTTTCTATTATTTCATCCCCGAGGGACATACCACCACTAACTATAGCAAATCAGATTCCCTCAAGGACAAAGTAGAATGGCATATATGACACATTAAACAGAAGGAATGAGAAAGACGGGAGGTGAGGGTAGAATCCAACGCCGACAAACTCGCTGTACAGTGGAAAAATGAAGATAATCTCATGAACAAGAAACATTTGCATATCAAGGTGAGAGAGACGAAGCAGGCAGAATGGGAAGTGGAAGTAATACAGGAGAAGGATCGGGGGTTATTTTGTAAATATTTCTGCAGTTACAGCCGCATGCGGGTTACATGGCTCTAAAGGAAAAAGGAATCAATATACAAAGAAGGATGCATCATGGCCTGGACTATCCCCTTCGTTGGAGTATATATCGTTATCATGTTCATTGGCGGCCCAGTTTCTGAGTTGTGTCGACGTAGTTCTGGCTTGATTTTATATCATCAAGTGTTTCGAGAAAGGTATCCCTCAATATTATGGCAACTTCTTGCCTATTCCACTCGTTGCGGTTGACCCATAGGCAGTCCATAAGCTCAGTGTTGATCTGTTCTAGTTGCTCGACTGAGAATCCTCCCGTCTTGGTGCTAAGTTCATCATGAAGCTCTCTATTGAAGACTTCATCCACCATTAAGTTCGGTTTTAAGTTCGGCGGCGATGCCTCAGGCTGCTTTGGCTCACTGTTGATGAGGTGCGAGATACGGGTGGGTTCACCGTTGCGTGAGGGAGGGGTAACGGGATTTCCATGTGTGTTAGCCCCTGAAGAACGGCTAGAAGTGGCATCGAAAAGCGGCGGAGGGCCAACAGGATGTGGTTGAGACGCTTGGGAATGACGCGGTTGTGATTGGCTACCATTCGCATTGGATGTGGACTGTGAGTGAAGGAATTCAGCAACGCCACGGAGAGGTGTCATTTGAGAGGAAACCCAGGAACTATCCCCTTGCTGAGTCTCTGGGAGGTGCTCATCGCCTGAAGCACGATCGGGATATAGCGTAAGATCTGGCGCATCATGCATGGCCGATCCTATCAAGGAAGCATGGGGATTTGTATGCATGACATCAGTGGGACCAGAATTCTTTTTGTCAGACGTTGTTTGGGTCGTCGAGGCATCGTTAACATAGTCACCAGGTTGTGATCCAGGGGCCATCGGTGTGATATTGCCCTTTTGTGACAATGTAGACAGACCGGACTGGTGTCTCATAAACTGCGAAGGCGCAGTGTATGAGTGCAGTGGCCTAGGCTGTGCAGATGGGCCAAACGAGCTGTTTTGAGTATTGTTCTGGTGTGTGCCTGAGGTGTGATCCGAATTGGACATCTGAACATCACCATCACCTTCTGGCTTATGCAGAGGTCCGTTACTGGTTGGAGGTCGAACGCCGTCAACACCACCATGAGGATGGAAACCTGGAGTATGTCCATTTGTCAAAGATGGATAACCAGGGCCAGATTTGCTACCAGGTGCCGGGCACGGACTGTTGAATAACTCGCCTAGTACCACGGGGCCGGCTGATGATACATTGGACAGTTCAATGCTTCCATGTGCTATGTTCATTTGTGGTGGTGGGCCAGCTGGAGGCTTCATTGTGCCATCGGCATCGGCTACTGGCTGCTTTATCTTCTCCAGCGCAGCCTTCTCACGTTCTAACTCTCGTGTGTATACCACCTCACACTCGGCCACTAGTGCCGGGTCAGTATTGTCAATCGCACCGATGTCAACTTCAACGTTTGCCAATAGTTCATTCGCTTTCAACTGTCTATCAGGGTCACCAAGTTGCTTTGCATCCTTAGCCAATCTTTTGATGTCAGCTAAAAAGTCCTTTGGGCGTTTGTAATATCCGTTGGATAATCGCTTCTCGATGGTCACGATATCTAAGTTGTAATAGAATTTGCCCGATGCAACTTCCCGCAGACCAGGGACGCCAGCCTTGTCTGTGTCCTTCTCATAAGGCCTAAACGCGCTCCGTTGCTGTGGAGGTAGGTCGGACGTGACAACATTCGGATCATCGTCGTCATAAAGATATCGTATTTGGGACTCGTCAACAACACCCGTTCTGAATCGCTTATATTTCCGAATCTGGTCCATGATAGGCTGTATTCTAATCTTCATGAGATTAAGTGTCTGTCGGTCTTTTCGTTTTTGTGCCTTTAGTTCCTCTTTTGTCGGGGCTGGTGGTGGCTTTGGAGGAGCTGGAGGAGCAAGTTCAAGCTGCTCAATCACTCGCTTTTTCCGGTTATCTGGGTCAGGAAAATCGGCTGGTGATGTGCGTATGAAGTCAATAATGGGCTGGAAGAATTCCCGGCGTTGAGACAGCTCCGGATAACTAAGGAAATATTGGTTTTTCTTAGAGAATCCAAATAGGCTGCGTACAATATCGGAGTTTGCCTCATATTCAGCTTCCCCTTCCAGGATACCCAGTAATAGCACAGGGTCTGTCGGGGGAATTGAACGCAGCAAGCCCATAAAGGTGGATATCACAGCGTTTCCAAGTGTTTCGTACCATGACCGGATGTTCGGAATGCAAATAACACTGGGTTTGTTACGCTTGACTTCGGCAAAGAGTTGTACCACAACCGCCTCTGGTGACCTGGTTGAATCACTCAATAGAGTCGGAAGGTCGAAGGACTGGACATGGATGCCCTCGAAGTGGTTCAGTAGGGCAGATGTGATGTACTGTTGTCCCATTCCGTACTCTCCGCGGATAAGTAGCCTGGGTCTGAACACCCGCGATCGATCGAACTCTTCTTGTAACTTCTCGCGTTTGAATCCAATGTCGTCATTAGGTTGCTCAAACTGTGCTTCTTCCAGGGCAGTAAGTGCTTTCCTCCTAGGGACAAGTTTGGAGATGCGTTCTTGGATTTCGCGCAGGGGTTCTCGTAGCAGTGGCTCAACTGTACTGTGAAGAGGAGATGCACCAGAGGAGGCAGATCTCTCAGAAGAGGGAACAATTTTGTTGAGTGAGATCATGAAGTCCTTGAAAGACACCTTGATCTTTTTAGGATCAATCAATAGCTTATCCTTGGATTGGTATATCTGAGGATAAACCCGTTGTACAGCATTCAGAGCCGCCTCTGTGCATAATGCTCGTAGATCGGCACCACCATATCCCTTGGTTGAAGCAGCTAGCTTGTCTTTGAATTCGTCTGAAAGCGCAGGCTCCCAGCCTCTGGTGTTGATGTCAATAATAGCTCGACGGGCTTCAACATTAGGAAGCGGGAAGTAGAATTCCCTATCAAATCTGCCTGGGCGGCGGAGAGCGGGATCGACAGAGTCTGGCCGATTAGTGGCGCCAATAACAATAACTTGACCTCGACCATCCATGCCATCCATCAAAGCAAGGAGGGTAGACACGATAGAGGAATGAATTTGTTCTTGCTTGCTGGATCGGACAGGAGCGAGACCTAAGGTTAGATGTCATGTTAGCACAGATGCACCTAGTAGCCGGTATGGACCAAGTATACTAGCTTACCATCAATTTCATCAAAAAAGATGATACTTGGCTGTGTTCTTCTGGCCTCCTCGAAGAGCAACCTGAGCTGCTTCTCGGCTTCACCAACCCATTTGCTCAGGGCGTCAGCTCCTTTTCGCATGTAGAATGTCACCTTACGTCCATCAGTGCTGACACTGGTAGCCAATGCACGCGCCAGAAGCGTTTTACCGGTTCCCGGGGGTCCATGGAACAAAACTCCTCGAGGTGGAATGATGTTTAGACTCTGGAAGACCTCTGGATAAAGCAAGGGTAGAGAAACCATCTCCTTCAACTGATCTATATGACCCTGTAAACCACCCACGCTGTCAAAATTAACGTTCGGGTTAACTCCCAGAGGATCTGCATCGGCTAGAGCTTGCTTGTCTTTGATTTTCCCGTAGTTAGCAGGCACTCCGGGAGCGCCTTGCGCTGGATCAGGGTGCAGCTGGCCTGTCATGCCTAGGCCGAGACTGGGAGCAAGGGAGGCCGCGGTCATTCCGCTAGGAGCGCCACCGGGGCCCTTGGAACGAGCAGCAAGTTCGTCATCTGAGCTATCACTGTCTACGCCTCCATTGGCGCCCATGCCTGCAGGGCCCCCAAGTAGAGGTGTTGGCCCAGCACCGCCAAAGGGCCCATAAGTAGAGAACAGGGTTCGCTGCCATGTGCTTCCCCCAGCACGTCCACCACGGCGTGACGGAGATCCAGCCGGTTCAACTTCACTTTCTTCTAATGGGAGTAGTAGTTCTGGACGGATGAGCCGGTAGTCGACAGACTTTCTAGTTCGTCGTGGTTTGTCTTCGTACACAATATCGGGTTTCTTCCGTCGAGGCCGTGTTGATTTCAACTCTGCCAGTTCCTCTTCAATTTCACGGGCTTCAGACTCGGCACGGGAATGAGAATAACGCTGCCGATTACTACGACGGGTACGAGGCTCGTTGCCGCTGTCGTCCTTTTGCGGAGAGGCCAAGGATGCAGCGGAGTCGGAAAGTTCTTCTTCTTCATGACTTTCTTCGTTCGGCTCAAAGTCACTACCGTCATCTCCTGGTGGTTGGGATCTTTTTCCAGCGGTTCGTCTAGTGGATCGGCGAACTGGCTGGCTTCCTTCCTTTTCAGCCTGTGCCTCTTCTTCCTCTGCCGGCTCCTGTTGTATTCTGTTTCGTCGAGATCTTGTTCGTGACACCGGTCCTTCATCGTCCTCGTCGTCTTCCTCGTCCTGCTCGACGCGATCGTGTTGAGACTCAGGGACAATCCCGTCCTCACCCATTTCAACGTCTGGCTCACCTCCGTCTGCATCTTCGTCTGCGGGCGGATGGGCGTTGTCAGAAGCTGCAACAGCCGGTGCATCCTCATCGAAACCTCCTTGAGGATCACTTTCCATGATCTCGACCTGAGATGCACCCACACGATCTAGATGGGACTCGTCCTCCTCATCCTTGGGTATTTTTGATTCATCTCCATCACCATCTTCTTCCTCAACGTGAGATAGCTGTTGACCCTGGCGTGTGGGAAGGGATTTAACAGGCTCTGGGCTGCGAGTACCCGGGCGGATGGTTTCGACATGTCGACCTGAGCCAGAGAGAGCCACGATATCTTCCCTGTCGTCGTGTGCAAGGCGACTGCTTCGCCGAGTAGACTGTCGAGTGCCTACGCTTATTGGATCTTGTCGTTGGACACTCGCGCTACGACCGCGGGAGCGTGTTGCACGGCCAGAGGGAGCGGGTTCTGCAGTCGTGGACTGTGTTGGCAATGGGAACTTGACAATTAACTTGCGCTTCTTCCCTTTCTTCTCCTGCAGATCCTCCTCTGGGTCTTTCTCCTCTTCCTTGTCCTCCAGGAGCTCGTCAATGTCGTCTTCATCAGGAGATGACTCTGCGTAGGATACTTTCTTCGTAGCGACCCGCCTCCTCACGGAGCCACGCGCATTTCTCTCTGCATTTGGGTCTTCGATCTCATCCTCAAAGTCATCTGACAGGTCGTCCTCTTCCTCCGAAAGCTCTGTATCCTCATCTATATCATCATCCGAATCTCGCTTGCGCTTCCTAGACGCTTGCTTCTTTGACTTGCTCTTCGATTTTTTGGCCGGCCTGCGCGATCGCTGTTCTCTGTCGTCGTAGTCATCGTCTTCTGGATCGGATCGGTTGACGAGCTCCTCGAGGGTAGGTTCGTACTTTCGAGGCATCTTGACTGCAGGAAAGAGTTCTCAGTAACTTTTTGCGGGAGGTGACCGGAGTGGTATTCTTCGATTCGGGTCGAAGGCAGTGTGAAATCAAAAACCGCGGACCCAGTCACCACAGCGAAGTTTCGGCGGATACCAGGGGCAAGAGAGGGTAAAATTCTCAGATGAATGGCTTGTGTTTCCGGTATTACCAGTGCCAGCGGGCCTTTAGCCTGGTGTCTGAGTGTGAATCGCTCTCGCGCAGAGGATGGACGGGGAAGGGCCAACAGCAGCAGGCTGAAACTCGGCGCAAGGGGAAAACCAACGGCCACCCAGCGAAGGACCTCAGCAGGGTCCCAGTCGGCGACAAATACCAGCCAGCGGCAGCCCGTAGAACCTGTGCTCTGCCTCTCCGGCGTCCGCTGTCCTGCTATCGGTGTCTCTGAGCGTGCGTGAGCGAGCGGGCTGCTTGTGTTGCTGTTCGTTCTGCTTGTTTCTGCTGGAAATCGCGCGCAAGGGAGAAAACAAACTTCGATGCCACGCTAAGCCTAAAGCAGCCTAGCGCCACGCTCTCGCTCGCCCTGCTGCCTGCGCTGCCCACCGCCTTCGCCCAAAGAGGACCGGGGATTCTGCCAGCCCCCCCAGAAGCTTTTGCGCATCACCAAAAACTAACAACACAGCAACACAACACCAAAAAATGCGTTTGTTCGCCCTCGACGCGGCCCGCCATGGACCACTTTTTGGCATCCCGAGATGTCCCATAACAACCAGCAGGGCTAGTTCTACCTCCTTCAGCCACATAAACACTATCAAACAAACGCTGTCCGGGCCTCCGGACGCCCACTCTGCGTCTCCCCTGAACCTCGTCGAGCTCGCCCAGGTCTCCTCTCTGCCCTGGATCGTCGTGAGGCTCAAGTAAAGCAAAAGAAGCTTATCGCCCTTAGGCTTTTGCGGGAACGTGCGACCTCCCCGCCCGTTTTTCCGCTTTGGGCCATCTTACATTGAAAGTCACGTGTTAATGATTAGTCATCTTGACCTCCGGCTTTGGCGTCCTCGAGAAATTTTGATGGCGAGAAAAGGGAGCAGGCAGCAAGTCAACTCAAACATATATATACATGTAAACGCTGGACGGCAAGACGACCTCAAATATGAATCCGGTGTCTCGGCTAAGAAGATCGAGGCAGAATATCTCGAGGATATACTCTCATCTTAATCAAAGAAATGCTCTTGGCCACCGTCGTCTATTTTCAACATCCCCATCCCATTCATCGAGCGCGTCACAGGTATGAAGAACAGCTATCCACTTAATATACTGTATAGATCAGCCTGTTAATCCCTTCGGCAGTCTTCTCCCTTGACGCTGGCATCATTCAAAAAACCATTCTTCAAAGTCTTTCTTGGCGCTGTCCTCACCTATCAAATTCTTTATTATGGCTGGCTAAGGCTCGAGGTAGAAGAGACCCAGGCCGAGAAACTAAGTATTACATCCCATATTCTTAATCTACCAAACTCGAGGAATGGGAATACTGACAGCTGCGCAGAAATATTGTCTGATTTACAAAACAAGGTCAAAGAGTTGAGGCCCAATGAATCGTGATTCAACGCTACTTTTTACTTATTATTTGCATAATTCTGTACTTTATACCCTCTCCATGCATCCTCTACCTGCTTTTCCTCTTTGTTTCTCTCCCATAGAGGTTGGATTTCTTTACTATTAACCATTATGGAGCCGTCGCCCCATCAGATGTATAACAGCCGCACTTCTACAATATTCGATAGCTAGACTTCTCATTCCCGACGAATCAAAAACAAAAATGGAGAACCACGACTTAGTTATATAATTCAGTAAGAGAACACCCCTCTAGCGATTACAAATACGCTAGACCACCATGGAGTTTCTCAAGATCTACCCGAATCGCACCGACATCTGCACCAACACGTCCTGCAATCTCTGCCTTCCTCTGGGCTCCCATATCAAGCCATCTTAGTAATAGATTACCGTCAATCATGCCACGCTGTCCACCCATACCATCACTCTCAACAGCCCGGTAACCACGTGGATTCAAACTACAAGGGTGTTCCAGCGCGTTAACTAGCTGCGACTGCAAGGCTAGCAGACGGCGGTAAGAATCTTCACCGAGAGGAGTAATTATTGCAATCGACCCTGTTTGGAAGGTCATGAGTATTTGGTATTTTGATGGTGGCGGTGAATCTGTGTCCATGGCATCCTCATCGACGGGTGAGGAGGGTGTGTGGCCCCCATGTGGTAATAGAGTCATGGTGGATGCAAAATGGCCTGTGTGGAATACGCTTCGATGTAGTAGGCGGTCGCCCTTCGAAGAACTTGGGTCTATAGAGTAACGGTATTAGTTTCGGATAGGCTCTTTTTGCAAAAGGCTTAGGGTTCACTAGGAATTACCCACCCTCAGGGTCGTACTGCAGAACATGGAGGTTGCAGTCATCGTCCGCAACTAAGATGTATAATTTATTCCCATCTGGAAGGAAGTCTGCATCCACGACCGCCAAGTTTTCATTCTCTTTACCGAAAAGATCCAGTTTATATGGTTCCTCCTGTTTGTGCGGGACGCTTTAGTAAATAATAAAATCCATTTTAGGGATGTATTATGGAAGAATATGCTTACCGAGTACCCAATAAACCACAGTCCCTTGAATGCGTCACCGATAATACACATTCCTGTTCCTTTGAGCTCTTTGAGAACGTTAACGTAACATTGGGTATCCTTGAAGGCTACGGGCAAAAGGCTTCCATCCTCCTTGAGTCCGCGCACCATGCACTTTTGGCCCTGTGCAACAATCAAAAAACCCTGTCCACCTATGCCTGACAAGGCCGTGACGGCACCCTTCACCTCTTCTTTCGCAAATAGCTTCAACTTCTTGTTCTTCTCGGGCTGATCAGGCTCTGGAACAACATCAATCACCTCGAAGACGCGGATGAATCCTTTGGGGACAATGTCTTCTCCCTTGACAATGGATGAGCCTACTACGACCATGTCTTTCCTCTCATGAGTTAATTCCGAAATCTCAAGACGAATAACTTCGATACACGTGATGCGCTCCGCAGGTTCGAGTTCATGGCTATTGAGGGAGCAGGTGAGTATGGACGAAGACGCATAAGAGTAAGTTTGCGGTTGAGCAACTTACCTATCAATGGTAGACCAGTTTCTGGGCTCTAGAAGCTTAATGGTCCCTCGTTCCAGCTGTGGAAGGAATGTGATAACTATAACGAATGGTCAGTACCGTAGATCGGGAAATAAAGTAAACGGGGTTCCATACACTCGTTTCTCCATTCAGTATGCGACTCATCGTCTTCAGGAAGTTTGAAGTCCTCCTTTGCACTGGTGCCAATCACATAACACTCAGATGCTGACGAATAAACGATACTATCGACTTGTTCCCCAAGAGTGATCTTGCGCGTTGCCCAACCACTATCGAACCGTGTGTTCGAAGGCAACCTTGACATCCGAATGACATTCTGTCAAGGGTATTGTCAGTTTCATTTGGCAGGTCATACAGAGAAAAGGGGTTATACATCTTCATCAACATATGCAAATCCACGTTCACATGCAGCAATGTGGAATCCGCTCAAGCTTTGAACAGCTTTACCACGCAGTCGTAAAACGTGTGGTCGTGCGATGGCTGACTTTAGTATGAAGCATGGACTATGCCCGGACATAAACACTGTTCTATACCCACAAACGTCGGGTAGTGCACGAAGCAGTTTGCATGATGAAGAACTGCGGTTGATATCCTGGTTCACACCCTGGTCGGTTCGAGGACCCATCACAACATGGTTCACCGCCTTAAGGAAGCGCAATCCGGACTGTCCGCTTTCACCAGCGGTGCGGTATGGTTCGTATAAAACTAAATCATCGTGTTTTGTACGTAACTAATCTGAAGTTAGACAGAAACTTGAAACAAAAATTGCTGGACCAGTTAGGACATACGATCATATAGGGAGATTTGTGGATAGCATCTCCAAGGTCTGCAATTAAGAGTTCGGTTAATGTCTCTCGATTCACAGGTCTTCTTGAAGAGGATTCATATGGTAAATTTGATGGCAAAAGATTTAAGTTATCGACACGGCATAATGACTCCGAAGTATTCGGGAGCCGGAATATCTACAGTCACTAATTAGCTTGCAAAACTTACTGCTGTCGTTCAGGGAGAAGGGACTTACGGAAAGGTTCCCATCACCATCTAGTAAGAACAGTAGTATATTAGGGCCCGCCTCATTTTCAATGTCAGAGTCAGGGAAAAATATATTCATTTTATCTTCGTACAAACAGCCGGAAATCCACTTTCCGGAGGCTGCTGAGCCTTGTACTTCAACCTCGTCCAGATCCCCATTCTTATCCGTCTGTAGGATCAAGAGAGAGTGGTCGTCACGAATAGTCAACAGGTATGGTTCCGCGAAGCTTGCCTGAATAACAGTACGCTCTTCGCTTGTATCCTCATCCCAGACAGGGTATATTTGGGCTAATCCAAGATCTAATGTATATCAGGTATTAGTCTTTTGTTAGAAAACAGAGGTACATATTTATGATGCTTATGGACTCACTGTAGTCATAACTTCGGATTTCTGTCCGTAAGACCTGAACAACTCTTGTGCCAGTAGCGAGCGTCCCTATGTCGATGGTGCAATCTTCATTAGGATTAAACTCTGGAGTATCTATTGAGTCCAGGCCGCTGCTTCCAACTGAGTATACGACTGACTCTTCCTTGTCTTCACCTTTAGCCTTTGCGAGAAGTAAGTATTTGTCATAGCTCCTGGATAGCCCAGTATCTTTGGATTTGGGATCTAGGACGCGGATGGACCACACTCCATACACATCGTCCATCTTGAGGGAATCAATCGTATATGGGTCTACCTCTCGTTTGAGAACGGTGAGACCGCCAGATTTTCCAAATCCTCGAGCTGCTACTAATTCAAGTGGAGCAGCTATTTCAGGCACACTGTCTTGTTGATCCTTAGATTTTGATTTGGGTGGTTTTCCAAGTGTGATGTCCCTATACGGACCAAGGCTCCAAAGTCTGTCATATGCTCGAAAAGTAAAATCGGCCGGGCTGTCTCCATTGACAACTTGCTTTTCCTGACGGGTACTGGCAGGGTTGACCGAATAAAGGTCATCCTCATACATGTCGTCATCATCACCATCATCGTCCTGCTCTGCCTCGTCAGAGAGATCGGCTGCTCCGTTTTCATCCACTCCATCGGCTGCTTTAGAGGGTCTCTTGGTTGTAGATGAAGGCCTCGACCAGCCGAGAAGAACAGAGTCTCCTTCTTCGCTTCCGTAAAACAGTTTATTGCGGCCAAGGCTAGCAGAACACGAGGGCCTTGCTTTCGTTATCGAGCCACCCGACTGCTCTGCAACAAAATGGAGTGAGATTCCAGAAACAGACCTTCCGTCCACTTTGAACGACAAGATTGACATCCTCCCATCTGCTAAAATCAGTAGGACATCTCCCGTGCCACTTCCTAGCTGTTCAACAATGCAGCCTTCAAGTCTCATTTCAAGGTCTGAGTGGTCAGCCATTGAGAACGCGGAAGCCTGCCTGGCAAACTCGTTCACACCCACAGCATTGGTTTTACCCGCTTGGTCAACGTGTACGAGCTCATTGGTTCCGATTAACAACGCTCCACCGACTGGAGGAGGAAGCGGTACAATTTTGAATACGTCACTCGGCAAACGTGAGACAGTGAGGAGTGAGGTAGAAGCCTTTTGCTGCAGATCCAGGGTAAAGATGGAATATGATACAACGTCTTTCCGGTCGATAGTTAAGGAAGTCGATCTGGCAACTTGAGAATAGAGAATTCCAAATGTTGGCTCTCTGTATTCATGCAAAAACTCCATATGAATTGGATGAGTTAAGGCTGGATCCAGTGCCGTCATAGGCAGCACAAACGAAGGTGCGTACGGCTTATCGTGTGCTGTGTTTCCAGGTGCCGATTTTTGGGCATCACTAACCAGGTCTGTGGAATCATCACCATTCGGTGTGGCATCATAATCATCCATGACGAGATCATCCCCAGCTTGGTGAAAGGGTAAAATGGCTAAACTGTGGATTCCAAAATTAAAGATTGCACAGTTCCCATTAGGATCCACCGTTAAGCTGGAAGAACAACTCCCCAGATCAGGTACCCACGGGCTCATATGGCTCTCCTCGCCTTCGTAGTAATGGATTGAGATAGTACTTATCCCATGTTTCTCTGGATCCCACTCTATCAAACTGAGCTTCGCATTCCGGCTAGAGACAAGGATTGCATCTCCGCCACTTTTAGAGTTCGAAATTCTGACTCTCTGAAGGCCTGTAATGGTACCCGGTACCTCATATTCTGCTGCTAAGACCAACTTTGCATGTTGCGAACGGTCATGTCGACCTTTCTGGTCTGGTTGTGTGGCTGTTGTTGAGCCATAGGTAACATTAACCAATGAAAATACCTGCAGCAAAGAGGTCTTCGCTACTATGAGATTATTGGAATTTGCTGATATAAAGTGAGCAGAAGCAGCGTGTGTTACCCCTGATGGGAGCAGCAGCTCTGTATAGCATTGCATATTGAGGGTAGTAGGTAGAGCTTATCAAACCACCATAACGGTTAGCAGGCGAAGCCGAGCGCACTATTCCAATTAATGCGCTTCAATGAATCGTATTCCTAGTGCCCTATACCCAGTCCATCAGGCGTACGATCAAGACACCCCAGGGTTGAAGCTGATGTTTTGACGGAAGATTGAACTGATGTTGTTCGTCTTTCTTTTCTGTTATTGACTTTTGTTGCCAGGAACGGTCACGTGCTGATCGCTCTTTTTGTCTTGGCAGTGAATGTAGCTTGGTCGATCATATGTATTTAATAACTTGTAATAATATTAATTATCTTGATAACGATGAAAGATTCCAGAATCTTTCATTTAATTAACTAACTAGGTTTCTGTTGGTCTAAATTTTAGGCTTGAATTTTGTCTCCGTGGCCGTTCAGTTGCATCGCCCCATAATATCGACTTTACCAGAGGAGTCTGTGTCTTTGGCTTCCGATTGACCTTTATCTTTGCTGTAACTCTTCGCAACCAGGTGCACCATTGGTTTTCTTCCTTGACCTGGCTTCTTCCTTTAGCTTCTTGTCATCATCTCTCTTCAGGGAGATATGAGGCATAAGAAAAAATGCAAGAATGAAGGCCAAGCCAGCAAGGGCCGAACACAGTATGAAAATCACCCGGAACCCCTTCTGGTACGCTGGAATAAGGACAGAACGAATTCTCTCGACTTCCTCTGGGCTCTGCTTTGCTAGGTAGTGGCTAGGGCTTTGTGTTATCTCTTTTGTCTCGGTCTCTGAGAGGAGAAGGGATGAGAGCGAGGATAAGACGATGTTATTCCTGCATTATTAACCATCTGAGTTTTGCAAAGTTTTTAGAGGGTACGAACTCACAGAATTGTTCCAGATACTGCTAGGCCCAGCGTAGCACCGAGGTTTCTCACAAAACTGAAACGGTGGGAATTTGTCAGTTCCAACATGCCGAAAAACCAGTTAGTGCGAGAAGAAACTTACTTGCGGAACGACGTCACAACTGCCATATCCCTCCTGGGGACACCGGCTTGAATAGCAACCAAGGACCTATTTTACACAGCCAAGTTAGCATGATTACTCTGATATACGAAAACTTGAGAGTGTTGACTAACGGTTGCAGTGTGTTTCCAACTCCCACACCAGTGAGTATGCCATACCCAACCTCTTTGCCAATCCCTGATGATGTATCAAGTGTGGAAAATAGCCCCAGTCCAATTGTCCAGGCAAGCCATCCAAATAGGATGCATTCTCGATATCGGCCAACACGGTGGACAACAAGGCCCGATAAAGTGCTAAACAATGCTGTGTAATGAATTAGCAGGAGTCCACCAGCCGCGTAACACAATGGCAGGCTATCTGCTTACTTTGGATCAGAATAATGGGTAACAGGAGAGCTCCTGATTTGGAAGCCGAGTATCCGTGCACAAGTTGATAGAAAGTCGGGATATAATAAATTTGCACAACGAAATTCCATCCGTTGATGAGCATAGTCAGACATGCACCGTTTACTATCTTCACACGGAAGATATCCATTGGCACAAGGGGGTAGTTTGCCCCCTTCCACTGCCATAAAACGAAGCACACACAAACAGCAAAACCTACAGTGATCGTAGAAATCACATGGGCTGAATTCCATGCATACTCACCTCCTCCCCATATTAGTCCAAGGAGGAAGACGGTAGCCCCAGAAAGGGCCAGGAAAACCCCGACGAAATCAATAGCTTTTACCTTGGTTTTCCAGTCGCCGTCAACTTTCCGAAGAGGCATGAAGAATAAGACGCAAAGGGTTGTGATTATTGTAAGGGGGAGGTTAAGGCGGAAAATCCACCTCCACGAATCCTGCGACATTGAAGATAGGGCACCTCCAATGACAGGCCCGATGCCGTTTGCTAAAGCGACGACTGCTCCCAGAATTCCCTGGTACTTGCCTCGTTCTCTCAGTGGTACCACATCACTGACAATCATTTGGGCGACGTTGGCGAGTCCGCCTCCACCAATTCCAGTGAAGGCGCGAAAGATAATCAGCTGAATAGCGGTTTGAGCCAGGGAAGAAGCTAGGGATCCAAAGAAGAAGATCGCTAACCCAACGTACAATACGACTTTCCGAGACCAAATGTCGGAAAGGCGTCCGTATACCAGCTGAAAGCAGGTAGAGGTCCTGTACCTAAATCAGCCACTGTATATATTCCGAGAAGTCAACGTAGGATATATATTATATTCCTTACAGGAAGAAACCACCAGCTATCCAACTTGTCTGGATACCAGCATTCAAATCATCTCCTATAATCGACAAACTTGCTGCCAGAGTTGTCTGGTCCATTAGAGCAACCAGGTCGACGCTGGCGCATGCTAAGAAGATCTAAGAGGAGGTCAGCATCTATCCTCAATCACACAGGAAGTTCACTCCACCATACCGTTATAATCTTGCGAGTCGAAACGTAATTTGTCTGCTCGTTGAATATGTACATTTGCTTTTCCTTGGTCGGTGTGCATTCTTGTTCACTGTTTTCCTCCATGGTTTCGACAGCACTTCGTGCAATTGTATGACTCTTTCTCTGCACGTATATTAGGGAATGGAAACCAGAGGCGGCTTGAACGAGCGAAGGCTGCCTCTTTCCCAGAGCTCCCGTTTTACAGGAATGAAGTACTCCTGGCTAGAAATATAATTAGTTCAAGCGGAGAAACATAGGAACAAACTGTAACTAACTATCGAGTACCCTGGTCGACTAACTATATTGCAAACAAGCGGTGGAGCTCATCCCTTTCTTTGTAACTATAGAAACCAAGGAAGAAAAAAAAAACGACCTTGAGGGCCAAATACCTGATAACTAAGCTGGCTCGATAATAGTGGCCAGCTGTGAGCCTTCAGGAATTTGTTGGACGCCTGGAGGAAAATAGCGGCGAGTCTTGGGTGATGTCTTGGCTCTGGAGTGAGTCCAAAGGTCCCCATTCACGATACAGTGTTCCTCAAGAGATACAGTAACGACCCCAAACATTGCGTCACATGGATATGACTTGATCACGGCGATTGCCGTTTCTTGGGATGTGATAGGTTACAGTGCATTGCATGTTCTTTGAGTTCTAGCAGCTGTCCGCTCCTGACTGGCATTTACCAGAGGCAAGGAACACCAAGCCATTCCACAGGGAGGATAAAGTGAAAGTTCAGAACTACCTTGAGGGTATTTGGGAAGAAAAGTTCGTATATGCAATTCGTTACTGGTTGTCGCCTCCATGAAGCAGTATATAATTCATCAGATCCGTCAGAGGGATTTGCTTTCAAGGATCATATTCCTTCCCTTTGACACCATCCTAACTTCCTGACCATTGTTGATTCAAGCCCATATAAAAATGGCGAACATAAACCCTCTCAATGTTTACTCCGGGCCGGACTCGATGAAAAAGTACTTCGACCCGGACTGCCAGCCACCGTTGCCTCTGGTCGAGATTCCACAGGAATTAAACCCGTTTTATGACGATGGCGTCCGCATATATGCAAAGATGATGTCCATGCATCCTGCCAACAATGTGAAAGCGATTCCAGGTAAGCCGCCAATACCCATGGTCCATACGGTATAATGCAGACGCTAAGGACGGTGGTTTCCATAGCTCTTAATCTCCTTGAGGCGGAAGTTGTCCCAGGGAAGACAAAGACCGTCATTGAGTACAGCTCTGGCTCAACAATCATTTCCATGGCGATGATTGCGAATGTGTTTCACGGCATCAATGATGTCAGAGCATTTTTGAGCAATAAAACCAGTGATGCGAAGATTAAGCTGATGCAGTTCTTCGGTCTCAACATCACTTTGTTCGGTGGTCCCTCACAACCAGAGCCACTGGATGATCGTGGTGGTATATTTGCTGCACAGACAATGGCCCTAGAGTCTGACCAAGTTATCAATCCGAATCAATATGACAATGACGGTAATTGGGGAGGCCACGTACGGTATACGGGACCCCAGATCTTCAAGCAACTCCCAGAAATCAACGTTTTATGTTCTGGTATGGGGACCAGCGGTACCATGACTGGGCTGGGAACATATTTCAAGAAGGTTAAGCCTTCTGTTTTGAGGGTGGGAGTCTGCACGGCACCGGGTGATCGTGTCCCGGGACCAAGGTCGTACGCGCTTATGTCTCCCATCCCCTTTCCATGGCAATCAGCAGTGGATGTCATCGAAGAAGTCGGATCTCCGGAATCGTTCTCATTATCCCTCAAGCTATGTCGACACGGGCTAGTGTGTGGTCCCTCAACAGGATTTAACCTTCAGGGTCTTTGCCAGCAGCTCCAAAAACGCAAGGATGCAGGGACATTACGCAGTCTTGCAGGTCCAGACGGAAAAATCCATTGCGTGTTTCTCTGTTGCGATTTGCCGTATCAGTACATACAGGAGTATTTTGATAAGTTGAAGCCAGAGGATTTCCACCCGATAAAGAACGAGGCAAGTTCCCTTTCAAGCCATTCCAAGTTAATCAGCAATAAGCTAACCATACGGGGTAAAGAATCTCCGCAAAGTCGACCTTTATCGCTATGATGAGACCTGGGAGAGTCATTTTGCAAAGATTCTTGCGGAATTTTATGAGAGGTTCCCTGCCAGTGGCCCTGTGTTTGGTATTGGGAAGGCAGAAGGGTTTGATGGCCTTAAGCTCAAACCAGACCACTCACGATGCGTAATCGACCTTCGAAAGCCAGCTGATTTCAAGCAGTGGCATCTGCCCCAAGCCATAAATGTTCCGCTTAATACCCTTGAAAAGAGCACCACGTCACCCTTTTCTGACTCTGCTGTTCTGGAGGCTCAATGGCTGGAGATTGAGGGTTGGTTCAGTCAGAGCGGGGAGAAGTCCGCCTTGCTGAAAGGACTGAAGGAGAATAACACTCGTGTTTTGCTAGTCTGTTACAGCGGAAACACATCGCGAGTGGCATGCAGTATCCTCCGAGCGAAGGGGATCGAGGCATGGTGCATCCGCGGTGGGTACAAGGCCCTGGCTGACCCCGAGTTGGCTCTGGTGGGGTTGCGTGACGCTGAGCCCAGCATCCCGAATGGCGTCCACCCCCAACTAAGACCCATCAGGATCAACTAAAAGAGCTAAAGTGTCAGAAACGATGTTATGACCATGGATTTTAAACGAACGTATGGGATAATGATGTTGATATTTGACCTTGACGTTGATTGTTGTTGGTGATGCCGAGGTTGACGCTGCGTCCAACGCCAAGCCCAGCGGAGGGGCTCAATCGCAGTCTGAGCGCCTGCCAAGCCCCAAAGAGAGTTATTTGCCAAGGCGGGCGCTGAGCCTATTTTTCCTCCCAAGGCGGTGTTAAGATTTTTTTACGATGTCCCAAGTTGTTAGATGTTTGATAGACAAGTTAACTAGTGTGCATTGTTTATATTGAAAACATATCTTGACCCAACTGTGAGCAGTCAACTAAAACTGCCATAACTAAAACTGCACCTGTTTCAAATGGGAACAAACGGAAACTTGCATCGTTTTCAGCCTCAAATATGCTCACCGCCCCAATAGCAAGGCCAAATGTTGATCTGCTGGTCCACAGGTGAGCTCCCTTGGCTCCGAAGCCAGATCTAGTGCTCCACAAGAGTGCTTCTATGCTCTTATACCGTGGCCATCGCATATAATATACTATTATTAGCCGCTCCAAGAAATAGATCTGTGGCTACAAGTGTACGCTTAAAATAACAAGTTAAGCGACATGGAAGTAACGAGCCGGACCATGCAACACCTAATGGCCTTGGCTACATCCATGTCGAAGTCGACAAGAGGTATGTATCAGACTATAAAGGGTAGGCATATCCCCATTACCCTCGGAGCCTGTACTTGCTTCAACTAACATTGGTGTAGTTTAACTATCACCATTGATTTATATCACCCGCAAAACATTTATCCTGACTAGTTAATCCTTTGTAAGTTACCACCACGAAGAGATCCGAGACGGCTTCAATGACTTCTTTTATTTTTCCGGATTCTAATAGGAGAGCCAGCTGCTGTCTTGATTTTGCCAGTGGCCGAGACTCAGTCCGGGTAACAATCCCTAACAATAGCGCCTGGAAATACTGGGAAGATTTGCTTAACCCACATTCCCCATCTGCGATGAGCTTACGTGCCTTAGCTGGTACTGCTTTCGTGGAAGTTCCACTGGTACTTCTCACAGAGGGCCGTCAGGGTGGGAAGAGCGTCTCATTTATCTCATTTAGTTCAATTACTTCTTCTCTTTGTTTCATAAACGATCCTATCGCTATCAGAAGGACCTTATAGTCAGCTATAAGGGAGAAGAATCCTTCCACAGAAATGGTTGCAGCGCCATCATCAACCGAGACCGCAGGGCTTTCCTCTCTTCAACGCCACACTACGCCCATTGTTATATCTTTTTCAAAGTTCCCACCCACTCGGTAAACAGATTATTTACCTAATGCTCGCCATTCAGTTGAGAACAATTTTCTATTTCAACGGGTTTTGGATGCATCATACGATAGCCCCGTTCCCTTGATGGTGGGAATGGTGACTGGCATGGAACCCTGTGTACCAGAGTGGGCATATGGGTTTAAAAAGCATATGCAAAAAGGACTTATCTATACAGTCCAGGGAATAAGTTACTGGATTGGAAGGCTACTTCTTGGATGAACGGCGGCTATCCGGAGTATACCTGCAAGCCAGCGGGCCAGGGCTCAGTGTGATATGGAATTGAATATTCACTGAGACCTGAGAATTTATGAGTGTTTTACACAACTTTCAAAAACCGGTTTGGTCAAGTTAATAACTACCTAAGCTTCCGCGTCACCAATGTTCAATCAGCTTTTCTAGAGATTATTGGGATTTAAAGTCAAGAAGAGCGTCACTCAGGTACCCATGACGACTGTTAAACAGTATAATCTCTATCGCAACTCGTATGCCGGACAACCCAGTAGTAGCCATCCCCACCGAGATTAATTCGAGAGTGTTAATTTAATAGTAATTGACAATGTGACAATAATCATATTGATAGATAACATGAGTTTCATATGTTCGTTTCTTCATTGAGAAACCATGATATATACATTAGGGTATATATAGCTCCACGTAAGGACATCTTTAGCTAACCTGCCTTATTCTCAATCCAGTCGATATATAGCCACCAGATATGTCAAAGGTAAAGCTTTTTCAAATATCTGGCGTCCTATAACGTCTATAACTATGGCAATAACGTTATGGCTCAGCGTCGTCTGTGGTGGACTAGGCGGCTGGGGCCAGTATCAGGGCTTTCTCCCAGATACTGCAGACATTCAACTGCAGTCCACCGAACATCTGGGGTACAAAGCATATGCTTTATTAGCTCTCCGAAATACCCATGAAAAGAGCTAGCTTCAGATAGCAGTTTCTCATAGTATTTGGCCTCTTGTGCCCGATCCCGACCACGGAAAAAGCACTGAGCTTCTTTCTTTGGAAATCGGCGGAGAAGGGAAAGGGCAGTTACCCCCAGAGACCAAATATCTGCTATATAAGAATACCTGCGGCCAAGGTATACTTCCACAGCAACGTGAGTTAACTGGCCACCATGTGTGGCTCCTTCTCTGCTGGTAACTGCCAGGCCAAAATCGGCAAGACAGACATGCAATGGTGATAATGACTTCAGCAATATATTGTCCTCCTTTATATCTCGATGGAATAAGGCCATTTCTTCGAGGTATCTGAGGGCCCTGAGGCATTGGTGAACAACTTCTAGGGCCTCTCGCGTAGAAAAGTTATAATTCTCCAGCGAGCCAAGGGGATGGTACGCCATAATCAAACAGTTTGGTCTTTGATTGAGATAGAAATGGCTGGTAACGTACTCGATAATATTCGGCTTGGATAATGTCAGTAGCAAGTTCAGGGGCCAGGATACAGAAGTTGACACTTACATGATGCAGCCTTTTGAGGATAGCAACCTCTCGTAGGAGAGCTTCTTGCGCTCCAGGGTCCACTGCTACCTTGCATGCAAATTTTTCCCTTGTAATCCGAGACTCAAAGAGGTAAACGGCGCCAAAAGAGCCATTTCCGAGCTTCTTGATCCATTTGAATTTTCTTTGGAACTCAGGAGATGTGTCTTTAGTGGGATCCATATTGATAGCACGTCGTATGTTAAACTGGCAGGGGTTTAGAAGTATATATGGACGTGTAGCTAATCCAAAGGAATCTTTGCTATACTGTGGTATTCCGAAGTAGTCGTATAAACAAGGGCCAACGAAGAGGAATTTATATAGATTTTATAGCCCGTCAAGCAAGTCCGATGACTTCCCATGGTGAACAGACAAGTGCCTGTGGACATTCATAGACGTTTTGGATTAGGACCTGCCGATCGTATATTTGCAAAGATTCCACTGCCCCGGCATATAGTCGATTCATTTTGAAGAATGTTCTCCAGCCACATATAGTGACCAAGGAGCGAGCGTTCAGAATATAAAAAGGGGGTGGCAGTATGGCATGGCTATATAAGGCCTTACTGATGTAGATGAAGGTATAAAGTCACGGAGATGAGGACCCATTGACTCCAATGCAGAGGCACTTGCATCATAGTTATATAGCTAAATGAAATGTATGAAAAGCAGAGCTGATTCATTATGGTTACGCTTGCTCTATTTTCAGCCATCACTCTCGATGTTTGTTAGGAGGGTTATCCGTTTGCTTCACCATGCCGTATGGGTATCGAAAATGTTCACTAAATGAGAAAACCATTTAATGTCATAAAATAGTTTGAGCAATCAAACTATGTATATGATCTTTGATTAGACGTTTTAAACCATCTATGTTCTATTGGAGCAGACAAGGAGTAAATTAATGGAAAAGCAACGCTGAAGTTGAAAAAGAGGCTGAATCAAATGCGTAAACTTTACCGCTTTTAGCAAGCGGTTGAAGCTAACCTTCCAGCCGAACCTTATTTGCTCTGTTTTTACTTTTTCTGATATCAAAAGTTTATCTTTGGGGGTTTTCTCCCTAGGGAATGCTGAATCAAAAGGATACAGTAGAAGTTTGCATTAATAAATGTAAAACGAAGTGCTCGGAATACATTTGTTATCATTTACAGTACAAAGTAATCTTGAGCTCTAAGTAAATTGCTTGTAGACTCAACAGACCCTATATGGATGCAAACAGATATTGGGTAGAATTCGCTTGCCAAACTGTACTGTTTATTCCGACACTGCCTCATGATTTGATCCCCTGGAATGCTAGCACAACAAACCACCACCTGGTCTGTATTATATAGCTGCTGCCATCTCCATAAATTAATGAATACCGGTCTCGAGAAAATAACATGACATCCTTTGCAGTCCAACAAATATGGCCAACGGCTCGAAAACCCCATCCCGAGAGGGATCCTCCTCCGAATCTCATGGATGCAAGGTAAAGCCTCTCAATTGGCGTAAGAAAAAATCTCCAAAGGACAAAAAAAAGTCAAAAGTTAAACCGACGATATCTGCTCCTGTCATGGTCGTGGACGCAGGACTCGCAGCCCAGCGAACAAGAGGGACCCTACCGATCCATCCTGCTACAGAAGATGAGCTGCCCAATCACCGGACGTTAAGAACCGACGGCCACCCATATGTACCCGCACTTAGAGAAACCGAGACGTCGACACAGGCTCCCTGGCACCATCCAGAGCCACTTTACAGTCGAGATGAATCGGCAAGTCACCCAAGCCTGGTTCGAACAAGAGATCATCCTCACATATATGAAGGGGAATCGTATGTGTGTTATTTATCCTTTATATTTGAGGGGTAAGAAATCAAATGCAATTAACACAGGGATATTAGGTATGAGAATAGTTGTGGTCCTATTCCTGAGGTTTACCATGCACCAAACAACAACTCGGCTTCCTCGACAGAAAGCTGGGAATATTGCAGCGAATACGATGAAAATATCCCAGCTATGCCTCGTCCAGCCCCGGTAACGATACACCGTCGTATGCCAGTTAGCGCTGATTTTGGACGTGAACCGAGACTAGCTGTCAACATCGTGCAGAACAACAGAAATGAATCTAGTCAAGCCTCCAGGGCTGTCCAAACTCATGAATTAGATAGCCAAGAAAGTTCGTCGGTTGGAGACTCTCAACGTATGGGTAAGTTGCACCCTCCCGGCACCATGGTGTCATTGGATTAACGTATTCGTTTAGAGGTGGTATATATCCATACGGATCCATTTATTTTGCTGGAGATAGGGGCCATTTCTGCCCTTCTTGCCTTGATTATTGCCTATTTTATTCACTTTTTCACTTGATGTCATGTACTTGTCGTTGGTTATTCCATCTTCATTCAATCAACGTCGTTTGAATCGCACACATGATATCAGTCAGGGATTATATTAGTTATCTAATTAGCTTGTAAATTCGCTGATATCGGGGTATCTCAGGTCGGCATTCTCTTCTAAAAAGGCCATCCATCTCTTGAGGAATGGTGACCCACTGCACAGATATAAGCACATAACCGCTAAAATGGTTAATTTGGATTTAATGCAAACCCACCTGCTAACAGTTTCTGAGTCTCCACAGATACACAGATGTCTTCTGGGACGGGTCATTGCAACTATCCTAGTCAGCACGGAGAAACTAAATGTTAAAGATGACCAAGGGCAACATACCATTCAACCTCCTTTTCTCTCCCAAGAATCCTACTTCATGGTCTGGATTACTCCTGACCAGACTTACCACAACTGCTTCCTTCTCACGGCCCTGGAAACCATCCACGCTACCAAGTTCAAGGGTAGGAAACTTCTCTTTCAGAAGTTGAGACAACAAAGCAACTTGTGCATTATAAGGCGTAATGACAGCAATGTCCTCTGGTCTGACACCAGCCGAAGCCAAATTCTCAACATGTCTCGCGACAACCGCCGCCTCCATGTCGTTACATTTGCTCTCAACAAGAAGAGACTTGGCGGATATACCATTTGAATCTGGGGATTTCTCGGGAAAGTCTCCACCCTGCGTGTCGTAGAACACCAAAGGTTCTCTGGTGTCATCTGTGTCCTCGACCTCATAGGGGAGGTCTTTGAGAAGCCTTTCCCTGACTGCATCGGCAGCAATGAGTTTAGACTCATATAGTTCGTCGGAAGGAAAGTCCATTATCTTCTGATGCATGCGGTATTGCGTGGTGAGCATCCTTTTTATCCCTGTGCCATGGAGAGAGAGTAGCCTATCAAACAGTGTTATTTCCAAGTTCCGCAGATCAAACGTATTGGAGAGCTCGTTAAAATGGAGGTCTTCCTTGTCCCATAATGCAGAGCCGGTCCGATCTGAATTGCTTGAGGACTTTGACTTTATTGTTGGAGGCAGTTGGAGATGATCTCCTGCCAATACAACTCTAGAAGCAGGGAGCAACGGAATCCAACATTGAGCTTCTCGTGCCTGGCTCGCTTCATCGATAAGCACGATGTCGAATTTCTGGTTCTTGAGTTGATGTCCTCCAGCTCCATGTAGTGTTCCGAGTACCACCTGGCTACCGGAGACGATATTGTCAACGCATTTCGATTCACGTTCTCTGAATTCTTTGCGAAGTTCTTTGAGATCACCGTAGATAGCTCGACGTTCTCTCCCGTTCCTAGTCTTGCGAATACTCGCTTGCTTTGAATCGATTTCCTTGCGGACATCCTTCACTATAGCAGCAGCTTCGGAAGTTTGAGAGAGCACCTCTAGTGAATGATCCAGGACAGAAGATAGTAGACGTGCTGGATGCCCTATGCGAACCAACGGTACCTTGTGTAAGGCAAGACGCTCGACTATATTGTCAACTGAGATATTTGACGGGCCACAGACTAAAACTCGCTTTTTACGTTGAACTAGCTGGCGAATGAGTTCAATGAGCGTGTGAGTCTTTCCTGTGCCCGGCGGTCCATGGATGAGCGCTATCTCTCTTGATGCCAGTGCAAAGCGAATTGCTTCTTTCTGGGAGTCGTTGAGTGACGGATCCATGAACTCCAGGGTACCAACGGATTCAAAATCCAAAGGTGAGGGCGTGGTATGCCCGAATAGCACTCGGATCAGCTGGGAATGCTCTGATTCCTGCATCTTCTCCAGCTTGGCCATCGTTTGGTTCATGCTGCACTGATGTCAGTATAACGCCAGCTGGACGTAGGTGGCCACTTACCGTCTATAGGTAACATCGTTCGCCAGCTTGACCCTATATTCAGTCAGTATAATTGTGATCGATATATAGGTAGATTTACCAAAGACGTACAGCCAGAGCTTGCGTCCCCAGAGCTCGTCGACGCCGTCTTCATCTTGCTTGCCTTTGCCTCGATCCCCAAAGGCGGCCCAGATGGATCTCTCACCAACACGAGTGACGACACCTTCAAGGCCTCTCTGACCCTTCTCGTCGTCTTGCCCGGCCTTGGATTTGGCCGTTGTTTTGCCAGAAGCAATCTCCTCGACGCGGACGATATCCCCCACCGTGATGCCATGGACACCTAACCGGGTATTATCCTCGTCCTTGCTGGCGCCCTTTGCACGCCCAGAGCCAGAGAGAGCAGTATCGAGGCCGAATTCTCCTACTTCTCGGCCTCCCATGCCTGTCCGGCAGTTGGTGAGTACCATGCCAGTGAGCGCATGGCCGGCATTCTGCAGAGCCCGTCGGGTTGAGGCCGATGCAGCTGCAGAGCTGGAGGACAGAGGAGAGGAAGCTATCTCGTCTTCATGCTCGGCCAGGAGAAGACGCTGCTGTATTTGTGCAAATTTAGACACTGATATAGGCATATTGATGTTGTTCTAAGATGCTTGATGGGATTTTGATGAAATGACTTGTTGATAGTTATTGATTACGATGGTAGTAGATAAATGATAAATAATCAAAATGGTATCTATAGCAAACAGCAAACAGTATTCTTACATCTACGCCTCGAGCTTGATATTTTTCTTACTATCCTCGACATCTTCCTGGATACTAAGCTTGATATTACTCTTGGTATCTTCGGCTTCGGGAAGATCAGCGTCCTTCTTGACGTCCGGTAGATCAATATCCTCCTCCTTGTCCACCCTGACATCAATCTTGCTCTCCCTGACTTCAGGAAAATCAACGTCTTCCTCCTTGTCTGCCTTGACCGGGCTTATTCTCTTTTTTGCGGCCCTTGACTTGCTCTTGATCTCTGCTATACACAGTCCCGTCCCGGAGAGGTCGCACTCGGCACACCGTCTGCCAACCGGCAGGCAGACCGTCTGTCCCAGGCCAACGAGCAGCTTGTTGATCTCATGCCACTTGTCCCTGGGCAGCCAGCTCTCGAGAGCCGCCCGTGTAGCCTCTGGGGTCTTGGTCTTGTTCCATCCCCATAGATTGGTGATGCGGTGGACATGCACGTCCACGCCGATGCCTTCATGCTTGCTCCACGCGGAGCTCATGCAGAGATACGCCATCTTGGGTCCCACACCAGGCAGACTTATCAGCCCCTCTACGGTCGACGGTATGTCTGAGTCGAACTGGTCTCGCAGGATCTCAGCGGTGGCCTTGATGTACCGTGTCTTGTTGTTATGGAACCCAACGGCCCTGATGAGCTCGTTCAGCCGCTCGGGAGACACGGCCAGCATGTTCTCGAGAGTCAGCGTGCTGGCAGTCTTCTGGTGATCGCGGTCCCAGACCTCTGCCACCGCATTGTTGCTCGTCTCGTCCGTGAGCTGGGTGTGCAGTCTTAGCATTGTGGCCGCCGTGACGGTGTCCTTGGTCTGGGAGGAGAGCATAAGCGCGATCAGCGTGTGGAACCGCCTGTCCCGGGGCGAGGACGACCGCCAGTACAGCTCTGAGCATCCCATCGTGTCGACGGGGGCCGTGGGATTGCGTTCTCGCATGCGCTTGACGGTCTCGTACATGGCCTGCCAGTTCGGAGGGCCCTTTATATCGACTCCCAGCTCCTCCTTGACGCCCTTCACGGCCTTGACATCGTTATCTTCGGCCTTGACAGCCCTGCCCGCCCTTGTAGATGCTCTCTTCCGCTTCCTCGTCGCCGTCAGCAGGTCTTCGATGTCTGTTGTAGGGGGCGACGAGAGGCCTGAACTCGCGTCCTCCTCCTTGACCGGTTCTTCTCCCCTCTTGACGGCGGCCCGTCTGCGTGAGGTCAAGCTCTCTGCCACCTTTGCTGCCTCCCGCGAGACCCTCGACGTCCGCATCCTGTCTTCTTCTTCGTCTCTTCGTCTTCAGCTGCTGCTGCTTGTTGTTTGTTTGCCGTGTCCATCTGTCTGCTGCCAGCTAAAGCCACCGCCCAGCCACAACCTCGGCATCTCGGAAGCCTCCAAAAAAGGACGAAACATCCAACGATAACGACGACGACGGCGACAACGAGCATTCTACAGCGATAGCTCGAGCAATCAAACAGGCGAAGATGACTGATATTCCGGCCTCGACGACGAAGCGGCTCCTGCGCGAGCTCAAGGAGTACTCAAAGGCGCCCAATGACGCCCTGCTGTCCCTCGCGCCCGTCAGCGACGACGACCTCCTGCACTGGGAGGCCGTCCTCAAGGGCGTCCCGGACTCCCCCTACGAAGGTACGGCATCGAATCTCTGCTCTACTGGCTGTTAAAAGCTGTCTGTACAACGGCTAACTGAGCGACTCGCTGGCTGCAGACGGCCTCTGGCTGCTGCGCATCGCGGTGCCGACGACGTATCCCATGCACCCGCCCAAGATCACCTTCGCAACGCCCATCTGCCATCCCAACATCTCCTTCTCGACCGGCGAGATCTGTCTGACGCTGCTCACGTCGGAGCACTGGTCGCCCGTCTACACCATCTCCAGCACCCTGTCGGCGATACACCAGCTGCTGACCGACCCCAGCCCGGACTCGCCGCTCAACGTCGACGTCGCGGCCCTGTTGCGAGACGGGGACCTGCTGGGCTGGACCCGGCTGGTGAAGTACTGGACGGCCACGGAGAGATGGAACAACGTCCAACAGCGACGGTAGAAAGCAGCAGTGTCAAATCTCTTTCTGCTGTCTCTCTAGTAACCAACGTTCATGTGTGCGTCTGTGTGCAGGCTGGCTGGCTGGTTCGTCCGTTTTCGCCCGCCGCTCGCATTCGGCCCATGGCGTACGGTGCTCGTCCTCCCCCCAGTCGCAGCGCCAGCAGCTCCTTGGGCACCGCCTGCAGGCCAGGCTGAAAAAAGAGGACAAAGACAGACTTTCGCTTCTTGACTGGCTGCTCGAGGCCATCTCCACGCTTGTCTAATAGGCTGGGGAACTCTAGCGAGCGGCCCGTCAGCTCACTAGTCGAGCCAAAAAATGTCCCAAGTCGCCTCCACTCCTAGCCAGTCCGTTGGAAAGGCTCCATCGTTTCTCTCTTTCTTTCTCTTTTCTTTATGTTTGTCTCCTTCGAAACACTCAAGCTGGCCCTCGACGTTGGGGCACCGTGACCGGGACTCTTTGGACAGGGGGCTTTTCGGGCTTGTGCAGCTGTGAATGGCGGATTAAATATATACAGAATCTAAACGGAAGATGCCTTGATCGTGATTGCATGTCGATATTCTCCGTACTCCCCGCATGTTCTAGTCTTTGATCTACTATTCTGCTTTTTTTTTTTTTTTCCTTTTTAAAATATTTTTTTTTGGTCGTCTATCAAAAGACGGACAAACTTCTTACTGCCTCCCTTGATATAGGGAGTACAACCCGACATCCACCACCCGACTCAGCCCTCAACTTCCACTCTACCGACATCAAACGTACGATACGGAGTAAGGTATATAAACATACGATAAAGATGGCCGGCGAAGGTGATTCAAACCACTCCATAATTACATGCATTGCCGGTCCAAGCTAACTCCCGCCAGTCCCCATGGTCGCCTCGAACGAGGTGATTGTCATCGACGAGTCGGTAAGGGCCCCCTCCTTGGTCTGTTTTAGTATCCGATCCATGCTAACTGGCTCCCTGTAGCGCGATACAATCCTGGACTCCGCATTCTCTGACCAGTGGGTGGTCTCAAGCCGGTTAAGGGGGGGGGGGGGGGGGGGGGGCGCATGGATGGGGGGTCTGAAGCTGACCGTGGGCCACCAACAGATCAAGTACCACGGCATCGTTGACTTCGAGTATAATGAGATATACCTACGAGCATGGCCGTCGATACCACACATACCAAGAAGGCCGTTCGTCTATCTTTCTCCTAGGTTATGTGCATGGATGTGTATGCTGACCTTTGGGGAAAAGGATACTTGCTGCCCAACGATGAGAAGGAGCAGGATCATATGAATATCATATCGCATCTCTTCAAACTCATTCTCGGTGGACGACTCTTCCTTGCGCCTCTCCCGCAGAACATGAAGCGCATCCTCGACATCGGTACTGGAACCGGTGACTGGGCTATTGATATGGGTGAGTCTGAGTGTGTCTTCTACTATGGGCGTGTATGCGCATGGCTGACTTTACTAGCCGATAGATATCCGGATGCTCTGGTATGAAACCTAGCAAGATGCACGGAGAACAACGGTAACTAAGCTGGTTGACAGGTTGTCGGAAACGATCTAAGTCCGATCCAGCCAAAATTGTAAGTCTAAGTCTTCCTCCGTACCCCCATGCGTTGTTTCACCAGACCCATAACCTAACTGCCGCAGCGTCCCGCCGAATGTACAATTCGAAATAGACGATGTCGAGAATGACTGGGCACACCACAACCCCTTCGACTACATCCACTGCCGCTTCATGGCCTCTTCCATCCGGGACTGGCCCCGTCTCTTCCGCCAGATCCTCGAGTACGTGAACCGTACATCTAACTATCAACCCTCCCCATACTAATTAAAGTCGTATAGAAACCTGACGCCAAACGGGTACGCTGAATTCTACGACTTCGACTTCTTTTTCCGCAGCGACGACAACTCCCTCCTGCCAACCCACGAGATGTACATAAACTGCGCTGAAACCACCAGCGCGGCAGAAAAGATCGGCCAAACCGCCTGTCCCGGCCCCCATCTAGCCAAATGGGCGCGCGAAGCAGGCTTCGTCAACATCACGGAGCGCAAGATGAAAGTGCCTATTGGGCCGTGGGCGAAGGACCCCAAGCTAAAGGAGATTGGAGCGTGGAACCATGTGCAGGCGATGGAAGGAATGGAGGGATGGTCGATGGCGCTGTTGACGAGGGTGAATGGGTGGAGCGAGCAGAGAGTGAGAGAGCACCTAGTGAGGCTGAAGAAGGACTATCAAGATACGAAGATCCATGCATATATGACTGCGTATGTGGTCTATGGGCAGCGGCCGGAGAAGAACTAGCTTTTAGTAGGCCTTCGAACGAAGAGTTGAGCCCTGGTGCATGGAGTTGGAGTTGGAGTTTCCTTTCCACTATTAATGACTACATTAGTTACTACAGCAGCATTTCAGCAATGATCGACCTGGTTATCGTACGATTGATTGATTGGTTTTCGGTTAATAATATTACAGCCAGGGTAGCATCCGCATAAACCAGAACTGGGTCTAGGACTTGCTGGAAAGCAGGGAACTAGCGTTGTGCTTATCCTATGTATGTAGTCAGAGTGAGCTAGCTATGTACATACACCTCGTATCCTTCAGAGCTATATACTCCAACACAATCCAAGATATGAATCCATGGTGAGACAACCGCTAAAAGAGGGAAGTAGATGGTCTGTTTTAGCCCATTGGGCCAAAAAGTCTAGGTATTTGATATCTAGGTTGGGAGTTTGATACATGTCTCTCTTCCAACCACGGCACAGCCAAAGTCAAAAAAATCACAGTTGATGCAAAAAAAAAGGAACGGAACAGGCCAGGAACCTCGGAGGCAAAAATGCAAGCAGTATCAGAAACAGTATTCAGCATGAGAAATAGCAAAAAAAAGAAAAACAACGCTTTTCATAGATATTCGTATAAAGGAGTGGATAGGAAAATCGTTAGCGCTAAAACTGGGACATCCGGCAAATCAATCAATTTTTATGCAAACCCAAAGAGAACGAGAACGTAAGAGAAGTAACACAAGGTCTATAGGCGGAATTAAAGGACAAGAGCAACACCGACGGCACCACCGAGGACGGCGGCAAAGACACCGGTCAGGCCGACGCTGGCCACGGGAGCAGCGCCGTTCTGCAGCGTTGGCGAGGCAGTTGGAGACGCTGGAGACCCGCCGTTGCCACCGTCAGAGGGCGTTGGATAGACGACCACGACGGAGGTGTATGTGTGGACGGAGCCGTCGGCCTCGGTGACCACGCCAATGGAGGTCGAGGTGGACGAGGAGCGAGGCCGGGTGGTGGTGGACGGCGGCTCGGTGGTGGCTGGCGGCGAGGTCTCCGAGGAAGCCCTGGTGGGCGTGGGCGTGGGCGAGGTCTCGGTGACGAGAGTGGTGTCCTGGCTGGTTGGTCTCTGGCTGGTCATGGACGGCTGAGATGTAGGCTGGTTGGAGGTCTCGTTTGGCGTGCTGGTAGGCGAATTGGTAGGGCTGTCCGTGGGCGAGCTGGTAGGCGGATTGGTAGGAGAGCTGGTAGGCGGGCTAGTGGGAGGCCGGGTTGGAGGCTGCGTAGGCGAAGAAGTTGGAGAGTCCGTTGGAGACGCCGTTGGAGAGTCCGTAGGTCTGCTGGTAGGGCTGTTGGTAGGCGGATTGGTAGGGCTGCTGGTAGGAGGATTGGTAGGGGGGTTGCTGGTGGGCGAGTTGGAGGGCGGTTTTGTGGGCGTGTCTGCATGAGAAGAGGATGAGCCGTCCGTCGTGGGAGACGCAGGAGGAGAAGCAGGAGGAGACGTAGGAGGAGACGCAGTAGGGGACGCAGTAGGGCTTGGAGAGGCAGTGGGAGAGGCAGAGTCAGAGTCCGTACCCGTTGGCGTGGCCGTGGGGATGTCGCCGGTGTTCTGGCGGCGCAGGACCTTGCGGCGGGCAGCCTCCTCGGCCCCAGCAGCGCCAGGCACCGGGTCGGCCACGGCAGCTCGCTTGTGAAAGAGCTTGAGCGAGAGATTGTGCAGCAAGAAGACGGCATTGTCCTCTGCAGCGTCGCGAGGGTGGTGTTTTCGCAGCAGAGGCTGCCGCAGCGGCTCGCCAGAGACAAGGGCCAGGCAGAGGGCCACCAGGGCCAGGAAGCTGAGCAGACGGGCCATCTTGCAGGAGACGAACAGGATACACAGAAGGATATTCAAGAGAGACAGAAGAGACAGAAGAGACAGAAGAGAGATCGAGAAGGACAGGCAGGGGGACGGCGGCTTTATGTAGGAGGCGCCGTCTCGAGGGACGAGAATCTCCACCGGCACGCCAGCCTCGAGCTCGAAGCGCCAGCGACAAGAAAAGCACAAGAAGAGCGAGACAGCGAGACAGCGAGAGAGAGGCGAAGGAAGAGTTTCACCAGGCTTGCCAGGTCGCTAAGACGCCGGCCAAAGAGGAGCCGCCAGCGCAGCTCTTTGCTTTTGGCGCTGGCCAGAGCCGATTGATTCCCTCCCCCCGTCGACCGCCCCTGCATAGCCACAGCGGACGCTTAGCTCGCCATGATATTATTATTATGAAGCACGAGTACGGAGTACTTCTTCGATGGCAGCCTGTCGAAGCCTACGGTCGAGCCAGAGCCATCATCACTCGAGAGACGGCGAGAGAGAAGCGCTCCCAGAGAGCTGCACGACGTGTTTCAAACTCTGCACTGCACCGGGGGCCATGGCCATCATTCCAGCAACAAGACAGGTTCAAGCAGCTCGCCATCCCTGTCTGGCAGCCCTGGTCAGGATCTCGATGGCGTGCAGGGATACGAAGCTCTCTCTGCTCTCTGTTTCCATGGCAGCTCTCTGTCTCTGTCTCTCTCTCTGCGCTGGGCTGGTGGCTCCAATAACACGGGCTGTTTGACAGCGGGTGTACGGGAGTCGTACGCTGCAGTTACATGCAGGCTTGTTCAATTTCCTGCTTCTGCGAGATTATTCTTATCATTTCTCCTCAGTTTCGTCCTCGCTCTCATCGGATGTTTTGATGAAACAGGCTTGTTGTCGGACTTTCCAGAGCGACGGTACAGTAGTATCTGGCGGCCCCCCTCGTCCCTCGTCCCATCGAATATCGATCTGGCACCCGCGGTTTGATGTTGATGATCGCGGGGCCGCTCCCTGTCTGTCTCGTCTCCTGGAGCAAAAAGCTTTCAAGAGTCAACCGTGGATGCAAGCTCGGATGTATCAGGTTTCTTCTCTCTGGCCGATACGAAACTCAATCTGGCGTTGGCTTTTCCAGCTAACAAGTTAATATATTGCTCCGGTGACAAGCTTGAAGCTTAGCAGACACATCTACGGAGTGCTTGCGGAGGAACCCCAAATCGAACTGGCGCAGATGGTGGTCCCTGGATGCACTGTATGTGGCATCACGGAATGAAATTTGATATATTTGCTGGCAACTATTGTCTACATCACAAGGTACTCCAACCTTCATTCAGCTTTTTATCACCTTGGCCGCCAGTTGTTTTGCAGGATAAAACTGCCCGCTCTGCTCTGCAACCTCCTCAACTATGGCCCCATAAGCGACTTGTGCTGAGCAAGTGCCAAACCGCTAAAGCTTAAAAGGCGAGCCTGCTGGTTGCACCACTCTCGTTGGTCCGCTCATTTTTCCGGCCTCCTTCACTGTATCGAACTTGTCCATGGGCTGTCTTTAGGGATAATCGCCCAGTGGTTCCTGCTCATGCCACAGACGCCCTCTTCGTCCGGGACAATGAACCCAAGAATGGACGTAGTTGTCATGGTGGAACTTCAACAGGCCACTTGAGGAACTCCGCACCTGCTGTAATGCCGTTCTCCTACAGGCTCCGTTTTACAGGCGAAATGGCGTAACCACCGACGGGCAGTGTCCTCGTTCAGATTGGTGTTTGACGCTCCTGATAGTGCTATCACTTCTCAGGTACTCTGTATGCTGGGAGACACCCCCTGGCAGATCAGCACACCTTGTAGGTGAAGACTAGGCGAAGGCTGGAGTGGTGAAAGCCAGTTCGCACTTGAGTCTGTTGGTGGCATGCGTTCCTCCAGCCCTTTGACTCGTGGACAGCCACTAGTCAGAGGTGCATTACATGTCATTCGGTAGCTAGGAAGTTTGGCGATCCCTTACACGAGAGTCAACTGGTCATAAACTCAGCATAAACAAGCTGCAGTGCCACAGAGACCGCATTATATATAGTGGAGTGACGTGTGAAGATCGACAGTGACTTCGACATAAAGGAATTTCCTTTATTCACTCGATCTTACAAGCATGAACATGAGCATTCTCTTCTTTGAATCAATAAATATTGATCATTCTGGAGTCACAGCAACATTCAACACCGATATTTCAACCATTCGGGCGCCTCGAAGCCACAAAATCGCTCATTGGTCGATAAGAGAAGCGTAAATAAAGTTGACCAATGAGAAGCTAGAAAGCTAGTTACTAAAAATAGAAAAAGACGGGCAAAAATCGTTTATTCCGAGCATATCAAGCCGTTAAAAATGCTTCAGAAGCGAGCGAGTGAGGCTCCAAGGGAGAGAGGCACTTCAGCCCCGGATCTCGACATGCCCAAGGAAACGTGGTAAAAACAAGAATAAACACCAAGTCGTGCCTAATGGCTTGAACGATGGGGCTTGGTTTCAGCTTCCCAGCAATGCCCTTAACCGAGGCATCGTCGTAAGCCTGCAGAATAACCCCGATTGGATTGGCTGGGCAAGGCTGGACACAGAAGAAAGACAATACCCACATCGTGGCTTTGATGCCAGAGTGACGCGGAATAAGACGGTGGGGCGTGGAGAAGACCTGACAGAACAAAGCAAATGAGCAGCACAGCCAGTCCTCTGGGAGCAGTTGCTTGCCCAAGCGAGAGAAACCAGTTTCTGAACAGGTCGTGCCATATCCTACCCCGTATATCTACTAGGCTTTAGTAGGTAAGCAAGGTAAAAATAGGGTGGAACCTTGGATTCTCAATCTTTTGAAGCATTCCAATTTACCGAACAATGCCCCATACACAGTAAGCCAACGTCAAGAAGTGTGGTCAAGCTATGAAGTCCATTGGTAAAGCTAAAGAGGACTAGGCCAGTCGCAATGATTTCAGCCGTTAACGGGAAAATTAACCATTTGAGGAATGCAGTTCTCTTGGTCACAGTTTCACCCATCATACGTATAACACTGGCCTAGTCAAAGGTATCTATGCAATATATTCTGACAAAAATCCAGTTGCATATATGAGAGCATTATCCGTCGTGCCTGTCTGTAGATAACAGATGGACGGCGCTTGCAGTCCCTCCACCTAACAGTAGGCTGCGTGCTCAGAGGTGGATAGCCAGCCTTTGGCCTGGCGTGTTCCCAACCAATCCCAAGGTATTTGACTGAGTGGCCACTGGACCCTATGGTAGGTATATGCAGGTGCTAGCTCCTCCCAGTGGTAAGATATTCCAGCTTGAGATTTGTGCCTCTTTAAGCGTCGTAGGTTCAGAGGGGGGTAGATAAAGAGGATATCGGCAACCAGATGACATACCAGAAAGAGAAGAAATCCAGCTTTCACAGCTAAACTAGTTTGTGCTTAGTGAGAGTGTACCTCCCTAGGGTTCTGCTTCGGTAATCTAAGCCCATCATCCATCAAGTAATCCTATATTCCCAACTAAACTATCTTCCACTCTCTTTGTCATGGTATTTCTCGAGGTGCAGCGACCAAAATGCAAGCCATCCTCGGACTTTTTCTTAATGGTCGGTTATGATTGTAGGAAAAGAAGACGATTTATGCTTCGAAATTACAATCATATAGAGTGCCGTTGGCAATTGGACCTATGCAAGATATAGCTAGCAAAACGAAGTTGCATGTCATGAAAATAGCCCCATATCAATACAGTCAACTAAGAGTCTAGCACATACGACCACAGGAAGTGGAAAACAGAGCTTCCCGTCCGCTCAGCTGTACTTAAGCCACTTGCCGGTCGGTTAGTAGTTGGGTGGGTGACCACCAGCGAATCCCGACTGTCGTATGTATACTTTTTTGGGTCTTTTTTTGATATTTTTGTTGGCATAATGAATGTCTTCAAGCTCATCTATCGGATATCATCCTCTGCGAGGAACAAAGGGACCAGAAGTGTTATGCCGATGGTATCACCTGCAAGGTAACCTATCCTTCTATCGATCACAGGCCAAGTAGGCCTTTCCAGCCCACTAGACTCAGAAATAGATATACGACAGGTTAACTCCCTGTGCCCTGTGATATGGACAGGCTCTTCTGAACGACATGAAGGACGATGCTTGAGATGTCGTTCTCTGCATGTTTGTTTTAGCTCAACTCGTGAAAATCGTTAAACTCAGTGGGGACGGGACCAGCCGCAGCCAATCAGCGAATGTGTTGTGACTAAGCATAACAGCCGCCACGACGTCAAGAAAGCTGTAGGATCGAGAGAGCGACGATCAGAGCTGCGAGGTATCATGAACTACGGAGTACACCACCGGTGGTAGATGGCTGCAAGGTAGCCTGCCATTCACTCTACTGCCCTATCTCTCTTAAATACAGAAACCATACAGTCCGAGTCAGGAGGTCTAGCACTCGCGGGTAAGACCAAAGCCCACATTCGAATGCATAAACATCCGATTTAGCCCAACTTTACACCAATGTAAATACCTCAAATGCTTATATTGACAAATGCCTACCTATCACGCCTCCTATTGGATCTTGTTTGTGGTGCGAGACGTTGGTAAGGGTGGTATCACTGTGGACAACAACTTCATTCCGGAAGGCTACATTGTTGGGATAAGTATTTACAGCCTCTATCACAAAGAAGGATACTTCCCCTGTCCGCACGAATTCATATCATAGCGATAGATCGTCGATGAACACGATACCCGGAAGGTTTCTGCGGTTGCTACCGCCAAGGCTGCATTCGCCCCTTTTTCCATTGGGCCAAGGGTTGTATTGGGCGACTATTGGGTTATTTGAACCTGAAACTCACGATCGCCACGCTCATCTGGAAATATGACTTTTGGCTAGCAGACGGGACCGCCGGTGGAAAGGGTGCAGGACATCCACTAGGTAAGCGCGGGAGGACAAACCCCGTGGAATTTCAAGTATTTGAACAGCTCAGGACCCTTGTTGATGGCCTGATGATCCAGTTCAGGCACGGAATATAGGGTATCTATTTCATCACTTATGATACATTGTCCTGGTGGCTTATAGACTATACATGCCTTACACCTTGTTATATAAGAGTCGTGTGCCTATAATTAGGGTAATAGTACTCCGTATCAAATAAAGATAATAAACAACCACGTAAGTATCATGATGGAAAAATAGCCATGTGCGTAATTTAGAATATATAGCCAATCCACGCTATTTCGGCATCTATATAACGATCAAATAATCCATAAACCCAGTAAAAATGCATGAAACCCAAAAGTCTAACCTTTTTAATGCTCGAATTGCCGTCCATCCCAATCCCATGGCTTGGTAGCTTCGCCTGGTTTAGGAATAGGACAACTCTCTACTTCCGGAGGGTAATTTTCAACCGGAGCGCCATTTGTGCTGCCAAAGTATATCCTAAGGATCTCCTTTTTTTCAGGCTTCCCAATGACTGTACTCGGCCATTCCTCCCCATCTTTTAACAATTTGAGCAGGGTTGGCATCATATACGTTGGCAGGCTCCCTTCTAGGTCAGATCTGATCAATCCTAGCGTTGTCGTATTACTGGGTAGTTGGGTATCTGGCCTGAGCTTCACCACAGCACCGCAAAGCTGCCTGAGCTTTCTATGAGGAACGGCCACAACACAGGCTTCTGAGATATATGGTAGTTTGGTTAAACTGTCCTCGACTGCAAGGGTCGAGAACCGAAATGCTGCATATTGGACGCCTATTAATCCTGTTAACTCTCTGCGAATTTGAATTTGCACAGGTGACCTGTAGCATTAACTGTTAAACTTACAGTCAGTAGCTACACGGCCGGCGAATATATATTCTCCATCGACGTATTTAGCGAGATCTCCGGTTTTATAGTACCCTTCTTCGTCAAAGATGCTCTCAACCGTATGATTGTCACCAATATAACTGTACCGAACGGCTTAGTTAATATGCGATGATAGGTAAAGGGAAATCAATTGCTGGGCTCCATACCGTAGCAGCATCTTCGGACTTTTGACACAAAGTTCTCCTCGATCACCTTCTGAGAGTTTTACTTTGATCCCAGGGATTGGAGTTCCCATTGATCCCTAAACAGCAAGTTATTTCCCCATCCATTGTCGACTTCAAGTTTTTGAATGTAGGGCTTACATATGCCTCAGAAAGTCCACCAATTGCACTTCCTCCAAGTTCAGTGGAAGAATAGAAGTTCTCAAAGGGCAGTCCTGTTAAACCTATCCAAAAATCCCTTACTGGTGGCTCCAGCGACCCTCCAGAACATTTGATTATCGACAACCCTTTGAAATAACTGTACCATAAGTCTTTCTCCTCCTGTAGGATACTGGATAGATCCCTGTGGCAAGTGAGTAAGAACATCATCCGCCGCAACACATCCGGCATAAACGCGGCGTGTGTGATCTGTGAGGTTCTGAAAGCCCGCAGAACGTCTTCAGCACGAGCGTCTTGGACTTTCGTTTTCAGACTATGAACTTTCATCCCCGAAAGGAGTGACTGGATAATATCCCTGGCACCGCCAATCCAATGGTTTGGGCGATAAACGAGGGCTGCCGAGCCGGGCTCTCTGATGCCTGTTCCAAGGAGAGCACATCGTGGTAGCAAAGCTCCTTTAGGGCGCCCAGTGGTTCCTGACGTAAAGATGATCATCCCAGGTCCCCCTGGTGCCATGACACAGTTGTGATCAATCTCAATGGCTCTTTCAGTTTCATCAAGAGCCTTTGCATCACAGGATATAGCAACGACCGTCAGAGCTTCACATTTTGTTTGCTTGATGTAGGTGTGAATGTTGCTGGCCCTCTCCATACTGCCTCGGCCAGCAAGTATGGATATTGAGCTTGTAATGGAAAGCAAGTAATCCGCCTCCTCGGGAAGTATGGCAGTCCCTCAAAACAGCCAGTTAGCCTGATTTCGTTCTCTGCTGAATGTTGGTATGGAACGTGAATTTTTACCTAGAGGTGCACATACTCCACCCAAAGATCGTATAGTAAAGAAGGAAACGAGAAACTCATATCCGCTCTTCGCGAGGAGAGCGACGCTCTGCCTCTCTTCGCACAAAAGTCCCTGGGTATCTAATGCCGAGGGTGGTAATTGCGCTCGCAGGAGTTCCCGGGTTGCAACTATGTCAGCAAGAAGCTCAGGATACGTCTTCTGGCAGCCAAGTGCATCGTCTTCGACAACGGTCTCAGTAGGAGGAGTTTGGTGTGCTAGTGCTAATAACTGGACCAGCACTGGATCATGAGGGAATCTGCGAATTGGTATAGGAATCATGACTGGTGTTTTTGACGCCTCGAAATGGAGAGTTTGGAAGAGTTTATCATCTTGCAAGACTATCGTTGATATGTAGGATTCCCCCTTCCTACTGACTTGCTTCTATTTAAATGTGTAGCTGAATCTAAGTGCTGGCTAAGCCATTAATTCCCTGTTACAAGGCTTTGTAGAGCTGTTTCCACTGCGGTTTGGCCTTGAACTATCCAATCGCAGTTGTGGGAGACAAACCACAGGCAGCTGCCGCAAACCGTCAAGGCTAATTGATTTTAAAATCGACAACTAGTTAGTTTCACAAAGGAGTAAAAGATTGTAAATCAGTCTCTTGAATTAAATAATTGGCATTGTATAACGTGAACTCCGTACACCACATTCGTACGTGTCCACCATCATCTCCAGCAAGCTCGACTCTCTAGAGCTTTGAAGTAGATGGACATGGGCAATGTTTGGCCTCGTTCTTCTCAGATGAAATATGCAGAGAAGACTGATTGAAATTCTGCGCTGACTGCGGGACGTCCAAAGCAGGATTTTTCTCGAAGAAACCATCCGGTCTGAGCATGATGCTGACCTTCTCCATGGGCATAACAGGGAAATCCTCTGGGCGGGGATTATGAGTAAGTGCGAAGGCTACACATTCTGTTAGTACACACTGATGAATATAGAAGGTTCACCTGACTTACTATGCCAGAGGACAACGTCCGTGTTTTCGACATTATCTTCTCGAGCGACCCATTGCTCAACACCAGAGCTCCCCTTGCTTTGATTAGTGAATTCGCCGGCAGCGTACAACTCATCGTCTCGGTACTTGGTCACCCATATTGGCCTTGTAGCGAACTGGGCCCGTTTCATGTTGAAGCTGCGGGGGTGCATAAGCATGAGCTGGCTGGGCAGTGCGTGCAATTTATAGGCAACCGGTTTGCCAGATGTGGGGTTAATGATATTGTCGTTCCGGATCTTGAAAACGCGGGCATCAGGAACACTGAGGTCCGCTGCTGTTGAACGTTTGATGACCTTGGTTTCTTGGACGTATCCCACACCATAAGGGTTTGTATCTGGGTCATCAGGCATTGGAACGCTGTCTTGATATATCACCGTATTGCTGTGCCCGTCAATGGCTGGATCAATACGCATGCTGAATATGTGCTGATGATAGGCAGCCATGACTCCTGGAGCCACGTTGGTGCCGAACGGAACGGACACTCCTTCGTCGATAGGCATGGTTGACAATATACCTGTAGCCCTGACTTCAAGCTCGATATTGCCGGCTTGATCAAATATCCAAGCAAAGATGTACTCGTAGTTTGCGACTGTGCAGATCATTTGCAAGACAAGTTGACGATTCCGGACCACAGTGGCAGCCTGGGAGCGGTAGTTGGTATGTTTATGTTGTATTCCATTGTCTTGTTCGTGTAGACAGAGAACGTTTTTCAACAGCACTGGGTTTCCCTTGGAGTCGATCCTGTAGCCATCGAAGTACTTGATATGACCGAGACAGTCACAGCCCAGAGATAGCTGGTTGGCTGTAACTCCAAAGCCAACATCCCCAATGTCAAATGCCTGTTTACGATGGTATGGTGCCCGTGGATCTACACTAATATTAGCTGATGAAGATAGAGACACTGAATACATAAGCCTACCTCCATACGGAACTGTCATTTCATTCACGGCTAGCCGGTAGAAGACATTGCGTCTGTCATACGTCACGCCATATAACACCATTCCTTCGCGATAGTTGAATCCAACGTGAAACCTCCACTTCTGCCAGTGCACAAAGCTCCCATTTACGGAAAATGAGGGGCCTTCTGGCTGTTGTACTATGTACGGTTTGAGATCCGTTCGAGTAGGCTCATCCAAGAGATCATGAGCGTACTGAACAGCCTTGACCGGTTTCCAGGGCTGAGTAGGCTTCGTGGAATGATCCGAGCCAGTAGATAGGTAGTCAATGCGGACTAGCTCCTTAGTATTGGCGTCAAATACCGGGGAAAAAGTGCATGGGAGGGAGTAGTGGTTATGCTGGGGGTTTTCGGTATCGACAAGATACATGTAAAACTGCATCAGACGGCGGGTTTCTTTGGGATCGTCTGTTCCATAGATCCAGGGGTCCGAACACACGGTCACTCCTGGTGGAAGCTTCATCTTCTCAACCTCGGCTTTCACAGCAGGATGCTCCAAGCAGAGCTGTTCCATCTCGATCAGCTCATCTGCGTCACAAGGTCCCTATATATTTTGTTACTGGAGAATCTTCAACTCAGACTGATGACCGGGGCTTACCTGTATGTCCTTGGGTATCTCCTTTACGTGTAGTAGCACCCGGGTATCAATATTTATCAGCGCCTTCATAAAACTCTTTGTGTCCAACCGATGGAACATGGCCATGAGTAGGCGAGCAGGCTTCTTAGGCAAGGAGATACATAGTCTCTCTGCCTCGATATAGGGAACGACATCCTTCTTGATGGGCTCCTGGAGGTCGATAACCTTGTACCGCAGAGCAACTCCTGGGAAGGCATTCTCGAGGATCTTGACAGCCAGCCGGAGCTCGGCAGGCGTCACCGGGTCAAACGGATGTGGTGCCATTATGAGAGAGTGTCTTGATAAACGAGGAACATCACCTATCAACCGAGGCTGAAAGAAGTATACAGAGTGCGGTATATTTCTTGCACAAATATGAAAAAGAAAAAGGGTCTGGAGGAATGCCACGGGAGGATGTTTTTAAATAGTTTGACAGCTGCAAGTGGTAGCTCTCACACCGGCAGCTCCCTGACCCCCACGCAGATCGAGAACACGAAGAGACAAGAAACCCGGGGCTGAACGCATCACGGCGGTACTATGCAGCCACTAGTACTCCGTAGACCGGCCTGCTTCACTCCCTCCTCCATAGCTTGGTTGCTAAACGATCCTCCACGCAGCGTCTGGCTGGCTGGTACGTCCCAGGAGTCGCTTCTTCTCGCCGCCCGCAAGTTTTCCGCCCCGGAGCGTCCAAGCTTTTTGCTGCCACCCGATTGGCCAGGCCAAGAGGCTAATCGCATGGACTTACCGCATCAGGAATAAAACACGACAAGTCTTGGCATCTCTTTCCTGTCGGCTTTTTTCTTTTTTTTCTTTTTTTTTCTAATTTATCTTAAGTATGAGTATTATTATTATTTATTCTGCTTGATTTTTTTTTTTATCATTCTGTGGTCGTTTCTTCTTCTCCAGTTCATGTATCATGAGCTATTCTTGGGACAGCCACATGGGATCTGCTGCAAAGATCTGGCCGTTGAGCTCGGTTCTAGATATCATGTTCGCATCTGTCTATCTGCGCCGCTCAGAGATAGAGGATGGATAGAGTTTGCTTTGACACGCGTTACGGCCTGACGCTTCGACTTGAAACAGCGCTGTCGAATGAATGGAGGACAACAACGGCCAACCTGCCAAACGAACTAGGATGGCTTGCGCGACGTGGAAGGGGACAAGGTCAACAAAGATGCTAGGGAATATCCGTACTCCGTGCTCTGGCCGATGTTCGCAGTCAAATGGAGAAAGTCTATGCGGCTGGACTCTGGGCGGTATTCCCCATAAATATTACGGCCTACTCCTTCATACTCCGCATGCAGGGTGTCTTACTTTCCCCGCAGCCTTCCAGCGTCAATCTCGGCTCGCTGTTTTCTCGTCTCGCAGCCCTGATGTAAATCGCAGGGCGGAAGGTTGGCGGGCGGTGGATCTCGCCTGCAGCGGGACGCTGAAATTGCCGACAGCCGATGCGGAATAATTATAATGCCGTCCGAGAGTTATAATCACGTGATTGGCCCAGCCTCGGAGCGGAAACGGGTAGCAGCTGGATTGGGTACCCCAAGTATGCTGGCAAACGAAGCAAGTAATACCCTAGAGTTAATATATCTATTTGGACCATATGTTACCGATATATCTCGACCAGCTTATTGAAATTCCATCAGATAGCAATTCCAGCGAAATCTGATCACATGATACCTAGGAATAACTAATATCCATTCCGGTCTTGGCAAGTTTTTGAGATGCCGAGGCTCTTCGCATGTGTTTATCGTCTACAACTTGGACTTCTCCATGTTCGACAAACATACCGACACTTCAACAGACATACAACTAACTAAAAAACTTCAGCTCTTCTTTGCGATTCGTTTCGATATTAAAGCGTGAGAATTGCAGCGGCATCTATTGTATATATGACCAAACCCACGGATAGCCTGCGCTCTCGGATCCTTGTCCCGGCTTCAGTCGCCTGGACATAAGCTCACCCCGAAAGCCCGACGTCATCATGGATGCCATAAAGGTATACACTCTCCCTTAGGCATGCCGCTTCAAATCATTTGACTGATAGATTTACTCTTTAGGCCAACCTGAACGAACTTATCCGAAACCCTGACCTCGCTCCTCTATTCGCCATCCTTAAAGGCGCTCGCAATGGTGCAGTATACGGCGCCAAAGTCCGATTTCCACATGCACTGGTGTAAGGATGGGTATCACCCTATTGTATATAAGCGGAATATTTCGGAGTGTACATGCTGATATCACCCCGCGTTACCAGGATGATATTTTTGTTTCGGTCTGGAAGGTATGTATCTTTCCGCCTATACGTCTACAACGGAAACACTTATGCATTTCTGGCTCTACAGTCTAAAGAAAAAGATATGGATGGTGTTGAACGCTACAAGGACACATGCTCGAAACCTCGCCTATTTTGCCGTCGTATACAAGTCATCCATGTGGGCTTTGAAATATATTGGCCCTACCGGCTGGGGTAAGGAGGGTCCATACGATACCTTCCTAGCCGGCCTATTAGGCGGATATCTCGTCTTTGGTAGATCTCCAGGAGACGTCAGTCTACAGGTCAGTAAACCCAACCCCTTAGCTTGTTCTGAAAAGCTCATCCACTCACTATTGATTTTGGCTGGAGATAGATCGTCATCTACGTTTTCGCGCGAGTAATGCTGGCTCTGGGTAGACTTTCCATAGCACCCAACCAGCATCCATTATCGTTCCTCATCACTCCAAAGGCACGCGAAAACATAAGTGAGGCAGCATGGCCATGTTTTGCCAGTTTAAGCTGGGCGATGGTCATGTACATCTTCCGCTGGCATCCGGAAGTAATTCAGAATAGTCTGAGAAGTAGCATGACATACATGTATGTCCCCAATGTCTTGAAGTTAATCCCACTCCCTATGTCTAGGCGGAAGCTAACTCGAACCGTAGATACGTGGATTCTGATTCTTTCGATTCTATCGATACACTACTTATTCGAAATAAATAAACCAGATTAATGGTGTTATTCACTGCGTATATATTGGAATCCAACCGGGTATATTCACGCACTTACCACCATGAATATTGAGCCCTTGAAAATGCCACATTAAGGGGTGGCAAAGTTTCCTATCCTTTCTGTTCTTCTCTTCATCTCATAGATACAGGCGTTTGGTTCTACATAACATGGGAACTCGGAGTGGGAACTTAACTTTAAACAACAGCCGTTATACTGGCCTCATTTCCTGGGACTTTCACTAGCGATTCATTCTTGCAATAGCTAGTCTACCCAAATGATATTTAGCTACAGTTCACTCTTGGGGGTTATGGGTTGTTATATCATTGCTTTTGTCTTATTGAACTGGTATCCTTTACCTCAAGTGTTTATTTTTCTGTATTCATCTATCTATCAGCATGCGAATGCTGTCCTCAAAATAATAAATGGAAGGGAAAATAACTCGATCAAAGAATCATCTCTATATGTGTGGTCATTGGCCACATAACAGTTTACAAGTTGGATGCTATTCAGCTTAATGGGGTTGTGTTCTCTAGTAGTGTTTTATTTTAACTTGGATTAGTCCGCTTGTAATTTAATAAAAAAATTTTATTGCTCTGTGGATAAATAACCCTGATAGGAGGGATAGAATAAATGCATCAACATAGGTAGCAATCAATCAATATATTGGATGCAGGCGGAAAATCCGATAAAAAAGTAAAAGAAAGACAAGCTTCTTAGTAATCACACACTAACATCCACGTGACTATTGCAATTTTATGACTAAACGGATATTGCATTACGTCATCCACATCAACGGGGTCCCATTGGACAGCTGGGCCGGCACACTTGATCAATAGAGAATATAATGCGTAATATAGCGGCTACGAGCCTGATCGCGATGACAGTCGGGATAGGGGTCCATGGGCCCATTTCGTCTATATATTGAATAACTGTGTCTTTGATATTGAATAACCATGGGCGAAAGTGCTGGGCTGCGCTGGAGCAGCTCGATGATTCTGACAACATTCGATGCGAACCGGGGAAGCCTGCTAACATCGATTTCTATGGACGCCACTTTGTCAAAAGGAAAATTGTCAAAGCGTGCGTCTCTCTTGGATGTGCTGTTCTCAAGCCTGAGGAGCGCTCCATGATCGATGACGTGTCTCCTGACACGCCGCTTGAAGCGAACAGCGGCCCAGAGCGCTTCATTCTCCTTGTCTGAGAATGACGGATCGAAACTTATATGTGTTTTGGAATATATAACGTGCGATATCTCATTGTAGAGGCCTTTGCTCGCACGGAGTACTCGTAGGTCCACTTCGGCTGAGGTTCGGGCGGTATTTGGCTGTGCTTCCGGTTCTTTCTTTTGGCCGGCAGGGAAGAATTCCAACCATATAATCTCCCTAATTTCGAAAGGGAGCTTCGAGAAGTCTCCTAGACTGCGAAGTAGATCCATATTGGTAAGAACATATTTGGATTTTTCTTTTCTCGCCATATTTCGGTTATATTGGGTATATATGACTAGAAGCAGTTCAAATTCTGGAGAGCAGCCGGAGCTGCGTATGTCGTTGCATTTTATACCCCTAATTGGGTATGATGTCATTTACCATCCATGGGGCGTGGTTCCGCTGATATAAGCTCCAAATGGTAACGGTTCAACTGAAGGGAAGGAAGATATGCGCAAACTCTGGAGTATCGGATAATCCCTTAGGAAAGTTTCAACAAAGTGCTAGACACCCTATGCCAAATATTCACTAGAGGGCCAAGGCAACAGCCATGATCAGGGTCATCATCTTTATCATCCCGATTTATATACTGTGGAATTGAGATTTCGGTCTGCGTAGCAGCATGTGTATAGGTTCCGGCGATGCTACTGTCAACACCAGGACTGATATATTGCTCAAGGATGGGCTGAGATGGCATTTCTCCAGTAGAATCTGGAGCTGGTATTAGTGCTGAGGTTGACGTGTTGTTATTCTCCAGCAGTAGTGTGTGGTATTCTATGTTAGGGTTCTCCGGATCGGTTCCAGCTCCTCCTGGTTCCACTTGGTCTACAGCTTCTATGCTGCTGGCTGCGGAACCTCCATTATCGGATAGAGTATATGCAACGGAATTCTCCTCTGCCGGGTTAGAACCTTCCGAACTGGTCTCTTCCTCCTCCAGTTGCTCCTCATTTGACTGTCCACTGCTATCCTGCTCCGAAGAACCGCGACTCGCATATGGAAGCGGTTGGGTAGTATTACGAGAATCATTACTGTCTGTAGTAGATTCTTCTTCTTCTTCTTCTTCTTCCTCTACCTCCGGCCAAGAGTAGTCGCCATGGTTCATCCAGGGAGTTCAACTGATTGAGTGAAAATCGGTATTAGCTTCAGCTCATTATAAATTGGTTTAAAAAGGAGGAGGCACGCACCAGCAGGGACAACTAGGTTGAACGTGATCGCTAAACGATCGTTTCCATTCCTCTATACATTCAGCATGGAAATTTGAGCCACATTGTGCCATGCACCATGTTGTTCTAGGGCCATCAAGAGGCCTGGTATGGCGACGCGATCTTAGCCCTGGTACAAGCACTTCTTGACAGACTGGGCAATCCTCGTTAGGTTTGATAAATTTCCTGATGCCATATCGAACGGGAGTGGTACGGGATGAATTAGATTGAGCGGTGGGAAGGTGAGCAATAGGAGGCTGTGAAGTAGACTGTCGAGAAATGGTTGGACGAGGGACTGGCACAACGTTAGTGTGTCCAGAGGATGTGTCTATTTGATCACTTGCGCGTCCACCAAAAACTACACTCCTTGGTGGTATTGGAACACGAACTCGTCTGGTCCTAGGCTGGCTAGCATACGCTAACTGTGACTGTGAGGGAGGAGAGCGAGTAGGGGTAACATAGGCGGGTTGTCCTTGCGCCAATGAAGAAGCGACTATCTCCGCCCACCGCCGGGCTACAGTTGCGGCCTGGTATTGATGATTCCTCCTGCAAAGGACAAGGGTAGCTAGCCGTTCAAGGGTCTGAGATATGTCTTGTCCATTACAAAGCTGCTCATTCCCCAGATTCAGTAACCCTAATGCGTTGTTTAGGCTGTGTTGAGCGATAGGGTTGCGGCAGCGGCGTCCTTGGCTTGGAGCGAATCCATAACATGTACGCTCGAGGGTAATCCCAATGATGTCTTCAAGTCTCGCCTGTTGAGAAACCGGTGCGATACTGAGTGTATCATCATCGATGCTGGATATACGACCAGTAGTCTGGCGTGGAGTCTAAATGCCGAAGTGGAGTGTAAGAGGCGTGGTCCGAAAAAATGGAGCCCATTTCGGACGGTCGAGCTGATGTATCGTATTTCAGATTGCAAGTATGGCTTCTATGGGCAGGGAGAGCCATGCCATTTTCTGATCCGATTTCTGGGGATGAAGCAAGGACAGCCGGGTGAAGGCAGGATTATATATCCTTGGGTGGCTTTTCCATGCTGGCATGACTTAGCCATAAGATCCAACGCTCTATCGATTTGTAACAGCCCCTGGCAGTGATATTAATAGATGAGGTTAGCTGTAGGGAGGAGGGGAAACACTTGGGACAGGGTATAGACGCTCTCACTCCGCCTCCATGATTCATGGAGGTGGCGCATCGAAATATAATCAACGCACTGTCCATTTTCGACTTGTAAATATTTCATGCATTGCAAGTTGATGAAACGTTTGCTGTTTCCCCGGCTCCCCGCAAGCCAGGAAGCGTAGTTGGCACATATTGCATCTCGCACATCCAGGAACGACTGATCCATGGGAGCGGCAGTTATATGACCAAAACCCCGCGAAGTTTGGTCGACACCGACAAGACCGAATCCTACCATGTAAGTAGTCAGCAAGGGACATGGATGCAAGTTGGACGTATGCAGCGCTTACAAGGTTGCGGGACGGCTGTGACTTTGGAGTCTCTCGTGCGAGGCCCGTACCCGATAGAACCAGCAACGATGTGACGCATATGCTCATCCTCCATCTATACGATATGCAGGAGATCATGTTTCGATTCCACAAGCGGATGCATAGGATATCTTGGAGATTTCAGCCACCTCTGGCATTGACATGTCTGAGCTACAGTCCAGAATAACCGTTGAACCTCCTTTTCTTTGGCAAAACAGTTGGGGTATCACCCGGACTCTGTTAGAGGCAGCCTTCTTCGCTCTATCCTCGTATCCTGATTGATATTCACGAGAGATTTTTCGCTGGTGGTGAATGTTCATATAGGTGGCCGCCATCCCCGGTACACCCGGAGCAACCCGGATTAGACACCCACGTAGAACCGTACCGATAACCTGAATTCATAACAGTTTCTTCTGTGAATATTCTTCGTTCGAGCGCAATTCAGTCACTTGCAGGAGAGAAGAAAAAAAAAAAGGAATGCTGCGAAGGGGCTTGCTGCTAGTGGAGGATGGAAGGGCAAGGATAGACGCCTATCGTTTAAATGCTGAGCGGGCTGCCGTCCACGTCCTGTAAATCCGTAACTATTATCGCCCGCGAGCATCGCAGGATATCGAGACTGTATCCATATCAGACAGCTATGAAGCCCCTGAGGATGTTCGGCGTCGCGGCGGGCTGTCTGCTATGGGCTGCGCTGGCAGACTGCGTCGGCTCCTTGACGGTCAACACCACCAACGGCGCCATCACCGGCCACCCGGCAAAGACAGCGTCAACGGTCCATGAGTTCCTCGGGATCCCGTATGCTCAGCCACCTGTCGGCAAGCTGCGATTCATGCCGCCGCAGCGATACGTTGGTGGCCAGCCGTTCGTCGCCTCTGACTTTGTACGTTGATTGACCGCGTTGTAGTTAGTTAACCAGCTGGAGGTGAACGGCCTGCTAACTAGTTAAACCCGCTGCAGTCAGCGTGAGTGCAATAGTATCAAGTCCAAAAAAAGATAACAACAACAACAACAACAGTAGCAGGAATGCCGGTTGATTCAACTGATGGACGGGTTGGCTGATGATGTCTATTAAGCGACTGTGTGTACACGCCGGCGAAGCTGGTCCCTTTCCCCGGCGCGACGCGCAACTACGCCAGGATCCTGACGGCATTCATGGGCAGCGGTGCCAACGTCCACAGCGAAGACTGCCTGACGCTGAACCTCTGGACGAAGGGCACTGCAGGCCGGAAGAGACCCGTCCTGGTCTTCTTCTACGGCGGGAGTATGCTGTCTATCCTCTTGTCCCTCTGGATGTCTCCCCTTACTGCGAGGTTGCGTTGCTGACATGACGTAGGATTCACCATTGGGGATACCAACACCCCCTTTTTCGACGGCCAGTTCTTCTCAGAAGCCGAGGATGTCGTGGTCGTGACCGTCAACTATCGAGTAGGCATCTTTGGCTTCCCTGGTGCCCCCGGACTGCGCCAGAACCTGGGCCTGAGGGACCAGCGGCTGGCGGTTGAATGGCTTCGGGACAACGCCGGGGCCTTTGGCGGAGACCCTTCAAGAATAACCATCTTCGGGCAGTCGTCTGGAGCTCTGGCAGTCGATGCGTATTCCTATGCGTATCGAGACGACCCCATTGTGGCTGGCCTGATCCTTCATTCCGGTACCATCTTCAGTTTCCCTCTGAACTCGAGGGAGCTGGCGGCCAGGAACTGGCACAATGCGTCTTCTCTCGCAGGCTGCGGCTCAGCGGGAGATGTGCTGGCCTGTATGCAAAGCAAGTCTGCCGATGATATCAGACTCGCGGCGGATAAGGTCCCTCCGCCGCCTAATACGAGCGTTGCTCGCTCACAGCCTGTGTTTCAGCCAGGCCCAGACGGTGAACTTATCTTTGATGACTACGAGTCCCTGGCGTCTCAGGGGAAATTCATCCAAATCGTGAGTCCATCTTAGATAATTCGTTATGTTGCTGTTCTTTACTCTGGGAACATAAGCTGAATTGTTATAGCCCATGATACTTGGCCATGGAGACCGTGAATCTTCATTCTACAACATCTCTGCTTCGGCTCGAGGCACTGTTCTCACAGACGAGCAGTGGGCCCAGTTCGTTACAGACGTGTTCGGATGCCCGGCCATGAAGGAAGCAGATTATCGAACTCAGCACAACATTCCGCTATGGAGATACCGTTACTTTGCTGACTGGGTCAATACTCGGCTGTTCCCTAACAGTGGCGCATACCATGGCGTCGACCTCCATATGATCTTTGGCAATTCTCAAGGAGTCGCCGGAGATCCAGAATCGCCAGATCAGACCATTCTCAAGAGAATCATGCAAAGAACCTGGGCTGCCTTTGCAGCTGACCCCTGGGCTGGGCTCAAAAGACACGGGTGGCCTGTCTACAAGAAGGACGGTAAGTTGGCACCCGCTCCCACATTCTACAATTGTTTGCTACGGGAAAAATAACTTACGGCCTAAACCTATTATCAGCCTACACCGTGGCCCGTCTCGGGTATAATAACAGCCCTTTTCCAGATTTCGTCAAACCGGCAGCTTATGATGCCCATTGTCCTGGTGCCTAAGACGCCCATCTTGGTTTTCCAACCTTCTTCAACTCAGTGTCAATGTTAAATCTAATCCAAGAAGAAGTAATATTTACGCAAGGTGTCACTTCAACTCCATGTGATGCGGCCATGTCCAGTGATAAGAAAAGCCTGGATTAACAGTATTTATGCCGAGCCTAATGCAGAGTATGTCCAAGTGGTACTCCGGACTCCAGGCTTTTAATAACACCAGAAACATACAGCCATGGCTATGGTAGCTTCAGGCCAGCCTGCAGGCCTCCAATAGTTCCGCTGTCGTTGCAACGGTAAAGTCAAACAGCGCCTCGAAGCTACGTTGTCTGGCCCGAGGTTGCTTGGGAAGTAACCAAGTATACCAAGTATATTACCGGCCAGGATGGTATATAACGGAATAACCCTTCACTAGCTAGCTGCCGGGAGAGAGGATATCAATGCGCTGCCGTCCCGTCCATCTACCCTAAAGAAGGATTCATTGGCTATGCTTCGTACAGACTCGCGTAGGAAGCGCAGGACGGCCATAAGGGTTTGCTGTTTCAACCCAGGACAGAAACTTCCGGTATACAGACCACTTTGATTGTTGAGAAAGGTTTACTCGTCCTTATTTAGTCTCGTGGGGGTGCAGTCTACGGACTCGCTGACTTTCATACAAGCTCTAGTTACCGAAGAAGCAAAGAGATGTGTTTTCCGTATCCCCCTTGAACTCGAACCGGACCGCCCGGAAGCCCACTGAGATGGATACTCAAAGTCGTCCCTGCATCCCTCCATGCTTCGCCGCCGTTCGGAGTACTCCGCGTGTGAGACCCTCCGATCGTCCATCTTGTCTGGGGAATGTTCGAACAGCTCCAGGTTATCACAACCACTGCGTGCATGCTCATGTTTGTATCGACATCATCCTATCAAGGGTGGTTAGTTAGTGTAACCAGTTATATCAGCCACCTCTAACCCGCCGCCGTGCTGAAAGCCATGAACCAAGATCACAGACGATTATTACCCAGGCAAACCTCAGTGTTTAGAGTGCTTTCCCCCCTTCTTGCGCAAAATCCAGACCTCGAAACGGCCAGTTTCAGCCTCCCAGGCCAAGAAGGTTCCTCATCGTCACTGTGCAGGGAGTACACAAAATACGGATAATAATGAGTTGAAACACAGCTCGTGGAACAAAAGGAAAGGAGACAAGCCTGCCAGTGAAGGATCAGCCTCCAAATTTCTTCATCACACCACCATCTAGACTCTCAAAATGGCCTTTTCCTTTTCTTCCTTGCTTTTTCCTTCTCTCTCTGCGACTCTCCCAAGAAAAGCCATAGTTTTAATACCTACGGAGTACAGAGTATGGCGGTGGCAACTATTCATGAATTAACCCAGATGAATCGGTATGCAAATGGACAGGAGTTCGAAACTGATGGTCGTCCTGGGTCCTGACGGTTGCTCAATCATCCGTGCCATCTTGGTCCGTCCACATCTGAACTCCTGTTTAGCTGGAGATCTTGTCCTGTCCCCAGCATGGCATATCACCGCCCTAACCGGGACCCCTGGAGAAGTGGACTCGAGATCTGACCGCGAAGCATGGCACGCTAGGCTTGCTTTGACCTCTCGATCGGCTGCATCAGCCAGCCAAGCTGCCATCGTGCAAGAAGTGGCTTTTTCGCCTTTCCAGCAGCTCTCAAGGAGTTCATCTCCGGCACTGTCATGCACTGGTTCCTGGGGAGTATGTATATTTTTTTCCCAACCTGTGGCGTACGGTCTGACCTTCGATACCTCTCCTTTTCTTTTTCGCTGCATCTTTCTTGTTTCTCGTCTTTTGCGCCGACGTGGGATGGCATAGCCGACAGTTACAACACCTGGGCCGACCTCTTCGCTGAAGGAGAAATGTTCATAGGAAAAAAAGCTTGTTGGTCCTGGACCTCCTGATGGCTCCTCCGGCAGATATATTATATCTTCTATCAAGGACCCCAAAGCAACTCACTTCATTTTGCTGGATCATATCGAGCCTCATTCAATATCCAGCCTCATTCTATCCGAATTCCATCTCCAGGCCCTGATCAAAAACACATACAATGACACAGTCGGGACCGCGAAAGGGCGACCCAACCTTAGAGATATGGATAGGTGAACGGAGCCTATACATCTTCATTGTCTTCTTGACCGTCTTCGGCTCCGTCATCTTGATTCCTACAGCATACATTCGCTGGCGGCACAAACGACTGAGGGAACCAGAAGTCATCTTTATTGTACTTGCATATATATTCTTCCTTGCAAACGAGCTCGTCCTTCTTGGCCTTCAGACACGAGTCTACCGGCTGAGCTATGTAGCTCTACAGATGAAGCCGCCCTATCGGGAGATCCTCAATGATAGACACGACGTTATCATCCTCGCATATGCCTCAACCTACCTCTTTTACTCCGCTCTCTGGTGCATCAAAATTTCCTTGCTCCTTTTCTTCCGCCCATTTCTGAGGGCATTACCCGACCAACTTAGGTGGTGGAATGTGACAATTACATACCTCTTCATCACCTTCGTATTAGGATTCCTTGCTACACTGCTCTCTTGTGGTGGGCCTCGACAGCTCAACCACGTTGCTCCTGGCCAAAGTAGGCTGACCTTTCCCCCATTTACATTAGATATTTAACTAACGTTGGTTAGAGTACTGTCAAAGCCGTGTGGATTCTATAACCCGAAACGTAAGTTTATTTGGTTGGTTTGCCGCGGATGTCTCAACTGATTTGCTGGGTATGTTATTTCGATATACATCAAATTGACGCAGGTGCTGATACTTTGTCATATAGTTATGATACTTCCACTCAGACTCATATACGGAATGCACATTTCATACGCACAGAAAATTAGAGCGGGTGCTCTGTTTTCTGTTGGAATGCTTTGCATGATCACTGCTATTATCCGTCTTGTTCAGATCGGCTCCAAGACTGGTATTACGAATCCAAATGTCCAATGGCTGTCTCTCTGGGGGACTGTCGAGGCTACAACTGGTATGTGTTTCTTGGATCCCTAGATAGAGAAAATGCTAATGGCCAATTTTAGCCATGGTTGTCGGATGTCTTCCGACCTTCCGGTTGATCTTTAAGTCATCTCCCGGACATGACCAGCCCAATTACTCGATTAAAATGCCTTGGAGCAATGAATCGAGCTCCAACCCACCTACTTCGAGTGACACTCAACAAGAAGCCCCGTCGTCGAGTTAAAGATCCTCGGAGCTCAAGACAGTAGCCGAGATCAAGATGAGGTGACTGCGTTGCTATGGCTTTCTCCTGCTAGCAGGGACACGATCTCCAGTTATCAAGGGAACATCGCCCTATATTTTCGACACCTTACTACGGCTATAGCAACACTCCTCTTCTTTTTGCTCTTCCATTACGTTGAAAGTGTCAGAGCCCATCTTCATTTTACTGGCTATTAACTTTGGCCATATGTGTTACGATATCGACTTTTGAGCGCTCGGTGGCTAGTATCTTATGACATATCCACATACTTCTGAATTGAACATGTTAACTAGTTATAATAACAATGTAGCTCTTAAATAATATATAAATAAACATTTTTGAAGTCATAACTGCCACATCACTACCAATTAAATGTCAAAAATTTCATATTGATCAATAAATAACTCTAGTATCAGTTTAAGTACACCCCTGGCTAGAGGGTCCGCTCTATGCCGAAAGGCGGCTTTGGAGAGCTTGAATTCTCTTCGAGCTCTCCTGGAACTCGGTCATGGACAAAGTACCCTTCTTCAAGGCTGCTACGATCTCGTTGACGATTGCCTCTCCTTGCGTAGCATTTCTTCCAGATGCAAGCAAGATATCCACTCCCGCCTTTGCGGCCAATACACCTCGCTGTCCATCATTTCCAAAGGATTTCAGAGAACCGGCCTCGATGGCATCAGTGATAATAACGCCCTTGTAGCCGAGTCTTGTTCGCAACTCATCCGTTGTCCACTTTCTGCTCAGCCCAGCAGGATACTTTGCGTCAAGGGAAGGGTACACTGCCCAAGATGTCATGATCAAATCGACTCCGTTACGGATGGCGGTGCGATAAGGCACCTCGTCGAAAGTACGGATTTCATCCAGAGACAAATCGATCTTGATAGGAACTAGATCTGTGTTTTCACCCTTCTTCGCGGCCCCAAGGCCCGGGAAATGCTTCACTGTCGACAACACGCCGGAACGAGATTGCGAAATAGCGAAGGCCGAACCGCATGAGGTCACTATTTCGGTATTATTACCGAAAGAACGGCCGAATTCGTCAATGAAGTTCCCTTCTTCGCGGTATATGTCCAGAACAGGAGCCAAGTTGCCGTTGATCTTCTGCGCTTTCAAAGCCGCTGCAGCGTCCCGACCAGCCTGGCTAGCTGCTTGCATGGGAGTTGAGGAGTCACCAATCTGGCGAGCACTCTGGCTTGGACCGCCGGGAACACGACGGACATTGCCTCCCTCTTGGTCGGTGGTGATAATCATGGGATGACCATTATAGGCTGGCGAGGCTTTGTAGAGGGCCTGGAACTTGTCCATTATAGCTGGCAAGTTGGAGTTGACATTTTCTTTGAAGATGATCAGGCCGCCGACTTTGCCTTCTGATGTGAGCTTGTACAAGCTCTCGGGGGGTGTGAGGCCTGGATAAGAGTACATGACATGCTGGCCGGCTTGAACTGCGAGGTCGATAGCGATGGCTGGAGCAGCAACTGCTGCCAGCTGTGCAAAGAGAACGAACTTCATGGCTTATTGGGAAATTATTGTTTGATGGATGGGTATGGGTGCTGATGTATGACATATTTAATTATGAGGAAGTGATGTATGATTTATACTTGAAGCTTTGCTTCGATCATCACGAAGACCAGCCTTGGGGCATATTTGGGGCCGGTGTTCATACATGCAGTATGTCGTATTCATACCTCATCGATGTGCTGGGCCTGACTGCGGTGCTGCCACCGTGCCATCGATGAATGGCACCCAATTGTTCGTGTTAGCGCTTGCTGCAGCTCGTATACGAGATGCCATGGCGATAAGCTTCAAAATACAGCCATCAAGCCCCTGGATACCCCACAATCGGCGAGGATCTTCCATGATAAGCAAGGCGGACTACCAAGAATAACAACAGAGCAAGTTGGCCGATAAGCAGTGTGGGAGTGAAGTACGTAGATCTGATTTGTCGAGAGTGCTGAAGAGCTCGACTACGAGCTGTTAAATATATGAATCGAAATTAAACAAGAGATCGAAGGGTATATCAAAAGTGAATAGGCACACGCAGTGTTGAGTGTGTTCAAGGTATCAAGAAGGAGGGCAGAATAAAAATAAAAGTAAAGCCCAAGTGAGCAATCGAAGAAACGAGTCAAAGGAGCGGCAAAAAAACAATAAAAGTATAAAATGCTCCTTCAAGGCAGGAAGAAAACAGAAGTGAACGCAAGGGATATCATGGAGAAAGCTCAGAGAGCAAAAGGAAAAGAAAAGTCAAGTCGAGAAGTTAAGGCAAGGAACCACCGAAAGGAAAAACATCAAAGTCGAGGCACTAAAAATTAAACAGAAAAACATTAAACAATAATTCATCCGATCTCAGGGTAAGAGAGCAGAAACAGTGGTAGATATTTTTAATTGTCCCGCCGTCAGGTATATCACATAGCACAGCATAGCAAGGCGTATATAGTATGGCACTTATATTCATGGATTGAGAAAGGGAAAAAGGCGAGGTATTAGATAAGTTTTCGATCGGATAGGTGTATGTAAAGAGAAGCTGTCTTCTATTATACCATCATCAGCTTCGTTGTCCGCCGTTCCGGGAATTTTCTAGTGGAAGGGTATGGTCCGTTATCGAGTCCAGGTGCTGGAGTTAGGGACGAATTAACGAACTGGTGTTCAGATGGGTGCGGCCTGTGTTTATCGGGTCTTGGTCGAAGAGAGGATGGATTCATAGGTCGGTAACGAGGGTCACCACGACCGCCTTGTCGTGGACCTGCAAGTGGTGATGAAGGGGGCGGTGGCCTCCTGTATCCTGGGCCAGGGCCCGGACCTGGAGGACCCATGGGCGGAGGCGGATGGCCCTGGTAACCGTGTGGTGGAGGGAAGCCTGGTGATCGCGGAGGAGGCATCAAACCTGCCGCCCTTCTACCGTCACGTTCACAGTAGGCGCTGCCGTTCCACTCAAAGTAGTCTCCTCTGAGTACGATGTGACAGGTGCGGCACTTGAAACAGCCTGGATGGAACTTTTGGTTCTTCTTGCTCGAACTAATTCCAACTCCGTTCGATGGGTTGATGTCCTCTGCTTCGAGACAAGGGCCCTCAATCCCTTCACCGCACTCTGCACACAGGGTACCATTTAGCCTATGGTAATCCGCCGCACAGTATGGATGATTATCAAGTACGTAAAAGTCTGCTGTTTGGAAGGGGGCATGACAAGTATGGCAGACGAAACAAGCCCTGTGATAGCGGCCTGTCAAGCGGCCATCTGCTGAAGAAACTGATTTCCCGGTAATAATTTCACCGCAACCCCTGCAGGGATGGCGGCGTTTGCCAGGAGTTGCGGATCGAGATGGAGGTAGTGGTTGGGCTGCTGATTCCTCTTCCGGCACTGGGGGAGGTTGTTGTTGCTGCTCTCGCACTTCCTGTGGTTCTGGCTGTACTTCCGGCTGCAGCGGTGGTGAAGACGGGGATTGCTGCTGCTGCTGCTGTTCAAAAGTTGAGGATTGTGAGTTAAGGGATTGAGTGGGGGAGCGATATGGGGTGTATTTCTTCGGCTGTGCTGGCTCGAGCTGTGTTGATGGGGTACTGTATTTTGTCTCTGAGCTCGAAGGGAAAGTATTAGCCGGAGGATCGGAGAGCCGACCTTGCTGGAAGAGGGGATCGGTTGGAGAATCGAGTTCGTAAGCGAAGGGATCTACTTTTGGTCGGGTTGGCGGCTCTTCTTGGAGGAGACGCAGATGATCGACATTGTATTTCTCCGACAAGCTTGACTTAGGTTCGGAAATATTGGAGGACTCAGACGGCCTGCTTGAGAAAGAGCTGTTCGAGGGCGCCTCCGACGGTGACGAGTTGGAAGACGAAGTAGAATCATTGGCGGCATGGCATGGATCGCTGATACCAAGGCCGCTGGCAAAATTTGAGACGGAGAACTCCCTATCGAGTTTGTACTCTGAGACAGAGGGACCCGGGCTGTCTGGAGCTCTTTCCGAGTCATCTTCCTCTATGTCCTCAAGTTTGTTATCGACATCCATCATTTCAGGAGATTTCGTTCTCGTAGTAAAGCCAAAATCCAGTCCTTCCATGCCGTCTAGTTGTCGTACTTTGTCCCTGGGTGAGGTTTCTGGAGGATCTTGATCCTGATCGCTTTTATCATGGTTATCGTTGCTGCCGAAATAAAAAGGCTCTGAATTACCCGATGTGAACACGGGGCTGCTGGCGAGGCTAGCGATAGGCCCCGACGGGAGCGGAGGAATATCCCGGTCCTCATGCCGGCTTCGTGACGATCCTCTGGGTGAAACCGGAGAAGGAAGTCCATGACCATTTTTAGAGCTGGTCATGGACAAGCGCTGGAAGGCCTTGCTATCTATTGATGCCTCCCGTCTATGCCTGTTGATAGTTGTTGCGCGTGAACTTCGGCCGTCCGTCGATGGGGACATATAGCTTCCATCTGAAGGTGAGGGAGAGGTAACCCCTCTGCGAGAAGAAACATTTGTGTTTATAGATCTTATAGATGCAAGCCTCTTCGCTTTTGATCCGCCTGCAGAAGCCGACCTAGGAAAAGGAGGGAAAGCACAGTCTAAATTTGCTTTTCCTTCAGGCACAACTGCAACAACCGAAGATTGCGAGGCGACTGGGCTGGTATGGCTTCGCTGTAGCTGCTGGAGGGGTGAAAGTGGTGAGGCAGACCGTGGAGTGAGTGCTCCAAAGCTTCCAGTGTGAGGAGACATCTGAGCACCGGGTGATAAAAATGGTCGATCTAGAAATTTGTTAGCATGTACCGTCAGGCCTGAAGCCATAATTCCACGGTAACTGTGGGATGATATATACGTACTAGCAGCAGTTGGATCTATCCTTGGAGGTGGCTGCACACGTCCTAACCTGTTAAACAGGGACTCACGACTGAGACTCCGTTTCGGTGGCGGGCCGTGTTCGTTGAACTCTGCCACTGACAATTTCTCTTCAACGGGAGAAGTTGTCACAGTAGGACCCGCGGCTTTTGAGCAAACATGGTCTCCGAGGGCAACGAGCTCGACTTCCGCATGGCAGTCGGAGCATTTGATCTTGGGCAAAGCGTCCATCGTGATCCTCCCCCGACAACGTTGTCGTTGACAAGAGCAGCCAGATTCACCGCATATGTGTAGAGAGAGACATAAGTTGGGCCACCCCTTCTTTCTTTTTCCCTTTCCCTTCCGTCTGTCCGTTGTCAACGCTGCTTGCGTGGACTCAACGCTGCAAGATCTTTCCCGGGAAATTGGGCTTCTCTCCGGCTGTCCACGGTCGAGCTAAGATGTAGCGAGAATTAATCAAATAACTCAGGGCTGATGGTTATGATTAAAGATTGAGTCAATAATAATAGTGTCTATATAGTCTTCTGGTCAGCAAGATTCTTGTGAGGAACAGTGGGAAAAAGTATGAATCGGTGTACCTGGAGTGGGCGCACTGCAGCCAGACCGACTCTTATGCTGTGGGAGGCTGTCAGGAGGTCCAGGGGGGCCTGCTGTCTTCTTCTAGAAGCCAGCTGGGAGTAAAATCGAAGCAGGGGCGATGATCAGAGCCCTGACAGACAGCGATTTGACTCTAGGAGTTGGGGGCTGTCAGACAGAGATCTCGGATGAATAGGTAGAGAGGCAGAGATGGAGAGGAAATGGAGGCGGCAAAGAAATGCGAAAGAGGGCGTGATGGACCGCTGATGAAGCGTCTCGATCGACCTGCTCTGCCCTCTCGTCCTCCCCCCTTTGCCTTTTCTCGAAAGCGCCCATGGGAAGTAGATTGTCACGTGCATTAGCTTCCCCTGTCGAATCGACCGATGGACTATTCCTCTTTCGGAAAGGCGCCAGGTACTCTCTGTCCCGAAGAGGCAAAGCGCCAGGCCCGTCCGCTGTGGTCAGGCTGACTCAGCTAGCCTCAACCAATCAGAGCGAAGTGACATCGACGCGCCGCGGTGGATCCGGCGATCGCCAGGCGAGGAAAAGCCCCTGAGGCACGAAAAAAAAGGGGTTAAGCCGAAGGGAAGCTAGCAGCGTTGATATGCAGGTCATGTTAGTAGATTTGCTCCCTGCGCAAAATAGCAACACGAGGACGGCTGTCCAGTCGATGTGATGGTGATGGGCTGTCCCATGATCGTTCGGCGGCTGGAAAAATTAACTTGGATGTCGAGAATATTGATCCACTGGCTCTTGTTTCGTCGTGCTGGAGTTTGCATGAACGTGTGAGCCATGCTAAAGAACCGGGCTGCGGGAGCTGATTGGATACTGTCTTTCGAGCCTGGGGCCGTTGGCACGCAAACAAGGCACACTGGAAGTTGTTAAGGCAACAAGGTACATGGATCACTTGTTTCATCGTATATGCAAGCCTTTCCCGACAGTCCACACCCACCTGTCTGCGGAGCTTTTAAATTTGTTTGCCCCAGGGCGCACAGTGTGAAGAGAACCATGTTCGATATTCCAGTCCAAGATATAGCAGTCCCATGGCGAGATTTTGCGATCGGCGATTACCTATACATATATCACAACTGGAGTCAGCCATGCAAGTGTACCATGGTCGGGATATAGCGCGTTGACGAATACATATCCCACCTGCCTCCCATTTTATTACATAACCTTAGTTCTGCATCTGCCGCCAGGTTTCGCATCACAACGACCATGGATTAACCGGAAATCGTCCGCAAACCCCCCATTATCACCAAGCCGGTTCCTTGACTGGTCTTCTGGAGGAATTTCCACTCAAATTTCGATCTGACGTCGTTTTTTTTTTTTTTCATCAAGGGAACTGGACTTCCGTTTTTGGACATCACGTGAGTATAGGTCACCATATTACGGAATAACTATGTTCCGCCATCACCGCCGCCTTCCATTTCCCTTTTGGGAATATATGACTTCTTCTATCAAAGACTCGACATCAATTTTGATATTGAAGACGACGAGATAGAAGGATCTATTTCCAGCCTGACGATAAGCAAATGATTCCTCAATGCTCAATCCGGATTTTTAACCCCAGAACAACCAACTTTCCTTGACTGCACGCCAAGGTCGGGTGTTGTAGCACCGGCCCGGCGAGCCTCACGGAAAGTGGTAGCTTGCGCAACATTGTTGAATCCCTCAATAGCAACTGAGGCTGGATATTAACCGGTGCAATGCTTGCATTTATCGGGTATCTGCTCATCATGTGCTAAGGAAGACGATTTGCGGCCAAGCATAACTTATAACCTATGATATATGTAATATCGCTGCAGGCTTTAGAGGAGAAGCGTTGAAACCCTGTCCGCATTATTGGTTTGGAAGTCTCGCTTCCTTTTAAGCCTACCGTGTTAAAATTTGAGATCCGAGTTGGATACTGGTTGGTTCGAGGTAGAGAGTGCTATATCTAAGTGAAACTTGTCCAGGCATGAGCTTTGGAGGTGTCCGTCGCTCCCAAGCTACTCACTGTTGTTTCGACACTAGGAAGCGATAAGGCAAGAAAAGGGATCGCCTTTCACAATGATATCTGGGACGCCACACCGCCGTTCATGTCCAATTTCTAACTGGGTTCAGGAGGGAATTAAGTCTACGATGTTGTCCGAGGATATTATTTTAAGTTGGACACATGATGATCGCAAGTCATTTAACGAGTCGAAAGTTTTAACTGTGCAACAGCACAAGACAAGCAGTCCCTCTGTCTCTTTTCTGGACCCCCTAAGGTCATCCGATACATCTACTCTGCAAGCCTGCATGAAACCGCCTGTTGGTATATTTATATACCAAGCTTCGGATGTCGTGATTTACAGAGTATACAGATATAAATTGCCTGTCTAACATTAATTAGAATCTCGACTGCATCTACCCTTCATTTGGGGCCGACCCTGCATACCCCGAAATTACACATTTCCTGCACTACGTACCTCGTGCGTTAAGTGATCACTGGTTTCTCTCTGGCTAAAGCAAAGTATTATATTCGGTTAAAGAATCTTTATAATACGCTCTCTGCAACGAGACTTCCGGTATCTAGGTTTCACCAAGAATAACCAGGCAACTTGTTGCACCAAAACTGTTGAGGCCTTAATTACCGCAAACTGGAAAATGTTCCTGTTAGCAGGCGTGTACCAGCCACGTACCTCGCCGTATTTTGGCCCCCCGATCAGTGACATTGTTGAGACAAGACGCCACTGCTCTAAGCATTTCATTCCAAGGACTCAACTATCGCATGACATCAGGCTAGATCACTAACTTTTGAATATCAAGAAAACGACTGGCTGATAGTCGGCGGTCATGGCCGAAATGGGTCGTCTGACATGTCGTCGCGGGCGAAAACTTCTGTGGGTTAAACCCAAATGGGTGGCATCCTCGTTTATCACGATGTTCCTCGTGGCTAGCGGCAGGTGATATCATACATCTTATCTTCACCTCACCGTTGCCCCTAAGCCGATCGATGAGGTACTTTGACATTGTCAAAACGCTACAAACTAAATATATGCCTTGTGAACTTGTCATCTCCACCCCTTCGGCACTTGATTATACTGGGTCCTTGATAACTACCATATCTCTAGGCGCCTATACGACATGATAACCATATCTTGCCACGCTTACGGGTCTTGTGGTATTGCATATAAAATGGACCATTATCATGCGACAAGCGGCCCGCTCGGGGATTGCTCTCTCGACATCTATTCACCCCTTATACCATGTCTGCCTAACAAAGAAAATCGTTTCGGTATTCGGCTCTTTATCGAGATTTATTTTGCTCTTCCTTTTCTGACTTGATACAAGAGAAATGTTGATTACATGGCTTCTCGATGTCCTGCTACTGGCACCCCCTGTTGCGGCCGGGTACCCCCCTAAGCCAAAGAATCTGATAACAATCGAGTCTAAAGCCCTACCCGGGGCAACTATCACCTACAAAGAGGTCCCTGTAAGTAGTCGCACATGTATTCATATATCTCGGAGGCCTCCCCTCTTCCATATATAGCACCGGTGCTAATGTGCTATAGAAAGGAGTCTGTGGCAACGTTAGGTCGTACTCCGGGTATATCAACTTCCCTCCCAACTCTATGCGTGAGGCTCCACAAGACTTTCCAGTTCATATATACTTCTGGTACTTTGAGTCTCAAGTAAAGCCAGAGACTGATCCCTTGGCTATATATATCAATGGCGGTCCAGGGGCAGGTTCTATGGTTGGAGTATTCGTTGAGAGTGGGCCATGCCGGATGAGCGAAGATGCTCAGTCAACTGTCCTGAACGAGCATTCCTGGAACAAGGAAGCCAACCTCCTGTATATCGATCAGCCAGTGCAGACAGGATTTAGTTACGACGTGCTCACCAACGCTACGTTTGATTTCAAGACCAACATACTATCCCCAGAAGGACCGGATCATGACCCAAGTAAAGACGGCACCCTCCTTGCTGGCACTTTTGGTAGCGGTGATCCTAGTAAAACTGCAAATACTACTCTCAATGCTGCCAGACACATGTGGAATATCGTCCAGGTGTGGTCCCAGGATTTCTCTCCTTACGCTGATAATCGAGAGAATGACAAGATTTCCCTCTGGAGCGAGTCATACGGCGGCCGTTATGCCCCGGGTTTCATGGCATACTTCTTGCAACAGAACAACCGTATCAAAGCTGGCCTCCTGACCGGTTCTGTTCTTCATCTTGACACTGTCGGGATAATAAACGGCTGCGTGGATCTGATATCTCAGCAGAAGTCAAATATTGATTTCCCATACAACAAAAATACCTATGGTATCCAGGCAATCGATGATGCTGGATATGATAAGGCGATGCATGCCTATGGCAAGAGAGGAGGGTGCCTTGACCAGATATTAGAATGTCATGCTCTCGCTAAGCGTTACGACCCAAATGCATACGGCCATGTTGACGAAGTCAATTACGTATGTGAGCGTGCAAACAGCTACTGCAACACGGAGGTAGATGGCATATATGTTGACGGGGCAAAACGAGGCCTCTTTGACATTGCTCAGTGCCACCTAGATCCTTTCCCTTCCAACAGCTTCTTGGGATATCTAGCGAAGACTGAGGTACAGGAAGCATTGGGTGTACCAGCAAACCACACGGACCCCTCATACACGGTTGAGCATGTCTTCAACGTCACTGGTGACTACGTTCGGAGTGACAGGGGTGGACATTTACTTGATATCGCCAATTTGCTAGATGCTAGGGTGAAAGTTGCCATGGTATACGGCGACCGTGACTTCATATGCAACTGGGTTGGTGCCGAGAATGTTAGTCTTTCTGTCGACTACAAGGATGCCAAAAACTTTAGGAGGGCAGGGTATGCAGATGTCTACACCGATGACTCTGGAGTCCCCAAAGCCCAAGTCCGCCAACATGGCCTTTTCTCGTTCACCCGTGTATATCAAGCGGGACACATGATGCTTGCCTATCAACCACAAGTTGGATATGAGATCTTCCGTCGTGCAATGTTCAATATGGACATTGCTACCGGAACGGTCACGGACGATATAGAGTTTTACTCTACTCAGGGGGAGGTCAATTCAACTCACGCTGAACCCCCGTTGCCAACTGTCCCTCCAACATGCAACTTCTGGGGCATGGCAATGTCGTGTGCTAAGAACCAGATCGAGGCCATTCAAAAGGGAGAAGCAAGTATCGTGAACAATATCATTGTGAGCCCGACTCAAGCTCGAGGTGAATGCCCTACGCCTCAGCCGACTCGCAAGAGCTGGTTTTATAACAACGAGCAACAAAGTTTCATTATCTAGCAGCCGACTAGTCAGTTTTCTTTACGAGTGATGGTTTGATATCATGATTTATGACTTTGTTTCTTTGAATATATTCATCTTCCCTCGATATAGCACCGGGTGAGAGGGATGAGAAAAGATTGAAATTCAAGTTCATACATTAGTGAGGTTTCGGATTTTTGTTCAAAGAATATGAGATTGCCGAGGCATGAGTCATCAGGAAACAACTGAGCGTCCTCGTTCAATTCTACTTCACTTTTACGTCACTTCTACTCATATACCCCTTTTATTTTGATAGACTGATACCTCTCTCTCTCAGTTACATCCATCCTATAACTTTTTTTTTTTTTTTTTCCGGATATAGTTACAAGCTTCCGGCCTTAAGCTTCCTACCTTCACCATTCATCTTCCGTCAATATCATATTCCGAGAACTTTAGAGCCTGTTGTTACAAGCAAACACTTATAACAACCTTGCTACATGAAAACTTCAGACTCCCAGATAAATGCCTATATCAATTTCAAAATAAACAAACTTGATATTTAGGACCGTTCGCCTGCCTCCTAGGACTTTATCTGGTATCATTCTCTCTTCCCCTAGTCAAGGAACCTATGCCAACACGGGCTTGACTCTGATACTGACATTTATTTGGTTTTCGATCAACCAGCCTTCACTTATCAAGCTCATCATTTCTACTGCCAACTCAAGAGTTTCAACAGAAAATCGAAGTCTCCTTTTACTATTGCTACCCATTACCACGACATGTTACCACTATCTGCCCTGGAAGAGATGGCACATCCAGTAGTCATGCCCAGTGTGACTGTAATTGACACCGTTAGCAATCTCAAAAACTTTCTATCTGGTCTTAGGGAACTCGACATGGACCCTGTTCCTCTGTTTGTTGAATTCAAGGGGAGAGACGTCAGCCGTGAGGGATCCTTGTCCATCATCTCTATCTTTGTTCGACCAGAGAACAAAATTTATCTCATTAACATGCATGCCATCGACAATGATGACGTCTTCTCTACCGAAGACTCAACTGGAACAACACTTGAGTCAATCTTTGAATGCCCAGTTCTACGCAAAGCCGTCTTTGACGTTCGTGGGGCCTCAAATGTTTTGTTTCATCAACACGATATCACCCTCGATGGAATAGTAGATATCCAGCTCATGGAGCTCGCAACCAGAGATGGCTCAAGGGAATTCGTTAGGGGGTTGGCAACATGCGTACGCAACGATAGCCCCCTAAGTGCCAAGGAAAAATTGCGTTGGCAAGAGTCCAACGAATTTAGAAAAATGATCTTTTGTCCCGAGGCCGATGGGTGCCTTACTGAGCAGTATATGGAGACCACTCTACACACCGAAATAAAAGACCACTGTGCATATTCCCTGGTAGTATTATCCCGCCTCTACGATGTTTATGATGCGAGACTCAAGCAAGGTGCAACCAAATTCTGGAAAACAGAAATTCGCTCTGCCACCGAAGCCCGGATTAACGACACCAAAAAGGAGGAATTCGACGTGTATGATAGGGAAAACGCCTATGGGCCTTGGGATGAGGAAGAACTGGAAATGAAAATGGAGCGGCGGGACAGTTGTCCACGAGGGGTTACAAAATCGGACAGGGAGTAATGTGTTACGGAACCTGCTAATTAGGAATGCCTCGGGTGGTTCTAACATTGGGTATTGAAGCCGAAGTCAACTTAATGCAGTTTACATGGAAACTGCAAATAGGAATGGATAACTAGGCAGAAAAGGGGTTTATTATGGACATTCAAATTTCACATTGCGTTAATCAAAAATTGAGCCAATTTGATTAGCAGACTCTCCATGTTATGACTGAATCCCTTTTACAGAGTGCATCAACGCATGCCAACAGTCTAGTTGGGTCATTGTAAAGAGATCAGAGCATCAAGTTACACGGGCAATTGAGCGCCTGGTTTGGGTAGTAGTCCTATGGCCATCATCGCCTCGTATAGTTTCTCCAAATCTCCATCACTGTCGAGATAGACGGCACCCATCAATGCCTGGACGGTCCGGGCGGTGTAAAGGGGCGTAAGGTTGGCAGTGCTTGACCGCATACCCATCATGCATCGTCCAAGGCCCTTCTTTGTCCCGATATCTGCAAGCTTGCTGTTATCCAAGACAAAAGTCAGGAGAGTATCAATGTTTTCTGTTACGAACACATGGTCAAGTAATTAGCCAACGGTCAATATATGTGAATGTAGATCTATAATTGATAGGGATAAATGTATTATTTACCCGGGTCCATATCTTTATCATAACCATCCGTGATTAAGAACAGCTCCATGACAGCCTTTCCAACTTGAGCGAGGCCGGTGTTATCTTTAATCGAAGTAAGGCGTCCAGGAAGATTCAAGGCACTTAAAGCTATGGTTTTGTCCTTGAAGCGGTACTCAAGGAGGTCTTCCATAGCCTTGGTCCGCCACATATGCGACGCCAGTAATTTTTTAAGTCCCTCATCCATCTTTGCGTTAGTGCTGGGAATCGAGAGCTATAGCGAAGAAAGCGACATCGGTATGCCTTGTATTGAAAGGGAAACAAAAATAACAATCCAGGAGTAGAGAGGTTTTCATGGAGATATATAATTCTAGATTTGCTGTCACTGGGGAGTTTTTCTGTGTCAGAGAGTGCTGGTTCACTTTAGGATACCAAATAGGTGGAGGGAATCAGTGAAGTTAGGAGACTTCCCCAACAATATCATTACTATACGGCTGGACATCAAAAATGGCCACTTGATGAATTGAATAGAAAGGCATAGGACCTTCTACTCGATCATTACTCATGTACTCTGCATTAATCGTAATTAATCACGGACAGACGCTTTGGAGTGATTTGACGTATGTAAGTAGGTCCCTGGTTTAGGCAGAATCCTCCTCACGATCACTTCTTGAGCAATGACTGCTGATCCCGGGGGAGTCACAAACGCCCCGGAAATGAAGAAAGTCAAGTCGTACACCCTCAGACACGACTGAAAAAAAATGGTGATCTGTTAAAATAGGCAATGTCCAAGAATATCGCTCTGGATATCGAAGGAAGGAAAGGATACCTGCATGGAACAGCTCATCAGGCCAGTCGAAAGTATCTCAAAGCAATGAAGATCAACGGAAAATCTTCGGACTCCAGTCTCATCACTGCCTTGCTGCCTGCTTTATTCCTGCAGGTGCCCGTTTGTTACTCCAGAGATGAAGGCGATATCGGCACGCTGGAAAGAGGCAACGAACATGAACAGAGAATTCCCGGTCTCCCTGCATAACCATTTATGCGTGAACAGCAGGGTTGGAAGATGACAATATGTAATCCTTTGGGTATTCTCATATCCACAAGACCACTTTTCCACTTCTTAGTAACGAGTTAACCCACCCAGCAGGCAGCACAATAAAGACGGGAACCAACCGAGGATGACAAGAACCCTTCAGTCGGTGTGCCATCAGGGATGAGCGAGCTTGACAGGCATTGGACCAATATTAGTGCCTGCATATCAAGCCACCAAACTGCCCCCGGCCAATGGCCTGAGCCCTCGCGGTGCGCTATCGATAACTCCAACAACCCGCAGACGAGGGGCACTGGCACTGCTCTCGTGAGCCCTCAACGCCGGCCTCGACGGACACAGGAAAGCAAGCTACGGCAGCCGGAGATTGAATAACGGGCCAGCATGCGGGCTGTCACCGTGGAGAACGACAAGCCTGCGGGATAAATTCAGTTCAATGGCTGCATCGGTGGGCCATAGTTAAGTTATCGATGCAGACGAACGAGCGAAAAGCGGGCTGCAGCGCGAGACGGCATAGGCTAAGGTCACAATTAATAACAGCTTTTTTCGAGCAGGGAGCAAGGGCCAGAGAACGCATCCTGATCTCTCCGACGTGGGGAATCCTCTTTTCGTTTCTTTGCTTTTCCCTTGGGCTCTCTCTAAACAGCCGGGAGGACGATGGACGATGGACGATGGACGGCGGAGGGCGGACGTTGGGACTAAGAAAGGATAAATAGGGCCAAAACCGCCCGCCCCTTTCCCGCCTCTCCCACTTTTCACCACAACCAACAACTTCACCAACTTCATCGACTCCAGCGACAGCTTCAGATTCACCCACAAACCCCCCACAACCCCCAGTATAGACCTCTTCGGCTTGCTGAAGACGTCAATTCACGTTTCTTGCTTGCCCCTCGCTCGATCACTTCTTCTCTTTAGAAGCTGATCCGTCAATACCGCCAAGACGTTTTCCAACTTGCTGCCATCGTGAGTGACTCTGCTGCTCGAGATATACAGCCGGGGAGAAGGCCTTGAAGGGGTCTTTTGACGGTGTTGATATACGTTGAATCCAATAGCTAACTTCTTGTCTGCAGGTCGCACCACCCGTTTAACGGAAGCCGACGCTCATCCGCTCGTGGAGGAGCATCGGACGCTCCCCATACCAAGTAAAGGCCATCTGAAAAGCAATTGAACCACTACCAGCTCGGCTTTACTTGGAGAGTCCTCATCCCGCCAATTCTCTATAAATCTATTCTTCGGTTTAGTCAAGAAAAAGATCACCAGACTGAACAATGGCTCCACATGCGGATGCAGCTGCCAATGGCTCTGTTAACGGGTCGGCCCCCACGCACGGGGTTGATATCTTCAAGGTCGAGTCTCCCAATGTTGTCTACACCGACGACGAGATCAACACCAAGTATGTCTACCGTACGACTGCCGTGACCAAGTCCGAGGACGGTAAACTCGTTGCAACCCCCAAGGAAACCGTCTATGACTTCAAGGTCGACCGCAAGGTCAGCAAGACCGGTGTCATGCTTATCGGCCTGGGTGGAAACAACGGATCTACCGTCACGGCTGGTATCATTGCCAACCGTCGTGGATTGACTTGGGATACTCGTGAGGGTAAGCGTTCTGCCAACTACTACGGCTCCCTCATCATGGCTTCTACTGTCAAGCTCGGAACCGATGCGAAGACCGGAGAAGAAATCAATATCCCCTTCAACAACATGCTCCCCATGGTCCATCCCAATGACCTTGTTATTGGCGGCTGGGACATCAGTGGCATGAACCTTGCCGATGCCATGGACCGTGCACAGGTGCTTGAGCCCACTCTCAAGGCCCTGATCCATGACGAGATGGCTGCCATCAAGCCCCTTCCAAGTGTCTACTACCCTGACTTCATTGCTGCCAACCAGGAGGAGCGTGCGGATAACGTCCTTCCTGGCTCCAAGGCTTGCTGGGAGCATGTTGAGAAGATCCAAAAGGACATTCGGTGGGTTACCTATACTTAGATGCTCTGACCTGGGTGATGTACTAACATACAGACAGTGACTTCAAGGCTGCCAATGAACTCGACAAGGTTCTTGTTATGTGGACTGCTAACACCGAGCGTTACGCAGAAGTCATTGAAGGTGTCAATGATACAGCTGACAACCTTCTCAAGGCTATCAAGGAAGGACACGAAGAAGTCTCTCCATCAACCATCTTCGCCGTGGCTTCTATTCTTGAGAATGCTCCATTCATCAACGGCTCTCCCCAGAACACCTTTGTTCCCGGAGCCATGGAGCTTGCCCTGAAGAAGGGTGCCTTTATCGGTGGAGATGACTTCAAGTCCGGTCAGACCAAGATGAAGTCTGCCCTCGTTGACTTTTTGATCAGCGCCGGTATCAAGCTCACCTCCATTGCCAGCTACAACCATCTCGGCAACAACGATGGCATGAACCTGAGCTCCCAGAAGCAGTTCCGATCCAAGGAGATCTCCAAGTCCAATGTCGTTGACGACATGGTTGCCGCCAACTCTGTTCTGTACAAGAAGGGTGAGCACCCAGACCACACTGTTGTTATCAAATACATGCCTGCTGTCGGTGACAACAAGCGTGCCCTCGACGAGTACTACGCCGAGATCTTCATGGGTGGCCACCAGACCATCAGCATCTTCAACGTCTGTGAAGACTCCCTCCTTGCTTCGCCTCTGATCATCGATCTTGTTGTTATTGCGGAGATGATGACCCGTGTCAGCTGGAAGTCTGCCGAGAGTGAGGAATACAAGGGCTTCCACAGCGTCCTTAGCATTCTCAGCTACATGTTGAAGGTAAGTCTTCAATACTTTCCCTCTTGTCTTATCAGGGTCCAACTAATTCTTGATAGGCCCCATTGACTCCTCCGGGAACTCCTGTTGTCAACGCTCTAGCTAAGCAGCGTGCTGCCGTCACCAACATCTTCCGTGCCTGTGTTGGTCTCCAGCCAGAGTCTGACATGACTCTCGAGCACAAGCTTTGCTAAGCAGCTGTTGTCAATTGATACCATCATCCTTCGTAAATGATTACGTTCCCATTTTTTTTGAGATAACAACGTTGTCCAATAGATGGTGAAGAGGTGGTTAATGCCTCTCGGGGTTATTCTTGTGCTATGTTAGTTAGTAGTAACTGTTGGCTACGTCCGCTCTCCACTCCTTTCAGCAGACCCAACAGCCGTCTTATGCTGGAATTCAACATCCAGCTAATTAAATTGAAATTATCTTCATATTGACCCCTTTTTATCCTTATCTCCCTTTTGCTTATGTGATCCGTCCTAGAATGGTAATCAACCGATGAGGGGCTTTTTCTTCTCGACTTCAACTTCAGCTTCAAGAAACGACATCATCTTAACTCGCTCACAGAGAGACAGAAAGGCCATAGCCATGGCTAACTCAAAGATACCTGATTACTTCCGTGTTGCCGGTGCTGGGTCTAAGAGGAAGCACGATACCCCAGACCAAGACGAGAGCGTCAGTTCGAAGAGGTCGTCGTGGCCATACGATGCCGTATCTTCTCTGGGAGACCTCAAAAAGGGACCCAAGAGAGTCGCTTTTGACGCAAGAATTGTGAATATATACAATCAGCCCAATATATACTTTGACGATAATGCAGAAAACATCAGCAAGTCAAGTACAAAGAAGAAGAAATCTTCAAAATCGGACAGCGATCCAGTAGCAAGTCAACAGGCCAGGGGGTGCTTGAAACTTATTCTCAGAGATGATACAGGTTATATCCTTGTATGACTGCCATCCGAAAATTGGATTACTACCTACTGACCTTTTATACACCTGTAGGTCAAGCTGTGGTATGCTGATACTACCTATGACCTTCGACTGGGGAAGCTCGTCTCCATATGGGTAACACATATCTCCCCATTTAAACACCAGTTAAAAGGACACGTAAAGGCCGATTCATCTTCTACTCCCTCAAAACCAGCGACTCCTCCATCTACACCTCCAGAGAACTTCCCACTGAGTTTGATGGCAAGTATCTTCCCGGAGAAAGACCAAGGATGTGGTATCAAAATACACGAACGAGGTGATATTGGTATCATAGGCCGTATTCCAATGGGGTACAGATACCCATTTCAAGTGGATTCACTTGTTGATGCTCCAAAGAAGCACTCAATGGGCAAGCCAACGAAAGTCCTAGTATACGTTTATGCAGTCGGACCTGTCCGTGAGAGTACGTCCGTTTCGTTCCTTCAAGCAGATCAACGCGTGCTCTAACACAGCATTATATTCCAGCAACCAATTCAAATAACCAGACCGTTCCTACTGTTGATGTAGGAGTTACAGATGGACACAGTAGAGCCAGCCTCGGCCTTTACGGAGAAGCTATGAAATCGGGGATGAAATGGATACCCAACTCCACGGTCCTTTTGATATCTAATGCGAGCTGGAAGCCTGGATCGCGGTTGTACCTAACCTCCTTTACTTTAGTTGACGTTGATCCCGAAAGCGTCGAAGTAGAGGAACTGAAAAGACTTGCTGCACGGAGAGCCGAGCAAGTTAATCCCCCGTTCCCCACTGACTGTAGGTTCGGACTGAGATTCTAGGTTCAGCGTGCAAGACAAGTACACTAATATTTACACTCGATAGTATTCAATGTTGAGGAGTTTGAAAGTTCAGTCCAGAAAATCAAATTCACTCTTGCGGATATTGAGGAATTGTACGCTTACCTTTCCTCATTCTATGATGGATGCATGTTGTTTTATTAACAGTTCACTTCTAGCGCCAATTCCACACGAAGTGGTATGTGATAGCTGAATATTCTAGGACAAACACAAGCTAACCCTCCTTGAGAATTCATGGGATATATATCTGTGGTGCTACTTGATATTAACTTGGCTGCCCTTTACAAGCAAAATTGCCTGTTCTGTGCCGAATGGTGAGCTTCCAGGGCTTTATATGGACATGATATTCCCAGATTGGCAGGCTTCTGACCTTATTACTGTTACAGCTGCAATGTTCCCATTTTCTCCAACTCTAACGAGGCTTTGTGTGGGCAGTGTGAATTAGAAGTCAAGCTGAGACTTAACCCGCAGATAGTGAGTTATTCACAAAACTTTTGGATTAACGATGGTACCATTTAGTATCTCGATAAAACTATGGATACGAATCCCTAGCTATATGAAGACTTGATTTCATTGGAACCAAATAGTGATACCCCACTGCATCTGCTAACCTCTCATCCCCTAGGTTGGCTCAATCGTTGACGAAACCGGGATGATATCATGCTTCCCCCCCATGTTCAATCCTACCACCGGAACAGACATTCGCCTCAGCGTAGCTGGACAAATGACAAGGCCTGCTCATATGAAGAGAAAGGGAACTTCTCCTTTGCTATGGTCGATGGAAGCAATGCAGCAGCTCCTCGGATGTGATGTTTCAGATATACTGACAGACCATGAAAACGATTCTAATGAGATATTGATTTCTTTTCGACTACTGGAGGCGAGACTGATGTATTCTCGTGTCATACTGATGTTTGGCTGGTGTTCTACGGACCAAAGAATAGCAATTTGCAAAGTAATCAAATGATGCACCGCTAACGTCGGATACCAAGAGGAGTGATGAGAGCTGATATGCAATGTTACTATATCAATTTACTCTATATACCCCTAAGGGATACATGTTATGGATATTCTTCCTATTAGGAACTAATTTGGGGACATTCTCTATCCATTTTCCATCATCAGCCTTTCTAGTCTTTGCCTTAAGCATGGGAGGCCTTCTGATTTTTTCCAACGCTTCAATCCTCGCAGCAATGCTTAAAAGTCTCTCTTCTTCCCATGGCAAACCCATGATTTCCATACCAATCGGTACCCCAGATGGTATATTCCGGAAGATATCCCTATTCGAATACCCAGCAGGTACAGTGACGACAGGGTTCCCCGTCAAAGCTGCAAGTATTCCATTTCTACCATATTGGTTCCGCGAGCCTATCTTAACAGGCAAATTCTGTTGCTGGGGGTATATCAATGCATCGAGATTGAGGGATGAGAACGTCCGTTTGACCGACAGTGTCAGGGCGTTGATAGCAAGTTGCTTTTGAGCATATGAGACGTTCAGGGGAGATGAGACGAGTGCAGACTGAACGAAGGCGTACTGGTGTGGGATAACCAGGAACGAGTCTTGCTCGTTATCTATTTCAGAGTACAAGTCTGCCATTGTCTGTGGGCCTCTTGATTCTTCCTCGTGTAGACTCTGGAGATAAGCGTCCACCATCTCGCGGTACTCATACGCTTGAACATCCAAGCCCAATATCGCAGTGGAATTATACATCGAGTCAGTAACGGGTATCACAATCGCGCCGGCCTTCTTAAGCCTACACACCATCGCATCCATAGCTTTGTTGACGGGCGTTGTCTCAGAGTTATCAGCGCGGTTCATGAATCCCTCTATCAACCCGAACTTGACACCCAGAAGACTTTCACCACCATTCCCCCCCTGGTCCTTCGATAGGGAAGCAGTATAATCCAAACCCCTAACATGTCGTGGCCGTAAAGCAGTCATATTATCCCTTTCGTCAAACCACTCACCCGCCGTCATAACGTTCAAGCTCACAGCCAAATCCCACACGCACCTCGCAATCGGCCCAACGGTATCCTGCGTATACGAGACAGGAAGCACACCAGCCCTCGAAATCAAACCACGCGTAGGCCGTAGACTAAACAAGCCATTTGCACTCGCCGGACTACGCAGCGAGTTCACTGTGTCCGTACCCAGGCCAAACACCGCAAACGAAGACGCCACTGCTGCTCCGGTACCGCCTGAGCTACCACCGGGCGTTCTGGTAGTATCGTAGGGATTCAGCGTCTGGCCACCGAGAGATGACACTGTGAGGCCCTCAAGGGCCATTTCATGCATATTTGTCTTGCCGAGTATCACTGCACCGGCCTCACGTAGGGCCTTGACGACAGGAGCATCGTGTACGGGCGGCGGGGAGCTGGATAATGCTGCGCATCCTGCGGTGGTGGACCTGTTGGCTGTGTCGAAGTTATCTTTTAACAGCACGGGGATGCAGTATAGTGGCATGAGGGACGTTATATCGCTCCAGCTGTTGCTGCTGGTATTGTCGGGGGTATAAAAGCCATCGTCATCCTCTAGGGAATCTTGAAGCCAGGCGTCCAGGTCGTCCGCGACAGCAAGGGAGTTTGCATCCAGGCTTATTATGGCGTTTATACGGGGGTTATATGTTTCTATCTGGGCGAGAAACGCCGTTACTACCTCGCGGCATGTCAGTCGAGTCTCTGGGTTGGATATATTTGCGAATAGAGCCTGGTGGACAGATTGGATTGTGGCTTCGGTCGGGTTGAATCGAGATACGGCTGGGGAGTGGAAGCCGAAGAGGTCTGAGATTGACTGAATAGCCGTCCAGGCTGGGAGAAACGAGCTTTGAAACATCTGCATCGCTCTACGTTAAATGGTAACCAAGTTGGTGTATATGGTGTAGCAGAGGTACGATTTTGATGAAGCCCAGCTTTTGACGTTTGAGAGAGAGTTCAAGTCGAAGATTACGGGTCAGGTCGAGATTTAAACATTAGTACATCTCAATTATCAAAGTATTTAATCGGGTATGTGACTATTTAAAAGATATTATCACTAAGATATACGACGCAGTGGCAGGAGAACAAAAGTGTCTTCAGCTCTAGCCAGGGGGAAAAGCAAGAAGTAAAACAGGGTAGAATCAAAGGGTCAAAAAAAAGGGGGGAGGGGGAAGGGGGAGAAATATTGAAAAGCCAGGCCAGGCAAGCAAGAATGGGAATTGGGAATCTGACATGAAGCAAGAAGGTGAAGTGATGTAAGGCAAAATCGAAAGACCAGATAGACGTGTATGAAAGGGAGGTAACAAAAAGTGGAAAAGGAAAGCAAAGAAAAACGGGGTAGAGTGAAGAGACCAACAAAAGAAAGATAAGGAAATGAAAGGAAAAGAAGAGTCCACGGTGGCCATAGAAGACTTCTCGGGACAGGATAGATTATT